CAGCTTCTAGAGGCCACTGCATTCCTTGGCTTGCGGCTCCTTCTTCCAGCTTCACAGCCTGCAAGGCCATCAAATATTTCTCAGGTGGCACATCCTAGGCCCATTCTTCTGCCTGTCTTTCACTTTTTTTTTTTGAGATGGAGTTTCGCTCTTGTTACCCAGGCTGGAGTGCAATGGCGCGATCTCGGCTCACCGCAACCTCCGCCTCCTGGGTTCAGGCAATTCTCCTGCCTCAGCCTCCTGAGTAGCTGGGATTACAGGCATGCACCACCTTGTCCAGCTAATTTTTTTTTTTTTATTTTTAATAGAGACGGGGTTTCACCATGTTGACCAGGATGGTCTCTATCTCTTGACCTCGTGATCCACTCGCCTTGGCCTCCCAAAGTGCTGGGATTACAGGCGTGAGCCACCACTCCTGGCCTGTCTTTCACTTTTAAGAGCTCATGGAAATAGATTGGGCCCACCTGGATAACCCAGGCTAGTCTCCCTATCTTAATCGCTCTGATTAGCAACTTTCATTCCATCTACAACCCAAATTTCCTTTTGTGGTGCAATGTAACATATTCACAGATTCTGGGCAATAGGAAATGCACATCTTTGGGGACCATTCTTGTGCATCCCACAGTCACCATTTATAATAACCCAAAAGGCCATCCAATTCTAAGCAATGCCACTGGGCTCGGTGGCTCACACCTGTAATCCCAGCACTTTGATAGGCCAAGGCAGGTGGATCACCTGAGGTCAGGAGTTTGAGACCAGCTGGCCAACGTGGTGAAACCCCATCTCTACCAAAGAAATACAAAAATTAGCTGGGCGTGGTGGCACACGCCTGTAATCCCAGCTGCTCAGGAGGCTGAGGCAGGAGAATTGCTCAAACCCAGGAGGTAGAGGTTTCATTATACTGCCCAGGCTGGTCTGGAACTCCTGGCCTCAAGTGATCCACCTGCCTCCGCCTCCCAAAGTACTGGGATTACAGGCGTGAGTTACCACGCCCAGCCTCTTTTGCTTATTTTTTACTTTAGATTCACTCTTAAATTCTTTTGTGCAGTGAAATCAAGAATCTAAACTGGCCCACCAACAACAGAAATACCATATAAAGAGAGAGCAAAGCAAATAATGATAAAAGTGTCAATCCATCAAGAAGATATAACTGTTATAAATATACACACATACACACGCACCTAACAACAAAACCCCTCAAAAAATGAAACAAAACCCGATAAAACTGAAAAGAGAAAATAGATGTACGATAATATTTGGAGACTTTGGCACCCCATTTTCTTTTTTATCACTTTTCTTTCTTTTCCTTTTTTTAAAAGACAGGGTCTCGCTCTTGTCACCGAGGCTGGAGTGCAATGATGTGATCTCGGCTCACTGCAACCTCTGCCTCCTGGGTTCAAGCAATTCTCCTGCCTCAGCCTCCTGAGTAGCTGGAATCACAGGTGTGCACCACCACGCCTATCTAATTTTTGCATTTTTGGTAGAGACAGGGTTTCACCATGTTGTCCAGGCTGGTCTTGAGCTCCTGACCTCAAGTGATCCACTCACCTTGGCCTCCTAAAGTGCTGGGATCACAGGTGTGAGCCACTGTGCCTGGCCCTAACACCCTATTTTCTTTCTTTTTTTTATTTTTGGGATGTTATTTTGCTCTTGTTGCTGAGGCTGGAGTGCAATGGCATGGTCTTGGCTCACTGCAACCTCCGCCTCCTGGATTCAAGGGATTCTCCTGCCTCAGCCTCCCAAGTAGCTGGGACTACAGATACCCACCACCATGCATGGCCAATTTTTGTATTTTTAGTAGAGATGGGGTTTCACTATGTTGACCAGGCTGGTCTTGAGCTCCTGACCTCAGGCGATCCACCCACCTTGGCCTCCCAGTGCTGGAATTACAGGCATAAGCCACTGCACCCAAACTCAGTCTTAAACTTACTACAAAGCTACAGCAATCAAAACAGTGGAAGGCTGGGCATGGTGGCTTACGCCTGTAATCCTAGCACTTTGGGGGGCCGAGGTGGGTGGATCACCTGAGGTCAGGAGTTCAAGACCAGCCTGGCCATCATGGTGAAACCCCATCTTTAATAAAAAAAAATTTTTTTTAAATATGAATGTTCATAGGCATTACTCATAAGAGCCAAAATGGAAACACTCCTTTTGAATGGTGAGTGGATAAATTGTGTTAAAATTACAATGTAATAGGCTGGGCATGGTGGCTCACGCCTGTAATCCCAGCACTTTGGGAAGCAGAGGAGCTCAAGATCATCTGGGCCAACACGATGAAAACCACTTTGGGAAGCAGAGGAGCTCAAGATCATCTGGGCCAACACGATGAAAACCCATCTCTACTAAAAATACAAAATTACCTGGGCGTGGTGGCCCATGCCTGTAATCCCAGCTATTTGGGAGGCTGAGGCAGGAGAATCCCTTGAACCCGGGAGGTGGAGGTTGCAGTGAGCTGAGATCGCGCCATTGCTCTCTAGCCTGGGCGACAAGAGCAAAACTCCATCTCAAAAAAAAAACATAACCCAGCAAACGAACAACAACAAACTAGACAAGTGTTTTTAAGCTTGCGCGATAGAAAGCACAGATTGCACCAAGGAAAACATACCTGTTGAGAACTTTATTCACCTCAGTTCTCTACGTGGGTACAATTTCCCAAACATGCCACAGAGAAGTGGAGTCCAAATGGAGACCAATGGGCTCACTGAGCCAAGGGAGCAGAAATTAAAATCCATAGCTACTGAAATTTGGGGGGCAGGATATCAGAGAGGGGAACCCCCAACTTCTGGTGGAGGGATGTTTCTAAGGGCCCTTGGTCAAAAGAGTGTTTGTCTTCAGAGCCCCCTGCAATTCCATGTTAATTGGAGGACTGGATTTCTTTCTTTTTTTTTTTTTGAGACAGGGTCTCAATCTGTTTCCCAGGCTGGAGTGCGGTGGTGCCACCTCGGCTCACTGCAACCTCTGCCTCCCAAATCAAGCGATTCTCATGCCTCAGCCTCCCAAGCAGCTGGGATTACAGATGCCCATCACCACGCCTTGCTAATTTTTGTATTTTTAGTAGAGATGGGGGTTCACCATATTGGCAAGGCTGGTATTTCAGGCATGACCCACCGTGCCTGGCCATATTTATGGCTTCATCAGCTTTAGAAATTTGTAATTTGTGGCCGGGTGCGGTGGCTCACGCCTATAATTCCAGCACTTTGGGAGGCCTAGGTGGGTGGATCACGAGGTCAAGAGATGGAGACCATCCTGGTCGACATGGTGAAGCCCCGTCTCTACTAAAAATACAAAAATTAGCTGGGCATGGTGGTGTGCGCCTATAGTCCCAGCTACTCAGGAGGCTGAGGCAGGAGAATTGCTTGAACCCAGGAGGCGGAGGTTGCGGTGAGCTGAGATCGTGCCATTGCACTCCAGCCTGGGTAACAAGAGGGAAACGCCGTCTCAAAAAAAAAAAAAAGTTTGTAGTTTGTACTTATTTATTCATTCCAAATAAGTATTAATTTTCATTTCTAATTTTGTATTTACAAATTATATTGCAGTGCTTCTGTTTAACATTCTACACCTCATGTAAGTTTTGGGCTCAACAATCCCTGAATGCACCTTGGATTAAGGAGTCTCGGGACATAATGTTGAATGTAAAAAACAATTTGCAGCAAAATGCATTCTCGATAATCCAATACACAGAGTTAAAAACCATGTAGTTTATTAATATATTGTTTACAGACAAAAACAAATGCGGGAAGATGACAAGGCCACAGAGGGCTTCAGAAACAGGAGGAAATTATGACTTCTGTGGGCTCTGGGCACATTTTACCTTCATGGCACTTTTCTCCATTATTAAAAAAATGGTAATTATATTTTATGACTGTGTTGGTACAAAGACTGTGTTGGTATATTAGTGTTACATGGTAAAACAATTCAAGTATGTTCAAAATATTTGACGGGCTAGAGAAGAACTGGAAAAAATGAAAATAACGGTAAACACGCTCTGCTTCCTGGACCGTTAAATTTGCATAACGGTCACCACGCCCTTCCAACAAGCCACGCCCCCTTCCTAGAATATTCCTTCGCCTGGGCCGCTTCGGAAAGAGTTCTCCGGTTTGCACCTCATCCTCGAGCCAGGGTTCTCCTCGGTAAGACTGTGTCTGACCCTCTTTTCCCAATAGGGCCCATCTCGGCCTCCTTTCTTTATCTTCTGAGTCACTACTGGTAATGTTTTATTTCCCTGTCTTCTTTATTAACTGTAAGATGGTGACGCTGGCTCATCTGGGTCAGCAGTAGGGGTTAAAAAAGCGGGTAGGGGCTGAGCGTGGTCGTCTGTAATCCCAATACTTTGGGAGTCCCAGGCGGCGGATCACTTGAGGTCAGGAGTTCCCAAACAGCCTGGCCAACATGGTGAAACCCCGTCTCTACTAAAAGTAACAAAAATTAGCCGCGCGTGGTGGCGCGCGCCTGTAATCCCGGCTACTCAGGAGGCTGAGGCAGGAGAATTGCTTGAACCCGGGAGGCGGAGATTGCAGTGAGCCGAGATCGTGCCACTGCACTCCAGCCTGGGCGACTGAGCAAGACTCCATCTCAAAAAAAAAAAAAATATATATATATATATATATATAAATATATATATATAAGTTGGGGGGTGGGGCGGGCGCGGTGGCTCACGCCTGTAATCCCAGCACTTTGGGAGGCCGAGGTGGGTGGATCACGAGGTCAAGAGATCGAGACCATCCTGGTCAACATGGTGAAACCCGGTCTCTACTAAAAATACAAAAAAATTAGCTGGGCATGGTGGCGCGTGCCTGTAATCCCAGCTACTCAGGAGGCTGAGGCAGGAGAATTGCCTGAACCCAGGAGGCGGAGGTTGCGGTGAGCCGAGATCGCGCCATTGCACTCCAGGCTGGGTAACAAGAGCGAAACTCCGTCTCCAAAAAAAAAAGGGGGGGGGGTAGGCTTTCCAGTGGATTTTACGATTTAAAAAATTTATAGACTTTTCTGAGACAAGGTCTTACGTTGTTCCCCAGCCTGGAGTGCAGAGGCACAGTCACGGCTCACTGCTGCCTCGACCTCCAGGGCTCAGTGGATCCTCCTGCCTCAGCCTCCCAAGAAGCTAGGCTCGCAGGTGGCTAATTTTTTTTTGGTAGACAACTGTGTCTCGCTATGTTTCCCAGGGTTCAAGCGAGCCTCCCGCCTGGGCCTCCCAAAGCGCTGGGATTAGAGGCGGGAACCGTCGCGAGATTTACTCTGCTGTATTGCGCATCGCGCCTTCTTCGCAAGACCTGTCGTCTCCCTTTCTGTCATATGTAAAGATATATTCCTCCGAAACTACGCGTTTCCATAATTTACATGACATCTTAGGTCTTTAAAGGGAATCTAAAGAGAAAGATTTACTTCATCATCGTTGTACATCTGGTGAAGTACCTGAGGCTTTGAAAAAAGAAGAAAAAAGACGGAACGGAAATGGCCAGCGGGCAGCGGCTGACCCCACCCCCAGCGAGGCTCTTCCCGGAGCTGCCCCGCCCGCAGGAAGCCCGGGGCGGGGCCGAGGTCAAGGCTCCGCGGCAAACTCGCCCCTTCCCAGCTGACGGGCACTGGGGATTGGTCGGGCCCCAGCTGCCCGGACGTGACGCCAGCTCCCGGCGTGGGCGGTGCACCGCTCCGCTCTTCCCGCGCCCCGCCCCCTGAAGCACCAAAACCTGAAAGCGGCGGCCGGGCGGGGCTTGCGGACGGCGGACAGCGGACGCCGGGCGCGGGGGGCGGGGCCTACCTTGCGGCGAAAGCGGGTTGGTGGCTGTGGCCGCGGGCCTACACTTTCGCCAGTGGTCGAGAGCGGGGCACAGGCATGGAGGTGGGCCACCGGCTGACGCCAGGCAGAGCGCGGTGAGGGGAGCGTCGTGAGGGCCCGCAGGTCGGGCGGGCGTGAGGGCAGGCGCGCGGCTTGTGCGCACAGGGTCGCATCGGGGAACCATCGCAGGGCTTGGGGCCCGGTGGACGGATAGGTGGGAGTCGGCGCTGCCTCGGCCGCTTCCCTCAGTGCGGGGGCGGGAACACCCGTAGACGGCTGGTGGCGGCCCTGTTGCCTTCCTGCGCGCTGGACCCGGTCGCTGATACTCCCTGTTCTTCCATTGTCTACACTGCAGTCTCGCGTGAGCTGTTTTTTGGTGTGGACACTGCGTAGTTTCCTTGGGGAAGAGCGGGATGTCTCGGGGTGGGAAGTGTCGGACCCCTCCACTCCCTCGCCTACCTGCCGCCCGGCGCCCCTCCCTTTGGATTGTTGGGTTTTTTTTCTTTTTCTTTTTTTTTTTTTTGGAGACAGGGTCTTTCTCTTGTCACCCAGACTGAAGTGCAATGGCCCAATCACGGCTCACTGCAACCTCGACCTCCTGGGCTCACGAGATCCTCCCGCCTCATCCCCCGCCCCCTCCCGAGTAGCTTGGGACCACAGGCCGGTGCCACCACTCCCGGCTAAGTTAAAAAAAAAAAAAAAATGTGTTGTCCAGACAGGGCTGGGGTCGTTGCCCAGGGTGGGCTCAGTTACTCCAGCGATGATCCGAGCTGCCGCGCTCGGCCGGTCCCTCCGGTTTGGAAGAGTCTGTTTCTTCCACCTGGTGGGGCTGGAGCGTTTGCTGCTGGCAACAGGGCTTTGTCCGTCCTCCCCAGGTTGCGGGGTACATAGATGTGCCCTCAAAATTTGCACGACCCTAGTGAAACGGGGTTGACTGCCTGGAGGGAAAAGAGCCCCACAAGGAGAAGGCCGAGTTTGGTATTTGATAAGTGATACAGGCTGAGTATCCTAGGACTGATGTTACTTGCGCTGGGTACCTTGGAGGGAATTTTAGCTCAGTGCCTAGCTATCCCTGTGAGTCGGGACAGCCCCCGGTGGAACTGGGAGTCAGAATTGCAGTTCTGCTGTTCATTTGTTGCCCGAAAGTCCACAGACAAGTTCTCTAACCTGTCAGATTTTCTTCATCAGCTGGCAGTATTGGTTGTAGGATTCATGTCAGCCTCAGATAAGAGTATAAAAGCCACTTACCAATTTTTCTTGTTTTTTTAATTACAGAAATGTTCTTTTGGGGCCGGAGTCTGGGTATCTATGAATGCATATCCGTGTTTGTTCACAACTAAGCCCAGCTGAGACGATCACTTTTCTGTAGGCCATTTGCCCAGGTAATTTTTTTTTAACAGGAGTTCAGACCACCAAGGTAAGTGCAATGATGGAAACATGTGCAGAGTCTTGAAAAATAGAGAAGAAGGTCATCAGAGACAGACTGGAAGAGAGGACGGGTGGACAGGCCCCTCCAGATGTGGTGACACTCAGGGAGGGCTTGCACACTGGTTGTTCTCAAATCCAGCTTTCTCTTGGAATCTTGGTGGAGTTCTTTAAAAGGGAAACAATTTTATCTATAGGATCTTTTCTGCTTTTTTAAGTCCTGAGGGAAGTCTGATGTGCATTCACAGTTAAGAACCAGGCAGAGGTGTGAGGGTGGGTTTTCAAGGCTGATGGATGAGCTTCCATAAAGGCAGGGAAGACCAGTCACCATGAATGGTTTTAGGAAGAGCAAGTGAAGGGAGGTAAGTGTGGAAGGAAAGAAATGATGTGGAAGATGGATCATTGAGGGCCTTGTGTATGTTGAGCTCAGCAGTTTGAATTTTTTTTTTTTTAATTGAGATGGTGTTTCGCTCTTGTTACCCAGACTGGAGTGCAATGGCATGATCTCAGCTCACCGCAACCTCTGCCTCCTGGGTTCAGGCAATTCTCCTGCCTCAGCCTCCTGAGTAGCTGGGATTACAGGCACGCGCCACCATGCCCAGCTAATTTTTTGTATTTTTAGTAGAGACAGGGTTTCACTATGTTGACCAGGATGGTCTCAATCTCTTGACCTCGTGATCCACCTGCCTCGGCCTCCCAAAGTGCTGGGATTACAGGCTTGAGCCACCGCCTCCGGCCTGCAATTTGAATTTTATCCAAACACTGGAGAAGTTACTTGTGCTTTCAAAGTCCAGTTTGGGCTTTGGGCTCTTGACAGCATTTTGGAGGAAGAATTGGTGGCAGTCAACCAAGAGGCAGAGAGATCATTCAGGCTTCTTCAGTAATCCAGGCAAATAATGAAAATGTATTGAATTAAGGCAGTGGTTGTTGCACTGAGATGAAAGTAGAGATGTAATTAAGGGGTAGGCTCTAGAGCTCAGAGACTGTGGCTGAGGTAGAAGGAGTGTGTAGGATAATTCCTAAGTTACTGGTTTGAAAATTGCATGGACAGTAATGCCATCAGCAAGGGAATATAGAACAGATAACAGACTAAGGGAAGGACTTTGTTGGGTTCTGGTCATGTTTACTTCGAGGTACCTGTCAGATGTGAGCAGAGATACTCTGTAAGCAGTTGGATGTTGAATATATCTGTCTGGAATTCTAGGCTATGCTGTCATTTATTGAGTAGGTGGAACATGTGCATCATTGCGTTAAGTTTGTATTTTTGTTTTTTTTTTTAAGACAGAGTCTCATTGTCAGCAAGGCTGGAGTGCAGTGGCTCCATCTCAGCTCACTGCAACCTCCCGACTCCTGGGTTCAAGCCTCCCAAGTAGTTGGGAGTACAGGAGTGCACCACCATACCCAACTAATTTTTGTATTTTTAGCAGAGACGGGGTTTCACCATGTTGGCCAGGATGGTCTTGATCTGTTGACCTCATGATCCTCCCGCCTTGGTCTTGCAAAATGCTGAGATTACAGGTGTAAGGCACTGCACCCTGCTTGCATTAAGGTTTTTTTTTTTTTTTTTTGAGACAAAGTTTCGCTCTTGTTACCCAGGCTGGAGTGCAATGGCTCAATCTTGGCTCACCACAACTTCCGCCTCCTGGGTTCAAGCAATTCTCCTGCCTCAACCTCCCGAGTAGCTGGGACTACAGGCGTGCGCCACCATGCCCAGCTAATTTTTGTATTTTTAGTAGAGACAGTGTTTCACCTTGTTGACCAGGATGGTCTCCATCTCTTGACCTTGTGATCCACCTGCCTCGGCCTCCCAAAGTGCTGGGATTACAGGCATGAGCCACCACGCCCAGCCGCATTAAGTTTTACAATACATTCTCAGTCTTTGGGCAGCTTCAATATAGGCAGTAGTTGCAGCAGTGGTTTGAAGTAGGTCACCCAGAAAGGGAGTACTGAGTGGTTAGAATTCTCAGGACAAGCCTTTGAAAACTTTAGTATTTATATGAGTAACAAAGGCAGGGTTGTAATTATGAAGGAGACTGAGTAGAAGAAGTGTCAAAAAATGGTGTAGCTAAAGAAAGCATGGGCAGCATTTTCATATGCTTCAGCAGAGTCAAGTTGAGAACCTGTTGGATTGGTAATGTAGAGATTATTAGGGACTTAACGTTCTCTAGAGTGTAAGGATAGAAGTCAGAGTGCAAAGGAGCTGAAGAAGTGGGAGCTAGTGAATCTAAACTTCCAGATGTTTAGCTGAGAAATATAGAAGGAGTTTTTTTTTTTAGGTTTATTTATTTACAGAAGGAGTTTCACTCTGTCTCCCATGCTGGAGTGCAGTGGCACGATCTTGGCTCACTGCAACCTCCACCTCCCGGGTTCAAGCGATTCTCCTGCCTCAGCCTCCCGAAAGCTGGGATTACAGGCACCCACCATCACGCCCAAATCATTTTTGTATTTTTAGTAGAGATGGGGTTTCACCATGTTGGCTAGGCTGCTCTTGAACTCCTGACCTCAGATGATCCACCAGGCTCGACTTCCCAAAGTGCTGGGATTATAGGTGTGAGCCACTGCACCCTGCCAGAAGAAAGAGATTGTTATCTGAAGTTTCTGGCTAGCTAATATTGAGAAATGATAGCCTAAGGATAAGTCTAGAAAATTACAGTTATACCTACAGTGAAGCATCCTATATTTTTGGTTTTGACAAATTAGCTCTCTTTTTGGTCAGTGCTCTTAGAGTTGCTTTTGTTTGAGTTTATTTTGATTTTGCAACTTGAGTATTGTCTGGACACACCCATTTCTTGTTCAGTAATGATTCCAAGTGGTTACAGGCTGATGAAACTGACAACATAGACCTCAAGAAGAACTGAGTTGTACAGAAGCTTAACAGGATTCACAGTCATTTAGAAGCAATAATTTTCCCCCTAAAAGACAAAATATTCCCTATTGGGATTTCCTGGACTTAGCCATTAGGGCAATGATGATTTTAAATTTGGAGAGTAAACCACACACATGTGGCCTTTTGAAGAAGAACCACGGAGCATAATGTTCTGTTGTTGATGTGCTCCGCAGCAGTATTTTCTGTATCTTCTAGGGTCTATGACACCTATTTGGCAGTAACTCCCATATACTTTGAGAAAATTTAGCCTTGCTCTTTGGGATGTGGAAATAAGCTAGCTCTCTGAGTGAAATAAAAAGCAAATTCTGTGATTTTCTTAGTAGAAGGTTTCTTTTGTTGTCTCCTTTGTTAGTAATTAAAGTACATGACATTTAGATCTTCAAGTAAGCTAAGTGGGAAGAAAATATGCAACGTTTTATTTGCGTGGTAGTCCCACTTAAGTGGGACTTAAATTGAAAAAAACTGCAGTCTGTCAGCTGCTGAAATCATCCTTAAACCGGTGTTTGAGAAATCTATGAAGTTTCACTTTGTTCTTATGTCTTCTAAGTTGTGTTTGAGAAATCTATGAAGTTTCACTTTCTGTGTCTTCTAAGTTCGCTTTCCTTATTGAACTAGGTCAATGGAAAAAATAACTTCTGCAAACTTAATTTCCTAGTAGTGTGATGTGGGCCTTTTAGGTATAAGTAATTCTTCTTTTGAAGAAAATAATTTTAAATTCTGCAGAAATATATTGAAGACCTTATCCCTTGTTACTTGGCATTTCCTAGTCTGCAGTGCCCTTGTACTAGGTAGGCATTAATAATACATAATTGAATTGGAGTTAGTGTCAGGAAAGGGCAGGACTCTGCAGCTATAACTACATACTCTCTTTTTTTTTTTTAAAAAAAAAACTCCCTTCGATGAGAACTGAATAACTCATATTATCCTGTTCCTCTGCTTTCAGGAGGCTCCTAATGTAGAACTTAATGAAATTAAATTCCTTCTAAATAAGTTTTCTCTTTTTTTTTGAAATCTCATTTTTAAATGTCCTTTTGTTTATGTAGTTTAATGTTGAAAGTTACCCTAAATTCTTTTTAGAACCATGAAGAAAGTATACCTCTTCAAAAGCAAAAGTAAAAGTAATATTGGCCAGGTGCCATGGCTCATGCCTGTAAATCCCAGCACTTTGGGGAGGCAGAGGTGGGTGGATCACCTGAGATCGGGAGTTCAGCCTGACCAACATGGTGAAACCCTGTCTCTATTTTTTAAGAAAAAAAATTTTTTTTTAAATAGAAAAGTAATATTAAATAAATTTAAAAAATCAATTCATATGACTAACATTTGATATGCTTATGCATTTCTGAATAATTATTTGTGAGTATAAGAAGAAACTTAAGTTTTTTTTTTTTTTTTTTTTTTTGAGACGGAGTTTGAAACAGAGTTTCGCTCTTGTTACCCAGGCTGGAGTGCAATGGCGCGATCTCGGCTCACCGCAACCTCCGCCTCCTGGGTTCAGGCAATTCTCCTGCCTCAGCCTCCTGAGTAGCTGGGATTACAGGCATACGCCACCGTGCCCAGCTAATTTTTTGTATCTTTAGTAGAGACGGGGTTTCACCATTTTGACCAGGATGGTCTCGATCTGCCGACCTCGTGATCCACCCGCCTCGGTCTCCCAAAGTGCTGGGATTACAGGCTTGAGCCACTGCGCCTGGCCGCCCAGCTAATTTTTGTATTTTTTTTTAGTAGAGATGGAGTTTTGCCATGTTGGTCAGGCTGCTCTTGAACTGCTGATCTAAAGCTATCTGCCCACCTCAGCCTCCCAAAGTGCTGGGATTACAGGCATGAGCCACTGTGCCCAAGCCTACTTAGGTTTCTTAACCTTCTTCTAACCTTCTTTCTCCTTGAATGGAGACTTTTTAAACATTTTAAAAAATTGTCCCTCCTGTGAATTTTAGTACCACCAATGTATTGTGTATCTCTTTATATACTATATGTACATCTGAGCTTTATACCTAAAAAGAGCAGGACTCTTTTTTTTTTTTTTTAAGACAGTCTTGCTCTGTTGCTCAGGCTGGAGTGCAATGGCACAATCTCAGCTCTTCGTAACCTCTGCCTCCTGTGTTCACGCGATTCTCCTGCCTCAGCCTCCCAAGTAGCTGGGATTACAGGTGCACACCACCACACTCAGCTAATTTTTTGTATTTTTAGTAGAGACAGGGTTTCACTATGTTGGCCAGGCTGGTCTCGACCTTCTGACCTCGTGATCTGCCCGCCTTGCCCTCCCAGAGTGCTGGGATTACAGGCATGAGCCTCCACGCCCAGCCTGGAATGCTTTTATCAGGAAGATTTGTTTCGCTTGTTTGTTCAGTAATTTATTTATGTCAGTATGGCTTCATGTATATTTTATACCTTGGGTAATAATCCCATATTATTTATTTTGTTCACATGTTTTAGCTTTAGCCACGGAAACTATTACAGTTTGACTTTCTGGTATTACAGGTTCCTCCAGGTCTACTTGCATTTTTCCTGACCCAGCTGATTGATTATATTATCAGTGCAGACATTTGCTTTTTATTTAGCCAATACACTGTTTACTAACTGAGCTTTCTGTTAGCTTTCATATGCATTTAGTTATAGAGATAAAAATACAGGGTCTTAGCTTATTTTTATTATACCTCATTAGAATTGGAGACCTTTTGGGATTCTGGCTTATACCCTGTTTGCTGATCTTCTCAGTTTCATGCTGTCTCTATTTCTTATACATAAGATAAAGCTGCCTTATGTAACTTTTCTTGTTTTTGAAACTGCCTCACTCTGTCACCCAGACTGGAGTGCAGTGGTGCGATACCACCTCCCTGCAACCTCTGCATCCCGGGCTCAAGCGATTCTCCTGCCGCAGCCTGGACTGACCTCGGTCTATGGATGTGCACCACTGCATCTGGCTTATTTTTTGTATTTTTGGTAGAGACAGGGTTTTGCCGTGTTGGTCAAGCTGGTCTCGAACTCCTGACCTCAGGTGATCTGCCTACCTCGGCTTCCCAAAGTACTGGGATTACAGGCACCACACCTGGCTATACTTGCCTTGTATATCTTCATTCAAATTTTTGACAAATTCAGTTCTTGGGATTTTCTTCCTGCTACTGTCTTGTTACTTTGCTCTCTGAAATTGCTAGGATTTGGAAGGTTATTTCATTTTAACCCTTTCACTTTTGAATTTGTAGAGGCTCTGATGTTGTCATAAAAACAAAAAGTTGAAGAAGGTAAAAAAACTATTAATCTAAAAAGTATTAATCTTAGTAGTGCAATAGGTTGTTAGCATTTGTAACTGTCAGAGTTATAGTGCATTGAGGAGCAGTGAGTTATGGGCAGCAGTTCATGCATATATGCAAGTTCATGTGCCCATGCTTTCAAAACAAGAGAAAACCCCTCTCTCTGTGTCACCTGAGTAATGAGATTCAGGCAATATGATTAAATATTTTTTATTTGAACATAAAGTTTGAGGATGGCCAGCTGGGATGATCTAGACTCCAGAAGATAGGGTCAGTAAATACTCTGAAGTGGAAAGGTTTTCAGGGTCATTTATATAGGCAAGGTCTGAGGAAGCTTAACAGGATTTTAATGTTTTCTACACAAGGCTAGTTTCTAGTTACAGCAATTTAATGGGTTATAGGCAGTGTTCCTTTTGGGAAGGGTCTATTTAACCTTTCACCTTAAGGATGTAGTAGTCCAGGGGTCTTTTATCTCTTTGTTAATGGGTCTCTTATCCCAGTCAAGAGATCTTTTATTGCATGTGACATCTAGTTGGAGCTGGGAACAAGAAAGTAACGAAGTTAACCTATAACAGGAGGGCAGGCTGCATTACTTGATCTCCAAAGTCAACCTTCTGTAGGGCCTAATTTTTAGAAGCCCTCAGTAGACAGCTGTCCATTTGATTTCACATCTGTATGAGTTTTTGTTATTGGCACAAGTTAATATTTATGGATTTTTGTTTCCAGAGATTTCTGGAATGTGGCTATTGGGAATGTGAAAGTTTTCCTGAGCTTTTGAGTTTGCCTCCAGTATATTACTGGAACACTCCAAAATCTATACTTTGAAAATATTGATAAGTCTGAGTTTGTATATTTTCTATCAGTACTATGTAGTTTTGAGCCTTCTCTGTAGCACAACTTTATACTGCCAGATGATACTTATTCCTAATACAATGCTTTGACTTCTCTGTGTTTTTCTTTTTCTTTTTTGAGACAGAGTTTCACTCTGTCACCCAGGCTGGAGTGCAGTGGCGTGGCTTGGCTCACTGCAACCTCTGCCTCCTGAGTTCAAGCAATTCTCCTGCCTCAGCTTCCTGAGTAGCTGGGATTACAGGTGCCTGCCACCATGCCTAGCTAATTTTTGTATTTTTAGTAGAAATGGGGTTTCACCATGTTGGCCAAGCTGGTCCCAAGCTCCTGACCTCGTGATCCACCTGCCTCGACCTCCCAAAGTGCTGGGATTATAGACGTGAGCCACTGGGCCCAGCCCTCTGTATTTTTCATATGTCAAAAGTAGAAGAATTTTATGAGTTTAGCCAGTTCAGTAATTGATAAGCCAGCCAGCAGAACATTTGGGCTGTAGCGGCACATTTTAAATTGAAGACCAGGTTGACAAGTTGTAGTGTGTCTATTCCTGACACACAGTAGACCTGAAGTTGGTTTTTTTCTTGATGTTTTTTTTTCTGGCTGTAGGTACACAATGAGCACATGTTGTTGGTGTACACCAGGTGGTGGTTCCACCACTGACTTCCTAAAGCACTATGCGTCCAACACTCGATCCAGTGAATTTCAGACAGCCAATGAAGACCTCTGCTACTGCTTAGAGTGTGTGGCTGAATACCACAAAGCAAGAGATGAAGTGCCATACTTGCATGAGGTAATTTATATTAGATGGACAATATTTTTCAGAGCTTGATAGCTAGAACAGAAGAAGTTTGGACACTGTTGGGAAGTATTCAGAAAAATGATGATATAATTTCAACTTTGTGGGGTTTTTTTGTTTTTATTTGTTGTTGTTAGAGATGGCGTCTTGCTCTGTCGCTCAGGCTGGAGTACAGTGGTGTGATTATACTTATATCATTTTACACGTTTGAGTATATTCTTAGGACAAATTCCTGAAAGCGGAAGTGCTGTCTCATGATTTTCCATGGGCCACATGGGTTTTCATAGCTTGTTTTGCTATGTTTTGGAGACAAGGTCTTTGCTCTGTTTCCCAGGCTGGAAGTGCAGTGGTGTGATCACGGTTCACTGCAGTCTCAACCTTCTGGACTCAAGCCATCCTCCCACCTCATCCTCCTGAGTAGCTGGGACCATGGGCATGTGCCAGTATTCTCAGCTAACTAAAAAAATTTTTTTTTGTAAAGACACGGTCTTCTGTTTTGCCCAGGCTGGTCCTGAACTCCTGAGTTCAAGTGATCATTGCACCTTGGCCCCCCAGTGTTGGAATTATAGGCATGAGCCACTGTGCCTGGCCAACTTTGAAGGCTAACTCATTGTCTGGTATATAGTAGGTACTGAGTAAATGTTTAGCACTGGTGGAATTGAAACCTGGAACAGAATTTTATGATCTGTCACTTTTAGTCACTTTGGTATAAAATAATTTTATGAAACAGAGTCATTGGGAGGGGATTTGTTTCTTAATTTTTGGTAAGTGCTATAATACATGCATGTATCTGAATGGCTTGGGGTTTTTGTTTCCCCACCACCCCCAACCTGGCCACTACTCAGGTTTTTTTTTAATTGGAAATAATAAATTCTTTTTTTTTTTTTTTTTTTTTTTTTTTGAGATGGAGTTTCGTTGTTGTTACCCAGACTGGAGTGCAATGGCACGATCTCGGCTCACTGCAACCTCCACCTTCTGGGTTCAAGCAATTCTTCTGCCTCAGCCTCCTGAGTAGCTGGGACTACAGGCACGCACCACCATGCCCAGCTAATTTTTGTATTTTTTTAGTAGAGAACGGGGTTTCACCTTGTTGACCAGGATGGTCTCGATCTCTTGACCTCGTGATCTACCCGCCTTGGCCTCCCAAAGTGCTGGGATTATAGGCGTGAGCCACTGCGCTCGGCCCAAATTCTTTTTTTAATGGGCAAATGGCATAAACCTCTAAGGGGAAGTATATTTTCCAGTCATAATAACCAAAGTGAAAGATATAATTCTAAATATGTGGTTTTGAATATTTGGTTTATTTGATGAAAAACAGAATGTAGGCCATAGAGATATATACAGTATATAGAGGAGAGGATGATTAGTGATGGATTTGTGTTGAGAAACTTGCATTTTATAAAGTTTTCTAATAATGAAGCTGTCCAGCATATTTGTACTATATGCTGGGCTAAGGTACTTAGCTATGGCTGGAATGTAGAAGGGAAGACATAGAAGGGCCTCAGTTTTGCTTTTGAGAGAGAAGCTCCAGCTTCTCTTTTTTTTTTTAAAGTATAGTTGATAGTGATGTTGGGATATGTATAGAAAAATTCTACAAGAGAAGTGTTTAAACATCTCAAATACTATTTTTTTGTTTCCTTTTTTCTCTTAGGGACAGTGTCACTATGTCATCCAGGCTGGAGTACAGTAGCACAGTCATAGCTTACTATAGCCTCAGATTCTTGGGCTCAAGTGACTCTCCTGCCTCAGCCTTCAGAGTAGCTAGGACTATAGGCACGCAACATGCCTAGCTCATATTTTTTTTTTTGGTGATGTCAAGGTCTTGCTTTACTGCCCAAGCTGGTCTCGAACTCCTCACCTAAAACAGTCCTACCTCAGCGTCCCAAAATGCTAGGATTACCCGTAAAGGTGTGAGCCACTGTGCCTGGCCAACATTTCATACTGTGTGTACTCCTTTTTCATAAAAGCGGCCACATTTTAAGTAGGTTTCTTTAAATCTAAAATATAATCTCTAATACTTTACATTTCAGAATTGTACTTAGAAAAAGGCTTTCTAGGTCATCACATTCAGTGTATTTTGTTGATAATAAGACATAACGCACACTGCCCATTTTATTTTCCTCTAGGTTTTATGGGAGTTAGAAACCTTACGTCTCATAAATCACTTTGAAAAATCCATGAAGGCAGAAATTGGAGATGATGATGAATTATATATAGTAGACAACAATGGGGAGATGCCACTGTTTGACATTACTGGACAAGACTTTGAAAATAAGCTTCGAGTTCCTCTTCTTGAAATACTGAAATATCCTTACTTGCTTCTACATGAACGTGTTAGTGAGTATCTTGGTGGTTCCTCAAGTTATATCAGTTATATTATTATAATATTTTAATATTATAAGAATTTAGGCTTATCTGTATTACAAATTTGTTTGCCAAACATATATTTAGGATATATAATTAGGACTTCTTTTTTCCTCAACATTTTTGTTTTTTTTAGTTCAAACACAAAATACCTATTTTTAGGGGCATAGTTCAAACTTACCTTGTTCAGGGGACAACTGAAGATTGTTTTTGTGTTTTTTTAGAGACAGGATCTTGCTCTGTCACCTTGGCTGGAGTGCAGTGGTACAGTCATGGCTTGTTGCAGCCTCTACCTCTTGGGCTCAGGTAATACTGTTGCCTGAGCCTTCTGGGTAGCTGGGACTAAGGTGTGTGCCATTGCGCCCAGCTAATTTTATATTGTATTTTTTGTAGATGAGGTTTCACTATGCTGCACTGCCCAGGCTGGTGTCGAACTCCTGGGCTCAAGCAGTCCTCCCACCTCAGCTTCCCAAATTGTTGGGATTCCAAGCACGAGCCACCATTCCTGGCTCCCAACATTTTATTGTGAAAGTTTTTAAACACAGAAAAAGTAAACTATAGAGTGAACACCATATACCCATCACATAGATTGTACAGTTGTTTTTTGCTGTATTTGCGTTATCATGTATCTGTTCATCTATTCATTCAATTATTGATCATTTTCATTATTGCCAGGCAGGGTGGCTCACGCCTGTAATCCCAGCACTTTGGGAGACTGAGGCAGGCAGATTACCTGAGGTCAGGAGTTGGAGATCAGTCTGGCCAACATAGTGAAACCCATCTCTACTAAAAATACAAAAATTAGCCGGGCATGGTGATGGACACCTGTAATCCCAGCTACTCAGGAGGCTGAGGCATGAGAATCTCTTGAACCTGGGAGACAGAGGTTGCAGCAAGCCAAGATTGTGCCATTGCACTCCAGCCTGAGTGACAGATTGATACTCTGTCTCAAAAAAGTAAAATAATAATTTTTATTATTGTAGTATATCTGTGGCAGAGTTCTCAGGCTTTCCACTGGTGCCATTTTGGATAGTCCTTTGCTGTGTGGGGCTGTGCTGTCTATTGTAGGATGTGTAGCAGCATCCCTGACCTCTGTCTACTAAATGGCAGTAGTGCTCCCTCTCTCCTTTGTGACAACCAAAAATGTGTCCAGACATTAGTGGATATCCCTTTTGGGGGATGGTGAGGTATAAAATCACCCCTGATTGAGAGACGCTAATCTGTAGTAATTTTCACTCATCACCATGGCATGGCTTATTATAGCTGTCTAGATTTTGGCTGTTTACATTTGCGTTTCATAATATGAATCTCTTGAAAGTAAAGGCACTTCCCTAACCTATCAAATCGAACAATATATATTTTTTTAAAGTCTCACTGTGGCCCAGGCTGGAGTGCAGTGGCATGATCTTGGCTCACTGCAACATCCACCTCCTGGATTTAAGAATTCTCCTGCCTCAGCCTCCCAAGTTGCTGAGATTACAGGCACGCACCACCACACCCGCTAATTTTTTTTATTTTTAGTAGACACAGGGTTTCACCATGTTGGCCAGGCTGGTCTCAAGCTCCTGACCTCAAGCGATTCACCCACCTCAGCCTCCTAAAGTGCTGGGATTACAGGCACGCGCCACTGTGCCCAGCTCAAAATAATACTAAAATCTGGTTCATTTTCCTATTTTCCCAATAGTGGCGAATGTGTTTTTGGCTGATTTGTTGAAATTAGAATCTAGTCAGGGACTACACATTGCATTTGGTTGATAGTTCCTACAGCTCTTTTAATTCGAAACAGTATTCTCAGCCTGGGCAGCATAGCAACACCCTCCCTCCCCCATCTCTACAAAAAAATAAAAATTAGCTGGACATAGTGGCATGTGCTTGTATTCCTAGGTACTCAGGAGGCTGAGATGGGAGGAGCACTCGAGCCCAGGAGGTTGAGCCCGTAATGAGTCATGGTCGTACCTCTGTCCTTCATCCTGGGCAACAGTGCAAGACCCTGTCTCTAAAAAACCAAAAAATAGTCTTCAGTTGACCCTTGAACTGTGCAGATCCAGTCATACATGGATCTTTTTTCAACCAAAATTGAATAAAAAATACAGTATTCATGGGTTGCAAAACCTGCTTCTATGGAGGGTTGACTTTTTGTGTATGCTGGTTTCTCAGGGGGGACTACAGGACTCAGCTATGTGTGGATTTTGCTATACATGGGTACCCTGGAACCACAGCCATGCGTGTACCAACTGTATTTGTACAGAAACCAACATGTACCCTTATCTTTTTTTTGCCACAAGTTTGACTTTTTGAGGAGGGCGTATATTTGCTCTGTAGAATAATACACTTCATGGATTTTTCTGGTTTCTTTCCTGTGCTGTTAACATGTTTCTTCATTTACCATATTTTCAGTAAACTGAAAAGATCTAAAGACATGATTAGGCAAGTCAATTTTGTCTAAATCAATAAATTCAAAGTAACTAGATTGGAAAATTCTGAGACATTTTCAAATATTTATTAAAGAATAATCTATCCATAAAAGTATATAAGCTTGGTTTTTTTGCAAATTAAACACATTTGTATAGCCAGCATCCAGATCAAGCTTCAAAACATTATCAACATCCGAGAAGCTCCCTTCGTGCTTCTCTAGTCATTATATCTCCCCATCCCCAAAGCCAACCTGTCACTAGTCAAAGAACTATAATATTGAAAATGTAATTTGAAAAAGCAATAATGTTTTTTAAAATTTTACGGCTAAAACTTGATTGATCTGAAACAGTAAATGGATTGTTCAATAAATGGGAGTGGGACAGCTAGTCATTTAGGGGTAAAGCTGATTTTGTTCCTTGTTTTATATCAGATAAGTCTAGGTGTATCAAAACATAAAATACACATGGAATTGGACCTATAACCATATGCTTACAGGTCTTTTACACATTCCCTATGGAGAGAATTATGCTAAGTGTAAAAAAAGAGATGTATTTTAATAAGGTTAGAATAATTTCTGACAACACCTATGATCAACAGATTTAGTCTTCCAGATATGTAAATATTGTTCCTGTATTTACAATATCAGCATTTTTATGGCTCAATTTGGAAAAAAAAAAAAAAAAAGCAAATTTTCATTTATTTACAGAGTAACCCAAGGAGCCTAATTTAGGGAATCTTGATAAGGTGATAAGAGTTATATGTTTTATTTAACTTATATTTTTCTTTCTAGATGAGTTATGTGTTGAAGCACTTTGTCGGATGGAACAAGCCAATTGCTCCTTTCAGGTGTTTGACAAACATCCAGGGATCTATTTGTTTTTGGTCCATCCCAATGAAATGGTGAGTTTGAGTGCTGGGCAATAGAAGGATATGTTGTACTGTTGTACCTGTAATAGCTGTAATAGAGGTTTTTGGTGTGGATTTTGTTTAAAAAGTTTGCTAAGATTTTTCTTGCTTTAAAATTTACTACAGTTAAGTAGAGGGTGCTGTGGGGTAAAGAAGAGGGGATCTGAGCAGAGAGGGTAGGGGAATACTTACTGACAGGTGATGCTTGAGCTTAAAAGACAAACAGGAATAACTTGATGTTCTTTCAGTACGTTGAATTGTACTCAAGAAGAACTCTTCTCTTGACTTTCTTACCTGCTTGTCCCACTCCAAACATGTGGAAATACTGGTTAAACATTTGAAAATTTATTTTCAGATAGATGAGAGTTAAAACAAAGGGAGGTATGGAGGGGAACTGGGAAATTCTGGTGCCGGAAATGAAGAAGAACAAAAGCCAGAACAGTGAGCAGAACAGATAGCATTGAAACCTGAAATAGCCCTAAATGGCTAAGGTCATCTTTTGTGGTAAGACAGTCTTTGCTTCAGGTGTCCATGCATAATGCCACCTAGAACCAGTAGCCAGGAAAAGCTGCTCTGCCAATGTAAGGCACCTGCCAGTAGCCAGGAAAAGCTGCTCTGCCAATGTAAGGCAACAAAAATGGTGGTTTTTAAAAAGCAGCAAATAAAAAGCATGGTCATGGGATTGCCAGTCAAGATGATGGTGAATTTCAGTTTCTTCTGGGCCAAACGCATAACAATGATAGAAAAAATCTGAAAGGAGAAAATAAAAGAGGTATCATCACATTCCTCAAAAGGAAAACTATTTCTGTGGACCAGCAGTGGAACAGAAACACAAAGTAATCAATGAGTGGAAACCTGTAGGCCTGGGTGGCAGTAGGTAGCTGGGGATTCAGCTTGGGCAAGACAGCAGGAAATTAGAAGTATATGCTGAGCAAGGCAAAGAACCAAAGCCAGACTCTGTACTTCAAACAAGGGGTGAGCAGATGGGGGTGCTCCTCTGCCTGTGAAAGAAGGTTGCCAAAGTATTATGAAGGTTCACTGGCTTTTTAAAAGTTGTGTACATATGGAGGAAACAGGTCTGATCTTGTAACCAGGACCTGGGCCAAGCACTTGCTGAGTTTTCCTCACCCTTATGTGACCAAAGGTTTTGTGTCCTGAGCTGCCAATAGTTGACCTAGATCTGGAGCAGGACTCTGAAGGATGGATAGAAACCAGCCCAAATTTATATTTAGAAAGGGGACGGGTAGTGGTAGGAGGGACACAGAATTTTTCTCTGTTGGATGAGCTTGCAAACCAAATCCCTGAAAAACACATGAAGAAAATGCATGCTCTGACAGAGAATGAGGACCAGTGCTGTTGGTCCTTTCCCTAAGTTTAACTCTAGAGGAACTTGAAAGAGAAAATTTGGAGAAACTGAGTTGACAAGGGCTGGTTTATTTAAAACATTTTTTTAAATTATTTTTAATTTTTAATTTTTTGAGGTGGAGTCTCACTCTGCTGCCCAGGCTGGAATGCAGTTGTGCAGTTTCAGCTTACTGCAACCTCTGCCTCCTGAGTTCAAGAGATTCTCCTGCCTCAGCCTCCCAAGTAGCTGGGACTACAGGCACATGCCACCATGCTTGGCTAATTTTTTGCATTTTTGGTAGAGATGGGAGTTCACCATGTTGGCCAGGCTGGTCTTGAACTCCTGACTTTGAGTGATCCGGCTGCTTTGGCCTCCCAAAGTGCTGGAATTACAGGTGTGAGCCACCATGTCCAGCCGACAAGAGCTGTTTTGAAAGGTGAATGTTGGAGATGGGGAGGAGAACATCCTTAGTTGGTGAATTCCTTTTCACTCCAGGGTATTGGCTCCTATTAGGCAGTGCCTATAGGAGGCACTATTGAATTGCCTCACAGAGCATTTTCCCACAGCCAGAGAATAAAATGGGCTCTGGGAGAATAAAGGAGAAAAGGAACTGTTAAGGTTCTGCTTTCAGTTCTCCTTCATCATTGCCTAAGATGAATAATGCCTGCATCCAAATCTTTATCAACTAAAAGATCCGATCCAGGTGGAGGTAGGAATGAAATCAGGACGGTGTATAACCCCTGATGTTTGTGAGGCACTGAGACAAGCAGGAGGAGACCAGTTAACCATGGATAATTGCTTTAGTGTCATCCCCTCTCAGTCCCAGGACTGGGGAATTATAGCCCAGTAGTGTCTTCTAATTAACTTTTTCTTGCTGGGAATAAAGGGTGACTACCTGACTTAGAAAATTAAAATGCAAGGTAGTGAGTGATTACGTTTTTCTGCCTTGGATTTTATCCACCACTCAGCCCTGAATTGATTGGGCATAAGCCAGTTTGGAGTCTAGCCTTCCATAGGCACTGCCTCATAGGAGCCAATACCCCAGAGTGAAAAGGAATTCACAAACTAAAAATAATAGACGTATGAGAAACATAAAGATTTTGGTAGAAGCAGATATATTAGAATACTTGTCTAATAATTTAAAATTATTATAGTAAATGTACTAGAAGAAATAAGGGAAGATACTAATATGAAATGAGAACTCGAAACCGTGAGAACCAAGCCAAGTTGTAAGGTTGAAAAATGAGATAATTAAAGCCTTCAGGAGATGGGATAAATAATATAGTGGGTACAGCTAAGAGTACGAGTGACTGAATTAGAAGACCAGAATGAGCAAATCCCTAAGAAAAATACAAATGGAAAATATAAAAAGAAAAGCTAAAAGATAAATGGGGGTAGAAGTAGTACGACTAACAAAGATGTAAGATGTCCCAGAAAGAGAAATAAAAATCAGGACAAAGAAATATTGGAGATACAGCCTGGCACAGTGGCTCACACCTATAATCCCAGGACTTTGGGGGGCCGAGGCAGGTGGATCACCTGAGGTCAGGAGTTCAAGACCAGCCTGGCCAGCGTGGTGAAATCACATCTCTACTAATAATACAAAAAATTAGCTATGCACGGTGGTGTGTACCTGTAGTCTCAGCTACTCGGGAAGCTGAGGCGGGAGAATCACTTGAACTCAGGAGGCGGAGGTTGTAGCGAGCCGAGATCATAACATTGCCCTCCAGCCTGGGCAACAAGAACGAAACTCCATCTCACAGAAAACAAAACAAAACAAATACTGGAGATATAAGGGAGATCAATTTTCTGGAATTAAAAAAATAATAATAAAAGACTGCTGATTAACATCAAAGAGGAGAGAAGGGAAGAAAGCCCTATACCTATGTAAAATAGTAAAATTTAAGAACATCAAAGACAAATTCGAAAGGTTCTTTAAAGAAAAGATCATACTACACAAAGAAGAATCAGGTTGACACCAGATTTGTAGCAGTCACATTGAATGCAGAAAGACAGTGGAGTAGTTTTTTATAGAGTTCTTAGGGAGAGTTTAAAACTTCAAATTACATATGTAGCCAAAGTGATTTAAATATGAGGGCATCATCAAAACCTTTTTTTGTTTTCTTCTTTTTTTTTGAGACAGTCTCGCTCTGGCTCACTGCAGTCTCCACCTCCAGGTTCAAGCAATTCTCCTGCCTTAGCCTCCTGAGTAGCTGGGATTACAGGCGCATACTACCACATCCAGCTAATTTTTTTTGTATTTTTAGTAGAGATGGGGTTTCACCATGTTGGCCAGGATAGTTTCAATCTCCTGACCTCGTGATCCGCCTGCCTCAGCCTCCCAAAGGGCTGGAATTACAGATGTGAGCTACTGCACCTGGCTGGCATAATCAAAACATTCTAAGATAGAAGGTCTTAGGAGGTTTGCCCCTCAAAGACCCACACTGAATGAAGTTTTAAAACATACAAGAGAAGAACCCAGCAGTTGTTGCACAAGATACATATAGTTGACTGAATGCTGAGGTAAAGTTTATTATTTAAAAGAAAAAAGGCTGGGTGCTGTGGCTTCTGCCTATAATCCTGGCACTTTGGGAGGCACAGGAGGAAGGATCACTTCCGTCCAGGAGTTCAAGGCCAGCCTGGGCAACATAGTGAGACCCTGTCTCTACCCAAAAAAAAAAAAAAGCTGGGTGCCTGTATTCCTAGCTACTTAAGAGTGAGATCCTATCTCAAAATAAATAAATGAATATATGCATGCATTGCTAAATTCAAAGAAGGTGTGTACACACTGAACATCCCTAATCTCAAAATCTTAAGTGCTCCAAAATCAGAAAGCTGTTTAGTGCTGACATTATGCTCGAAGGAAACACTCATTGGAGCATTTCCGATTAAGGATGCTTAACTGATAAAATAAGCAAGTGTTCCAAAATCTGCCAAAAATCAAAATTTGAAACACTTTTGGTCCAAGCATTTTTAATAAGGGATACCCAACTTGTATATCAATAATAACTTTGAGCAGGTGTTTTCACCATGACAGGATTGTCAGGTAAGGCCATCAAAGATGTGAGAGCATACAAAGTTTTTATCCTGTTAAGTACAGAGATAAATATGAATTATTTTTAGAAGAAATACATTGAAAGAGGAAAAAACTAACATGTTAAAAGTAAATTACAGTCATGAAAATAGATGTAAAAATACTAAACAAAATATTAGAAAATCTCAGCTGGTGCTGTAGCTCATGCCTATAATCCCAGCACTTTGGGAGGTGGAGGCAGGTGGATCACTTGAGGTCAGGAGTTCGAGACCAGCCTGGCCAACATGGAGAAACCCCGTCTCTAGTAATAATAGAAAAATTAGCCTGGCATGGTGGTGGATGCCTGTAATCCCAGCTACTTGGGAGGCTAAGGCACAAGTATTGCTTGAACCTAGGAGGTAGAGGTTGTAGTGAGCTGAGTTGCGCCACTGCACTCCAGCTAGGACAGACAGAGTGAAACTGTCTCACAAAAATAAAAATTAAAAGTATAATTTTATTACTTTAACAGATTAAAGCAACCTGGGCAACATGGTGATACCCTGTCTCTCCAAAAAGTAAAAAAAAAAAAAAAAATTAGTTGGGCACGGTGATTTGCACCTGTGGTCCCAGCTACTCTGGTGGCTGAGGACACCTCCTTGAGCCCAGGAGGTGTTGGTGCCATTGCACCCCAGCTAGGCCACAGAATGAGACCTTGTCTCAAAGACACATAAGACAGATTAAAGTGGGAAAACCTGTGAGTATCTAAATAGATGCAAAAAAAGAACTGTTTGATAAAATTCAGTACTCATTCATGATTTAAAATCCTTAGCAAATTATGAATAGAATGGAATTTCATAATCTAATGAATAGTATCTATAAAAGCTAGAGGAAACATCAGCATGAACTAATCTTTAATGAAGCATTTACTTTAAAATCAGGAGTAAGACGAAAGTGCTCACTGTCACTTTTGTAAAGAGGGTCTGGTCAATCCAGTAAAGATATTAGAAGACTAAATTAGAGGCATAAAGATTTGAAACGAAAAAATAAAATGCCATTATTTGCGATATTATGATCGTTTCCATAGGAAACCTCCCTAAGTTATGAGCAATAGGAGTTTAATAAGGTGACTAGATGTAAGATGGATTTCTAAAACTCAGTTACATTTTTAAATACAAGTAGCCAAAAAGAAGTTTCCATTTATAGTAAATTTTAAAAATATTGAACGGCTACCCATAAATCTCACAAAGATATCAAGACCTCTAAAGGAAGATTATAAAATTTAATTGACAGATGAGAGGGTCTAAATAAATGAAGAGAGAGACACTTTATATAGCATAGGAAAGCTTAATAACAGAAAGATGCCCATTTCCTCCAAACCAGTCTTGTGATTCAGAGCGTTTCTAACAAATTCCAACAAGGTTTTTAGCACAATGTGTGTTGAGATGCTGTGAAAAATTTTGTATGAAAGAGGAAGGTGCCAAAAATTGTCACAACATTTCTGAAAAAGAGTAGATAAGGGAGATTGATAAGCACAACTTACTGTGAAGCTTTAATAATTAGGATGTATAGTCCTAAGACATACATGGACAGACAGATTGGCCAGTGAAATAAAATAGAAAGCTCAAAGAGGCCTACTCGGCCAGGCATGGTGGCTTACACCTGTAATCCCAGCACTTTGGGAGCCCAAGGCGGGCAGATCATGAGGTTAGGAGTTCAAGACTAGCCTGGCCAATGTGGCGAGAGCCCGTCTCTACTAAAAATACAAAAAAATAGCTAGTCATGGTGGCAGGCACCTACAATCCTAGCTACTCGGGAGGCTGAGGCAGGAGAATCAGTTGAACCTGGAAGGCAGAGGCTGCAGTGAGGCGAGATTGCACCACTGCACTCCAGCCTGGGCGACAAGAGGGAGACTCCATCTCAAAAAAAAAAAAAAGACCTACTCATTTGGATCTTTGATATTTTAAGGAGACAATTTGTAAGGTCTGTGAGGTAAAGAGGGACTGGAAATTGGAGATGATAGGAAAGGTGTACTATATGGAAAGAAGTTAGATCCCTACCTCATTATCATAGTGATAAAATCTATCCTAAAAACCATAGTTAGGTTCAGTTTTCAAACTCTTAGCAGGAAATAGAGGTGTGTGTCATTCAGATTGTAAGGTGAGGAAAGGTTTGTTTTATTTATTTTTTATTTTTTGAGACAGGGTCTTGCTCTGTCACCCAGGCTGGAGAGCAGTGGCATATGGGAGTGTAGCCTCTGCCTCCCATATTCAAGCAATTCTCCTTCTTCGACCTCCTGAGTAGTACAAGCCATTCTCCTGCCTCTGCCACCATGCCTGTCCAATTTTTTGTGGAGATGGGGTTTTGCTATGTTGCCCAGGCTAGTTTTGAACTCTTGTTTCAAGTGCCCCCCCACCTCATCCTCCTAAAGTGTTGAGATTACATGCATGAGCCACCATGCCTTGCCTGAGGAAGGGTTTTATAAAAAAGAAAGCATTGATTATGAAAGGAAAGTTGATGAACTTGACTATATTAAAATGAAAGTTATTGTTTATCAAAAGACATCATAATGAGAGTGAAAATACTAGTTAAAAATTGGGAAAAGGGCTGGGTCTGGTTGCTCATGCTCGAAATCTCAGGACTTTAGGAAGCCAGGGCTGGAGGGGATTGCTTGAAGCCTGGAATTCAAGACCAGCCTGGACAACATAGCAAGAACCCATGTCTGCAAAAAAAAGTTTTTTTTTTTTTTTTTTTTTTTTTTTTTTAAGACGGAGTCTCACAGTCATCCAGGCTGTAGTGCAGTGGCGCGATCTCGGCTCACTGCAATCTCTGCCTCCTGGGTTCAAGCAGTTCTCCTGCCTCAGCCTCCCGAGTAGCTGGGACTACAGGTGTGCACCACCAGGCTCACCTGATTTTTTTTATTTTTATTTTTAGTAGAGACAGGATTTCACCATGTTGGCCAGGATGCTCTCGATTTCCTGACCTCGTGATCTGCCTGCCTTGGCCTCCCAAAGTGCTGGGATTACAGACATGAGCCACTGCACCCGGCCCCCCAAAATTTTTTTTAATTAGCTGAGTGTGGAGTTGCACGCTTGTAGCCCTAGCTACTCAGGAGGCTGAGGTGGGAGGATCACTTGAGCCCAGGACGTTGAGGCTTCGAACCCTGATGATGCCAGTGCACTCCAGCCTGGGCAACAGAACAAGACTCTTTCTCAAAAAAAATAAGTAGGACTGGGTGCAGTGGCTCACGCTTGTCAATCCCAGCACTTTGGGAGGCCAAGGCGGGCAGATCACCTGAAGTCAGGAGTTCAAGACCAGCCTGGCCAGCATGGTGAAACACCCCATCTCTATTAAATATACAAAAATTAGCTGGGTGTGGTGGCAGGCACCTGTCATCCCAGTTACTTGGGAGGCTGAGGCAGGGAATTGCTTGAACCTAGGAGACAGAGGATGAGTGAGCTGAGATCATGCCACTGCACTCCAGCCTGGGTGACACAGCAAGACTCTGTCTCAAAAAAAAAAAAAAGATGGTAATTTCCTAACTCCAGCACTCTCCATGTTTACTAGTTACCACTTGACATTGGTTGTACAGTAATCAAGAGCCTTTCCCCCTTCTACCACTTATTATCAGTAAGGACTCGTGGATTCCAAAACTTCTTCAGTGGTTTATAATTTGTAGCTTATATTGGCCTAGAGCTCATGCTTTTACTTGTGGGGTCTGTGTTTTTCCACCTTTTTGACTACAACTTGTAGTAAAAAATGTTTTCCTTGTATATATGTGTGCATATGTAATATAAAGTATTTTGTAAAATAATACTTCTATTTTGTGAAGGATGTACTTAGATATTTTTCTGTTCTATTTAGCTTTTCTTTTTTGAGACAGCATCTAGCTCTGTCACCCAGGCTGGAGTGCAGTGGTATAATCTCAGCACACTACAGCCTCCACCTCCCAGGTTCAAACTGTTCTCCTGCCTCAGCCTCCCAAGTAGCTGGGACTACAGCCACGCGCTGCCATACCCAGTTAATTTTTGTATTTTGTATTTTTAGTAAAGACATGTTAGCCAGGATGGTCTTGATCTCTTGACCTCCTGATCCTCCTGCCTTGGCCTCCCATAGTGCTGGGATTACAGGCGTGAGCCACTGTGCCTGGCCCTAAAAGAATAATTTCTTAATGTTGTGTTGGCAGTCAGTGTTTGAGTGAATGGAAATGATTGCCTAGAAGTGTTTATTATGGTCAGTATGTTAAAATCAGGATCAAATAAGATTTTATACGTTGCATTAATTAGTATCTCACATGTCTTAAAATTTGCAGAGAATCCTGTTTTCTTCTCTGTGTTCTTGCTGTATAAAATATACAATAAACAATGGAGACCATTAAGTAATAAACACATTATGTTCTGCATTTAGGTTCGGCGTTGGGCTATCTTGACTGCAAGAAACTTGGGGAAAGTGGACAGAGATGATTATTATGACTTACAAGAGGTTTTAACTTGCCTTTTTAAAGTCATTGAGTTGGGGCTTTTGGAGAGTCCAGACATTTATACTTCTTCTGTCCTCGAGAAGGGTAAACTGATTCTTCTGCCATCACACATGTATGATACTACCAACTACAAAAACTATTGGTTAGGTGAGTATTGTTCCTACTCTAATATCATTAGTATTTCCCTATAGTTCTGTTATTGAGACAGAATCTTGCTCTGTTGCCCAGGCTGGAGTGCAGTGGCACCATCTCCGCTCACTGCAAGCTCCACCTCCCAGGTTCAAGCAATTCTTCTGCCTGAGCCTCTTGAGTAGCTGTGATTACAGGTGATTACCATCACACCTGGCCACTTTTTTTTTTTTTTTTTTAATATATTTTTAGTAGAGATGGGGTTTCACCATTTTAGCCAGGCTGGTCTTGAACCCCTGACCTCAGGTGATCCTCCCGCCTCAGCCTCCTAAAGTGCTGAGATTACAGGTGTGAGCCACCACACCCAGCCTTATAGTTTTTATGAGTGTCCTAAAAAGGAAGTGTTCTCTTTCAGTGATCTGATAAAAATTGCTAAAGATAGGATTTTATAGTTCTCAGTTTTTATTCTGTCATTAAATTGACTTAATTATTACACATCTTGTTACTAAACATTATCCTAGATGCTTTCTGTATAAGAGTTACATTTTCAAGTGCTGGCAAATGGATCGAATCTTATTTAAAAGTTATCAGCATTGTTTACTAGTCCTATAGTGGCTTAAAATAGTTCTACACCATTTCCTTGATTCCAAATCTTAAGGTCATGTGTCATGATTGGCAGTGATTTTTTTTCTTTTCTTTCTAGTATATGGAATATGGTACATCTTAAAACTGAAGGCTGCTTATATTGATGAGATGAAAGTTACTTGGTAGTTACCTTAGAAATTGTTTTCTAACCATTTTCCACTTTCACACTTGAATTACTGTAAAGTTCTGTTACTTGGGAGCAGTTGTATATGAATATCTTAGACTTAAATGTTTGAGAAACTAAATACTATAATGCTATCTTGCTTCATCTTCCTGTCTTGTTTTTCTTTTGCAAACTAAACCAGTGAAGGCATTAGAATAGTATTATTTCATCAATTCAAGAAAACTCTAAATGATCTTACAGGTATTTGCATGTTGCTGACCATTCTTGAGGAACAAGCCATGGATTCACTATTGTTGGGCTCAGACAAACAAAATGATTTTATGCAATTAATACTTCACACCATGGAGAGGCAATCAGATGGTAATAAACGTTACTTGCTGAATGTTTTTGAGTGTGGTGATAATGATGATGCACTTTAAAAATCATAGTGTCATTGTAGGAATTGATGTATGTTGCGGAGAAAAGAATTTTTCTGGTTTATTCACAGATTCAGTCTTTTTTTTTTGAGATGGAGTTTTGTTCTTATTGCCCAGGCTGGAGTACAATGGTGTGACGTTGGCTCACTGCAACTTCCACCTCCCGGGTTCAAGCAATTCCCCTGCCTCAGCCTCCCAAGTTGCTGGGACCACAGGTGCACACGGCAACACCTGGCTAATTTTTTTGTATTTTTAGTAGAGATGGGGTTTCACCACGTTGGCCAGGCTGGTCCTGACCTCTGGTGATCTGCCTGCCTTGGCCTCCCAAAGTGCTGCGATTACAGGTGTGAGCCACCATGCCCTACCCAGATTCAGACTGTTTAATCAGAAAGGACCTTTAGAATTTAATTCAACACCTTCCTTTCATAGAAGAAGGGAAGTTAATCTAGTTTTTCATGATGAAAAAGTTGGTGGTAGGATGAAAATCAGAACCTCTGGGAGATTCATTTGTAATGACATTGTGGTTAACATTGTGGGAAAAGCCTTCTCTGTCCCACGGCCTTCCTTTGCCTACCTCTTCATTTCTCTGCTTCTCTGTCCAGTACAGTAACTGCTAGCCACATGTGATTATTAAAATTTAAATTAATTAAAATTACAAATGCAGTTATTTGGTTCCACTAGCCATATTTCAAGGCTTAGCAGCCATACGTGCCTGCACTGTGTTGATTAATACATAGAACAGTTTCATCGTCACAGAACATTCTCTTGGATATGTTGCTCTAGATAGTCTAGATAATGAGGCCTAAAACTTGTGGTCCTGTTTATTATTAGATCCCATCTCCTTTTGCTGATGCTTGTGTCATGCTAATCATGAAAGATCTGTAGTTAAATAAGTGTTTCTAATCTTGATGAAGTAATAAATTAATAAAGACCAAGTATACCAGATCCTATGAAAACATTACAAATATTGTTTTTTCCCTTCATTTACTTCTCTTCAGGCAACTTGAATGTTGTATATAAACTCATTTGTGGGAGATTCTAATATAAATAATGTTATTCTTTTGTTGATAGTACGTGTGTGTGTGCGTGTATATATATATACGCACACACACACACATTTTTTTTTTTTTCATTTTGAGGGTGAGTCAGTCTCTCTCTCTCTCTCTCTCGTGCTCTCTCTCTCTCTCTCTCTCTCTCTCTCTCTCTCTCTCTCTCACCCAGGCTGGAGTGTAGTGGCACAATCTTGGCTCACTGCAGCCTCCACCTCCTGGGTTCAAGAAGTTCTCCTGCCTCAGTCTCCTGAGTAGCTGGAATTAAAAGCATGCACCACCACACCCAGCTAATTTTTTGTTTTCAGTAGAGATGGGCTTTCACCATGTTTGTCAGGCTAGTCTGGAACTCCTGGCCTCGTGTGATCTGCCTACCTTGGCTTCCCAAAGTGTTGGGATTACAGGCGTGAACCCCTGTGTCCAGCTTGTGGCATATATTTTCTTGCTAGATTATTTCTGATTAAGGCTGTTATTCTTTTGCCAACATTTACTGCATATATTGTTTATTTCTTTCCCTGTGCCGAACTATATATCTAATTCTGTCTTTTCTGCTAAGCTATCTCCCTTACCATTTTCAAAAAAAACCTTTTTTTGTTCCCTTTTGAGACAGGATCTCACTCTGTCTCCCACCCTGGAGTGCAGTGGCTCAGTCAGGTCTCACTGCAGCCTTGACCTCCCAGGTTCAAGTCATCCTCCTGCCTCTGTCTTCCCTGGTAGCTGGGACCACAGGCATGTGCCCCCTTACCCAACTAATTTAAAAATTTTTGATAGAGATGAAGTCTCACTATGTGGCCTAGGCTGTTATTGAACTCCTGAGCTCAAGCAGTCCTCCTGCCTCGGCTTCCCAAAGTGTTGGGATCTACAGGCGTGAGGCACTGAACACAGCCTCGTCTTCAAAGTTTTCCTTACCTCTTTAAGAAACTTTATAATTGTCTTCGCCTAACTACTTTCTTATTTGTGAGCTCACTAGACACAGGCACTGTTTCAGATGTAGTGGAGGATACAGAAATATATGAGAAAGTTAAAATGACTGTGATAAAGTCTGAGAAGGATGAGGGAATTAAAGTCAAATGTTCTAGGATGACTTAAAACTAGCAGTAACTGAGTGAATTCAAGCACTTGCCTCAGAAGAGTACTGTAGATGACTAAAGTGGGGGAAAGTTTAATATAGGAGGAGGCATTTAAGCTGGACTTTAAAGGATGGATAGAATTTTGATAGGTTGTCCTAGTAGCGAAGGCATTCTGGTGCTTAGTTTGGAAAAAGCCAGTGATCTATTTTTGCTGTAGACAGTGTATGATTATGGGAATATGAAAAATAAAAATGGAAATAAACAGTAGATCAAGATCTTTTAAGTTCTTGGCTGAGGACTTTGAATTTTCTTGGAAGACATTACAGAGCCATTGAAGGCCTTTGAGTAGGGCAGTATCTTGCTACTACCTGTCTGGCAGAGAAGAGGGAAAGGGTTGGAGGAAAGAACTTGTGATTAATGGAAGTTTCTGCAAGTTGGATGAAAAGTAGATAACAGCAAAGCCATGTTGAGATACAGATGGATGAAGAGTGTGTGTCTTTGCCTTACCCTTAGCTAAGGAATTTAAACCCTTACACTAGCTGCATAAGATCATACTTAAACAGAATTTCTTGTATTATGGGCTTCATGTAGATCTGTAAATACCAAGTTCCTGTCTCTTTATTTTTTTCTTCTTTTCTGTTACTGGAAGATGGAACTATAAAGTTTAGGGGAAGGGTTGAGGAGCTGAGTTAGAAAAGGTTGTTACTGGTATGGCAAACAGAGTGTGAAAAGATTTTGTTTACCTAGACTGTTTTCTTGCCCATTAAATAATTTGTTTGCCATTAATTTTTTTTTTTTTGACAGAAGCATCATACTATTGCTTGAAAAAAATTTTTGAAAATGTACCTGCTTTTTAAAACTTATGTGTCTCTAAGGATTGGTCGTGTGTTACCTTAAATTATTTGCCGCTTGGCTTTTAGTTCTGTTGCTACTAACCAGATAAAGAATGCTTAATTCTCAATATATTTTTGTATATTTTTCTAACCGTTTTGTAATTCACCAGTTGTGCCATTGTATTTCAGGTGATAGTGTTGATCCTTTCTGGCCAGCATTACACTGTTTTATGTTGATTCTGGATCGTCTTGGATCTAAGGTCTGGGGTCAACTTATTGATCCTATTGAAGCATTTCAAACCATTATTAACAACACAAGCTACAATAGAGAGATTCAGCATATACGGAACAGCTCTGTAAGGTTAGTTCAGCTAATGTCAGGATTTAAGCATCTCTACAAGAAAGTGTGTTACAGCTAAATTACTTAACAAGAGGTGTTTCTTCCTTTTTTTTTCCTCCCCCTTCATTTCAGTAATTTCTATTTATTCTTAATATTTAAGGACCAAAGTAGAACCGGAGTCATATTCGGATGATATGGTGACATGCAGCCAGATTGTATACAATTTTAATCCTGAAAAGACCAAAAAGGTATTAAAAAAAAACACTTTGAAAATTTAGATGATATTTTATTGCCTTTATCTAGTGTAGAGTGTTTTGTTTGTTTGTTTGTTTTTCGAAACAGAGTCTTGCTCTGTAACCAGGCTGGAGTGCAGTGACATGATCTTGGCTCATTGCAACCTCCACGTCCAGGGTTCAATTGATTCTCCTGCCTCAGCCTCCCGAGTAGCTGAGTAGCTGGGATGACAGGCACGTGTCACCACGCCCAGCTAATTTTTGTATATTTAGTAGAGACAGGGTTTCACCGTGTTGGCCGGGATCCTCTCCATCTCTTGAGCTCGTGATCTGCCCACCTGGGCCTCCCAAAGTGTTAAGATTACGGGGTGAGCCACCACGCCTGGCTGATAGTGTTTTATGTAATTTGTTGAGTTGTTGATTTTACAGTATGTTGCTGTTCTTAATCTACTGTTAGGTAAAAGGCCTTCTCATTGAACAGCAGATGTATCGTATATAGGGGAAGGTGGACTCTAAACTACAATGTGCATACTTTGGAAAATTAATTAATTTTTTTTTTTTGAGACAGAGTCTCACTCCGTCACCAGGTGCAAGGCTGGAGTGCAGTGGCACGACCTTGGCTCACTGCAACCACCGCCTTCCGGGTTCAAGCAATTCTTCTGCCTCAGACTCCCAAGTAGCTGGGACTATAGGTGTGCGCCACCATGCCCAGCTAATTTTTTTGTATTTTTAGTAGAGACGGGGTTTCACCATGTTGGCCATGATGGTCTTGATCTCTTAACCTCGTGATCCACCCGCCTCGGCCTCCCAAAGTGCTGGGATTACAGGCTTGAGCCACTGCACCCAGCCAGAAAATTAGTTTCTAAGTACATTTGGGAAAGATGGAAAGTTTATGGGGACATAAGTGGCACGAGTAGAAATTAAAACTAGCTAGTGGAAAGAAGGTCAGAGTATATGAAGGTGGTATAAATTTGCTTTTTCATGAAACTTTAACCTCAAAATTCAATTTATATTTCAGTTTCTTGGGAGTTAGGTATATTATGATTGTGATATAATTTATGCCATAATTATACCATTGTATATCATAATAATGTTGTAAACCAAAATAAGAGAGTGAGAAATGTATTTTTGTTTTGAGTGTTAAATCTATCATAAATGGTGCTTATTTATCTGAACATGAGCATTTCTTTCTTTTTAGGATTCTGGATGGAGAACAGCCATTTGCCCAGATTATTGTCCTAACATGTATGAAGAAATGGAAACATTAGCCAATGTACTTCAGTCGGACATTGGCCAAGACATGCGTGTTCATAACAGCACATTTTTATGGTTCATACCTTTTGTTCAGTCCCTCATGGATCTTAAGGATTTGGGTGTGGCTTACATAGTCGAGGTTATTCATCATCTGTACTCTGAAGTCAAAGATGTCCTCAACCAAACAGATGCTGTGTGTGACAAAGTCACTGAATTTTTTCTTTTAATTTTGGTATCAGTGATTGAACTGCATAGAAATAAAAAATGTTTGCATTTGCTCTGGGTAAGTTCCCAACAATGGGTGGAAGCTGTTGTCAAATGTGCCAAGCTTCCTACCACTGCATTTACACGGAGTTCTGAGAAATCATCTGGAAGTTGCTCCAAAGGAACAGCAATGATATCATCACTGTCGTTGCATTCAATGCCATCTAATTCTGTACAGCTTGCTTGTGTGCAGCTGATTAGAAGTCTCCTTAAAGAAGGTTATCAGCTTGGGCAGCATTCTCTTTGCAAGCGATTCTGGGATAAGCTCAACTTATTCCTTAGAGGAAATTTATCTCTAGGTTGGCAGTTGACTAGTCAGGAAACCCATGAGCTACAAACTTGCTTAAAGCAAATTATTAGAAACATAAAATTTAAAGCACCTCCATGTAACACTTTTGTGGATCTGACTTCTACATGTAAAACCTCTCCTGCATCTTGTAATAAAGAAGAAAGTGAGCAAATAGGGAAGAAGTCTAGAAAAGATATGCATTGTTGGGGAGATTCCAGCCCAACATTTTCTAAAGAACCAATGAAAGTGCAAGGCAATGTATTGATCAAAGCAGATAACAGTATAGAAGGTGACAATAATGAGCAAAATTCTATAAAGGATGTAAAACTAGAAGACCATCTCTCAGCTGGGTCATGCTTAAAGCAGAGTAGTAAAAACCTTTTTACTGAAAGAGCTGAAGGTCCAATTAAAATAAGTACAAGGAAGCAGAAGTCTGTAACAGAGAACTCTTCATATACACCAAAGAATTGTACTTCAAGAAATGGTCCAGAAAGGGGATGTGACAGAGGAATAATAGTATCAACACATTTATTGACTGATTCTAGCACTGATGCTTTGGAAAAAGTGTCCGCATCAAATGAAGATTTGTCTTTAAAGGGTGATGCTCTTGCTAAAACCTCAAAACAAAAAACTAAGGTACAGAAAGATGAAATCTGTGCAAAGTTATCACACGTAATAAAGAAGCAACCCAGAAAGAGTACTTTGGTCTATAACGCTATCAATTTAGATGAAAATCTGACTGTATCTAACATTGAGAGTTTCTATTCAAGGAAAGACACAGGAGTTCAGAAAGGAGATGATTTCATACACAATCTTTCTGTAGACCCTCATGGTGGTCTGGATGATAATAAAAATGGAGAACAAAAATCTCAGAACAATTTATTGCCAAAAGAGAAACAATTAAAGAATGCAGAGTTAGATATTTTCTCTTCCCATGAAAACAATTGTAAAATACAGGAATGTCATGTTGTTGATAAAGATTTGATCCCCTTTACAGAAATGACTGATACTTTAGTGAAGAAATCATCTTCCTTTAACAATCTTATGACTGTACTTGAATCAAGAGATAAGGAGATGAGTAATAGTACCAATCTGATTTCCTGTAGCTTGACAAGAGAACAGGCCCCTGTTATCACTCCTAAGTCTGACACCTTAACGGATTCTCAGGTAGACAGAGACCTTCACAAATTATCATTAATAGCTCAAGCCAGTGTTATTAAGTTTCCATCAGATTCACCTCAGAACTCATCCCAACAACAAAGGAAAGTGAAAGAATGTAAAAGATGTTTCACTGCTAACCAAAATAATGTTGGAGATACTTCCTGTGGACAGGTTATTATTATTTCAGATTCTGATGATGATGATGAAACAATCCTGAGTCTTGAGAAACTCACTAAACAGGACAAAATATGCATTGAGAAGGAAAGCCCAGGGCAGCACGTTTCAATTGTTAATAGTAAGGAGGAAAAGAATCCAGTAAAGGAAGAAAAGACAAAGTCTCTTTTGCAGCTTGAGGAATGTGATTCTCAGTGTTTTGAGTTTGAAAGTCCATTTGAAGTGTTTTCAGTTTGGCAAGATTATCTAGACAATAATAATTCAGTTCAAGATGGTGAGAAAAATTGTTTGACTCATATAGCCAGTATCACAAATGATGAGGGTTGTACAGATGTTGTATCTGAAGTTAAAAAAGGAGCAGAGTGCATTGAAGAACACACGAGACGACAGAACAGTAGTATTTCTGTTGAGGAATTTTGTGAAATTGAAGTAAAAAAGCCTAAGAGAAAACGATCTGAAAAACCAATGGCTGAAGATCTTGGGAGGCCTTCATCTTCTGTCATAAATGAGGGCCAGTCTGATACTAAGAGAGATCTTGTTGGAAACGATTTTAAAAGTATAGCTGGAAGGACTACAACTCCCAATTCAAGTATTCAGAGAGCCACTACAGTTTCACAAAAGAAGTCTTCAAAGCTTTGTACTTACTCAGAACCTGTCAAGAAAGTTACAGTTTCTAAGAACCCTAAGAAAACGCATTCAGATGCCAAAAAAGGACAGAATAAGAGTTCCAGTTACCTAAGTTGTAGGACAACTCCTGCTATAGTGCCACCAAAGAAATTTCGGCAGTGTCCTGAACCAACTTCAACAGCTGAGAGACTTCGCCTGAAAAAGGCTCCTCGTATGGCATTTGAGTTGTCCCAGCGATCGTTAGATTATTTAGCTCAATTACGTGATCATGGCAGAGCTGTTGGGTTAGTTGATACTCCAAAAAAGACTAAATTAATTCCTCCTCAGAACTTGTCTGTCAGAAATAATAAGAAACTGCTGATTAGTCAAGAACTTCAGATGCGAAGGCAGATGAGATCCAAATCACAAAAAAATAGAAGAGGACTTTCTGGTTGTAAAAGGACAGATGCTACAAGAACAGGGCTGCATACAGCACAGAAATCTGATACATCTATACCAGAATCTGATAGGTCAGATTATAATTGTACAGGAGGAACTGAGGTTCTTGCCAACAGTAATGGAAAACAGATAATAAAATGCATGCCTTCTGAACCAGAAACCACAAAAGCAAAACATGGATCTCCAGTGACTGATGATGTTTGCCTTTTGAACCAGTGTGATTCTGTAGTGTTAAATGGAACAATACCAATAAGTGAAGTAATTGTCGCTACTTCAGAGGACCCTCTAGGTGGAGGTGATCTGTCAGTACATCATATAAAAATGTCAACTTTGAAAGAGGGAGGACCTGACCCCAGCAGCGATACAGAGGAAGATAACTTATTTTTAACACAACATGATCCTGAAGATATGGATTTATGTTCGCAAATGGAGAATGATAATTATAAATTCATTGAACTAATTCATGGAAAAGGTACAGTTCAGGTTGAAGAAGATTCTCTAAGTCGGCCTCAGTTGGAATCTTTGAGTGGCACAAATTGTAAGTACAAAGATTGTGTTGAAGCCACGAAAAATCAGGGTGAATACTGCTTGGAACACTCTGAAGTGAAAGCAGCAGATGAAGATGTATTTCGTAAACCTGGCTTGCCTCTTTCTGCATCTAAACCTTTGCGACCTACCACTGCTAAGATTTTTAGCTCAAAGAGTACTTCACGAATTGCTAGTCTTTCTAAATCTTTGGAATCTTCTTCAGCCCTTTCTCCATCTCTAAAAAATAAGTCAAATGGGATACAGTCAATTTTGAAAGTACCACAGCCAACTCCCCTTGTATCTCAGAAGCCAGTGGGCGAAGTGAAGAATTCATGCATTGTTCTTCAGCCTCAGTCTCCGAATAATTCCAACAGGCAAGATTGCAAAGTTCCATTTGGTGAAAGCAAATATTTTCCATCTTCCTCTCCAGTAAATATTTTCTTGTCATCGCAGTCTGTCTCTGACACCTTCGTTAAAGAGGTCTTAAAATGGAAATATGAAATGTTTTTGAACTTCAATCAGTGTGGGCCTCCTGCAAGCCTTTGTCAGTCCATCTCAAGACCTGTGCCTTTCAGATTTCATGATTGCAGAGAGTATTTTAATGTTTTTTTCCCTTTGATGGTACTGAATACTTTTGAAACAGTAAGTATGTGTTTCATTTATATGCCTCTTCAAACTTTTCAAGTTACCTCTTTACCTTGCTGAGTAAAACAGAGAGTATAGTTTGTTCAATCATTAGGTGGATGTGGTGGCGGGTGCCTGCAATCCCAGCTACTTGGGAGGCTGAGGCAGAGAATTGCTTGAACTCAGAAGGTGGAGGTTGCACTGTGCTGAGATTGCGCCACTGCACTGCAACCTGGGTGACAGAGTGAGACCCTGTCTCCAAAGGAAAAAAAAAAAGAGTATAATTAAAATGGTTGATCTTTTTGATTTAGATACTGCTTTTAGGTTTCATGTTGAACAGACATTTGTGCCAACCGTTGTTCCAGATACTGGCAGTATGGAGGAAACTTTTTTTTTTTTTTTTTTTTTTTTGAGACAGAATTTTGCTCTTGCTGCCCAGGCTGGAGTGCAATGGTGCAATTTTGGCCCACAGCAATCTCCGCCTCACAGGTTCAAGTGCTTCTCCTACCTGAGCCTCCCAAGTAGCTAAGATTACAGGCATGTACCACCAGGCCTGGCTAATTTTGTATTTTCAGTAGAGATGGGGTTTCACTGTGTTGGTTAGGCTGGTCTCACTGACCTCAGGTGATCCACTAGCTTCCCAAAGTGTTGGGATTACATGCATGAGCCACTGTGCCCAGCTGGGAAACACTACTTAACCCTCTGCCCCTTGGAGCTGAGACACAACTCAAGGTGCTAATGTACCAAGTCCAGAGGTAACACAGGAGGAAATGTTTATTGATAACACTGGTAAAGGAAGAGGAGATAGTTTCTCATCTGCATTTGTTTTGTTTTTAAGTAACAGTGACCTTTGCTATGGTTTTCTTGAAGAGGTAGCAAAGGGTGAATTACATTGAACACAAAGTAATCCTAAATTTCTCTTTATACATCGGACTTCCCAGTTTCTTACTCATCATAGCAGCTGCTCTGTGTAACAGCCTTCCCATCCCCAACACATCCTATTCTGGTTCTTCTCTCCTTCTTACTCAACTAGTTGTCAAAAGATAAGACTTTCAGTTAAAATTTGAGCCTCAGAAAAACAGCAAATAATTCTTCAGTGTAAGCATTCACCTATGTTTTGAAGGATTTTTTTGTGTGTGTGTTTTCAAGGCAGATAAGCGGTGGGAACAAATTTTTCCTTTTTCCTATTTGTCAAAATAAATCTTTACATATACAGTAAGACTCTTCAAACATTGTTGAGGTAAATATTCATGATTCATTAACTTAATAGATATTTGAGTGCCCAGTATGTGCCAAGTGCTCTACAAGTGTGGGGGGTAAAGTGGCAAACAAGACAGATGAGGTCTCTACCCTCTGGAAGTGACCATTTCAGATTGAGATAAGGACTTGAGTATGATCTAGAACAAAGGGAACCAGAGCACTTCCTGGAGAGATCAGATAACCTCTGAGCAGATGGTATTCACACTGAGACCCAAGTGACTAGGAATTAACTATAGGAATTGTGTTCCAGGCAGAGTGAGGTGCAAAGACACTGGTTACAATAAGATTGGAGTGTTGGAGGAGGAAGTGTAATGTACAAAGGGACAAGTCTCCAAAAGAAAATAAGTGAATTGTTAATACTGTACATGACAAGATAAATGGTTTTTATAAAACTTGAGTCAGTGTATTTTCATAAATTTACTTTTAATCTTTTGATCAGTTTGTGCCCCCAATTTTAGCCATTGTTGAGAGTTGCTTTATTTTTCTTTTTTCTCAAGGTATTTTTGTTTTAGCAGGAGTTGCTTTATTTTCACTGGAAAGCACTAAATTGCTTAGAAGCCATTCACAAACCTATGAGGAATAGACACATACTTCTGATTTTATTTCCTGAGTTAAAAGATACTAAGATTTATTTCTTTCCGGACATTTTTGTAGTCTCAGCTTTTTAAAAACAATGAGCACAAGTTCCATTTTTACATACACAAAGTTTAAAATAGTCAGACTTATATGTGGCCTATTATAAAAAAAGAGTGGATTGGAACATTATTCATAGTAGCCAAAAAGTGAAAACAACCCAAATGTGCTTCAGCTGATGAATGGATTAGTAAAATATGGTCTGTTCATACAATGAATGGAATATTATTCAGCCATAAAAAGTGAAGGGCCTGGTGAAACCCCGTCTCTGCTAAAAATGCAGAAAATTTGCTGGGCGTGGTGGCGCTGCCTGTAATCCCAGCTACTCGGGAGGCTGAGGCAGGAGAATTGCCTGAACCTGGGAGGCGGAGGTTGCGGTGAGCCGAGATCGCGCCATTGCATTCCAGCCTGGGTAATGGTAGCGAAGTGGTGTCTCAGGCCTGCAATCCCAGCACTTTGGGAGGCCGAGGTGGGCAGATCACAAAGTTAGGAATTCGAGACCAGCCTGGCCAATATGGTGAAACCCCATCTCTGCTAAAAATACAAAAAATTAGCTGAGTGTGGTGGCATATGCCTGTAGTCCCAGCTACTCGGTAAGCTGAGGCAGGAGAATTGCTTGAACCCGGGGGGTGGAGGTTGCAGTGAGCCAGGATTGCGCCATTGCACTCCATCCTGGGCAACAGAGCAACACTCTCTCTCATAAAAAAAAAAAAAGTGAAGCTCTTGTGTTGACTAATGAACCTTGAAAACATTGTGCTGAGTCAAAGAAGTCAGGTACAGAAGATCACATATTATATGATTCCATTCATATGTATTATCCAGAATAGGCAAATATATAGAGACAGAAAGATGAGTAGTTGTCAGGGAAAGGAGGAGGGGGAATTGATTGGGACTGCTATAGGTATAAGGTTTCTTTTGGGGTGATGGAAATGTGGAATTAGTGGTGATGGTTGCACAGCATAGTAAATAAAACCATGGTACTAAAAATCACTGAAATGTACACTTTAAAATGGTAAATTTTATGCTGTGTGAAATACTCTCTCTATTTAAAAAATGTTACTTTAAAAAGAGAATACATTTGATTAGCAACAGGTTAATAAAGATGCCTAGGAAAACCTGAAATCTTCAGATAACTTTTACAAAAGATGAACCCCTTTATGATTGCACTCTGGAAGGCAAATGTGATCTGAAGGATGCCATAGCATGGTAAAACCCAACATTAGTTTCATTCTTTATGGTAAGGTTTTGTGCTTAGGTGCAGTTAAATCTATGTTTTGTAATACATGTAAAAGATCAGAACACCAGAAACTCTTGAGTGAAACGGTGGGTTTGTTAACCATTGACACTTCATTAAGAAGCCCCACCCTACCATTATGTCAATCACTGTCTTTTTCTTTTCTTCTCTTTTTTTTTTTTTGGAGACAGAGTCTTGCTCTGTCACCCAGGATGGAGTGCAGTGGCACGATCTTGGTTCACTGCAACCCTCGCCTCTTGGGTTCAAGCAATTCTTCCCTCTCAGCCTCCCAAGTAGCTGGGACTACAGGCACTTACCACCACGCCTGGTTAATCTTTGTGTTTTTAGTAGAGATGGAGTTTCACCATATTGGACAGGCTGGTCGAGTTCCTGACCTTGTGATCTACCAGCCTCAGCCTCCCAAAGTCCTGGTGTGAGCCACCACGCCCAGCCATAATAATAATTTTTTAAAGAGAATTTTCTCAGGGACACAAGAAAACCTAATTATAACCAAACAGTGTGTTTAGTCTATGTGGAAATGTTTTTATCAAAACATAATATTAAACTATTTGATCTGAAAAATATTTTTTTTTCTTTTTTATTTGAGATGGGAGTCTTGCTCTGTCACCCAGGCTGGAATGCAATGGCGTGATCTCAGCTCACTGCAACCTCCACCTCCTGGGTTCAAGTGATTTTCTTGCCTCAGCCTCCTGAGCAGCTGGAAATACAGGCGTGTCCCAGTTAATTTTTTACTTTTAGTAGAGACGGGGTTTCACCATGTGGTCAGGCTGGTCTCGAATTCCCGACCTTAGGTGATCCGCCCACCTCTGCCTCCCAGAGTGCTGGGATTACAGGCATGAGCCACTGCACCTGGCTGCAAATGTTAAATTACTAAATTATTAGGAACATCCAGTTTTGTAGACTCTGTTCTTAGTTACTGGGAAGAAAGAAAACTCAGACCTCCTCTGAAGATGAGGCCTAACTAGATATCTGTCTTTCCTGTCTGGAGTGGGAAGAAAAGAAACATAGTTTGCTTCTTTAGTGCTTTGTGAGATTGTTACATTGCCACTGACTTTAATACTTGGAAAACTAGCCGGGCTTGGTGGCTTATCTGTAATCCCAGCACTTTGGGAGGCCGAGGCAGGCAGATCACCTGAGGTCAGGAGTTTGAGACCAATCGGCCAAAATGGTAAAACTGTCTCTACTGAAAAATTGGCTCAGTGTGGTGGTGCATGCCTGTAGTCCCAGCTACTTGGGAGGCTGAGATGGGAGAATCTGTTGAACCCAGGAGGCGGAGGTTGCAGTGAGCTGAGATAGCGCCATTGAACTCCAGCCTGGGTGACAAGAGCAAATCTCTGTCTCCCCCCCAAAAAAAAATACTTGGAAAACCACAGTATATTTATCCCTGTTCATTGTATTCTAAATGTTCTTATGTTGAGGGTGCTTATTTTCTTTTTATTGTTTATTTTTTATAGCAGCTGACAACTTTTGAAAGGAGCTCGTTTACTAACCATCTGCATGATTTTACATCCTCTGAACCTAGTTGATTTTTTTTAGCTTTGATAATGCTCTGATGGACCACAAACATACACTTGTTTGCACTCTGAAAATTTATTTCATTTAGTCTGAAGCTGCTAGCTCATGTAGTTCATGATTTCTTAATTTCTTAGGTCCATATGAGTTATGAAACAGATGAACCTGCTGCATCAAATATAAAAACCTGTGAATTATGTAGTATATTGAGTGTGTATTTATTAGGACTTTTTACCTAGGTGAGTTTCTCTTTGATAGCTCTAGAATCATCAGCTATCATTAGTTGGTCATTATAGCTTGACTGTAAGAGATCCACGTAATCTCTGGCTCCTGGGTTGCTGTAGAAGTCAATATTAGGACAAAATAATTTCAAACTCAAAGTATCTGCCCTCTTTTCTCCAAGATGGGAACTATCTAGTATCTTCTAGGCACGCTCAGCTAAAGCCCATGTGATAAAATTTTATTAATCAATTTTTCTTTCGGTCTTTGTTGTACACACTAGGATGCATTTTAATAGCTTTATTAAGGTATACTATACCATAAAATGTACCCTTTTAAGGTGCGTAATTGAAAGGTTTTTTAAAGTAAATTTACGGTTGTACAGCCATCATCAAAACGCAGTTTTTGAACTTTTCCATTGACCTAAAACAATCATTTTTGCCCATTTGTAGTCATTCTCCATTTCTACCACTAGCCCCAGGCAAACACTGATCACCTGTCTGTCTGTATAAATCTGCCTTTCTGGAAATGTCATATATATAGAAGTGTACATATGTTGTCTTTTGAATCTGGCTCCTTTTACTTCATATAATCTTTTTGAGGCTCATCTGTGTTGTAGCATGTATTAATAGGCCCTTTTACTGCCAAATGAGATTCTTCTGTATGAATATACTTCATTTGTTTATCCATTCACCAATTGATGGACATTTGGGTTGTTTCCAGGTTTTGGTGATTGTGAATAATGCTGTGAACATAGAATGCACTTTTGAAGATGACTCTATGGAGTTGCCTTAGTGTAGGGTACTCTGGATGTAAAATTGGAGGATACAAACTGATCATGACTATCATGGACCAGAATCTGACCTCACTAGCAAATAATACAAATTCAGTACTGTTTTGTTCCCCTGTTCATAGCATAACCCTTGTGAGTCTTGATTGGTTAACCAGTGCAGAAGCAGCTCAGCACTAATAGTCTTTATTGTTAAGTTTCTTCAGAGGAACTGAAAGCCAGTTGTTGATTTAAATACTTAATGACTGTTACATGTAGAGAAAACCCTTCTTAGGGCCCAAAAGGTAATATGTTTGTTTGTGTTTTTTTTTTTTTTTTTTTTTTTTAAGGGAAAGCTAATATGACTTCTTTATACTAGTAGTCTTCTTCCTAAATCTGGAGTTGAGGATAGTGTTATTTCTTAGAAGATCCTTAAGGGTACTTCTGAGTTTGGAGCTTTAACAAATTGGGAGATGGATGCAGAGCATTTTATAAACTGGCAGGATGACATGTTGGTGAGAAATCCCTAAGGTTTGCAACAAATCTAGGTCCTTTTGGACTTGTGAGCTGATCAGGTTTGGAAGTAGCATTCTACCAGAGCCGTCCAAAAGTACCTCATGCACTGCTGGAAATGCTCCACATCTGTGCACAGCAGAGTAGCCAAGGTGGCTGTTGAGCATTGGAAGTGTGACTAGTTTGACTGAAGAATATAATTTTTATTTTCTAACATTTTAATTAAATGTAAATAACCAAATGTACCTAATGCATTCTGAATTGGATAGGACAGTTCAGATAATTTTTATTAAACTGTCACAAATCAGTTTTTAGTTTCTGTCACCTACATTCTAGATTCTGGATTTTACTGTTGCTTAACTTTGGAAAATGTTACTATTTAGCATGTCTTTCCAGAATGTTGGTTTCTTAATTTGCTTTTGCGCTTTGTATAGGTGGCACAGGAATGGCTCACCTCTCCAAATAAAGAGAATTTCTATCAGTTGCAAGTACGAAAATTTCCTGCCGATTATATAAAATACTGGGAGTTTGTGGGTAAGTTTTTTCTTACTTATGCAATTTGGAATATATGATATAATAACAGATTTCTAATTAAGAGGAGATAGCATTATTTGAATTTAAGGGGACACAAATTTTCTAAGCTAAATTTATGACTTCTTCAAATATGTTTAAAGTCTTAATGAGGATAGTTACTGGGAGAACTATGAAGATAAAATTCATGATTTTTTTCCACTCTGTAGTTAGAATGCTACAGGCTGGATTGTCAGTGGAGGCTGGGAATGGGAGAAAAGGTAAGTGGAGGGAATTGGTAGGGGTGTTGCAGTAATATAGTCTTGACAGATTCTGAGTAAATCTTCCTGGCATCTGTCTTTCCATTTCATGATTGATCTGAACCACATGCTACTCTTATGTCCAACTTATAAATACACCAAACATTCAGAACTGTTTAAAATAAAATGAATAAGTCCTCTTTTAACCCCAGCCCCCATCCATCCTACTCTGTAGATATGCTTAAGAAAACAGTGAACGTGTATATATTTTTGGGGAAAGGTACTACATGTTCATTGGAAAACATTTAGATGTCAGCCAGCCAATAAACATCACCCACAATTCCCATTATTCAGAGATAATTCCATTACCATTTTGGTGTATATCTTACTTCCAGACTTTCTACTTAACCCACATAGGGAGAGAGAGTGTATGTGATGTGGGATCATTTTGCTTATTTTGTGACATTTTTTATTCATTCAGCAAATACTGTTTTTATTGATTTAATAGTAGATGATTCTTGATGCAGGGTATGTAGCTGTGAAGAAAATGCAAAATTCCTACCTTTATGAAGTTTATATTTGATTTATTTTCATGTAATAATTATAATTATCTTTTCTGAGTTATTAAATAACAGTATACAGTATTTAATAGTTGTAGTTATCCCGTTGTAAGCATGTTCCATAGTTCATTTAACCAATCATTTTTATTTAGACATAAACATTGTTTCTAGTTTTCACTATTGCAAATACTCTGAGTAAATCCCTTTGCTAGGTCAAACCCTATGTGCATTTTAAGACTTTCAAATCATATTGTCTGTGCTTACCAAAAAGAATTCCATTTTCATTTCTGACATCAAGATATAAGGATGTGCACCTCTCTTGTTCACTAGTTTAGACCTTTTTTTTTTCCCCCAGTTCTGTATGTGAAAAATATATCCCATTTAAAGCTGGAGTTTTTGTCCCCAAATGTGACTGGTTCTTTATATTCTTGGGGTTGTGGAAGTAATTGCCTGTTTATGCCCTTCCTCCTTTTGTTCTGTCGGGGAATATTGTTTTCTTTTTAATTTGTATGCATTGCTACAAGTTTTTCTTCTAATTTCATTATTTGCTCTTCCATCCCCCACCTACCCCGCTAGACCAGGGTCTTATCATGTTGCATGCACATGCTGGCCTCAAACACCTGGGCTCAAGCAATTCTCCTGCCTGAGCTGCCAAGTAGCTGGGACTTCAGGGGTGTGCCACTGCTCCCGACTGCTGTTACATTTTTGACATGCAGTTTTTGATGCCAAGATAATTTTAATCTTCCATTACCATTTTGGTGTATATCTTACTGCCAGGTATTTAAAACTGCCCTATACTTATTTACAGTTTTATTATATAATTGACCCTTGGACAATGTAGGGTTTAGGAGTGCCAACCCCTTCCACAGTCAAAAATCTGTTTATAATTTGACTCCAAAAACTACTAATAGCTTACTGTTGGCCAGCTAACTCAAAACTTTACTGATAACATAAACAGTCAATTAACATGCAGTTTATATGTTATATGTATTATATACTATATTCTTATAAGAAAGCTAGAGAAAAACTAAAATCTTAAGGAAGAGAAGATATATTTATTCTTCATTAAGTGGAATGGATCATCATAAAGGTCTTTGTCATAGTCACACTGAGTAGATGGAGGAGCAAGAGGGGGTTTTGTCTTGCTCTCTCAGGAGTGGCAGAGACGGAAGAAAACCTCTGACTTGAAATCTATGAATTAGTGGACCTGCGCACTTCAAACCCATCAAATGTACATTTAGATGCTATAACCACAAAGCAGAAAGAAAGCAGGTGTTTCATGTCATTTGCACACATGGTTTAATAACAGTGAGCCATTTTTAATCAGGGAATAACTGTCCTAAAATCCAAGTTCCTAAGTACCAGTCAAGGAGCAGCCTCACAAGCAGGCCTTTCAAAGAATAGCAGGCCTGCTATGTTAACTCTTTTCTGTACAGCATGTTTTAAATCATGCTACTGTGATCATCCATGAATCTCTTAGTGTTCTTCTGAAAGCATTTTTGTTCAGTTTATATCCAGAAGTAGATTGTGGAATATTAGGGTGTGTATAAGTTCAACTTCAGTAAATAATGCCAAGCCTATTGTACAAAATTATATTCCACCAGCAGTGTATGAGAAGCTGCATTGTTTCACGTCTTCAGCAATACATTTGTATGGGTTGTTTTGTGATCTTTAGATATTGGGCTGTGTGTATTGAGGGTGTTTTGTGAATTTTTTGTAATGTCCTCATTAGGGAGGTTGGGCCTCTTTTCATGTATTTAGTAGCTGTCTCAGTAACCTGTTTGGGAAAGTGCCTGTTCAAGGCTTTTCTTCATTTTCTGTTGTCTTTTTTAAAATTGATTTGTAGGAGTTCTTTATATAATCTGGGTAGAAGCCATTTCCTCACTTTGACTTGCATTCTAACTCTTAGTGATGTCTTAAAAATTCCTTTTTCATTCTTTTTGAGAATTGCTTATTTGAAAATAGCAAATACGTCAGTCTTTTATTGTTAGTGCCTTGTGTCTCATTTCTTAAATGAAGAATAAGAAATCTTTCTCTGTTACAGATTACAAATCACATTCTCTTGCCTTCCTTTGCCCCCACCCCCATCACCCATGGATCAGGATCTCTTACCTTATAGAACAAAGGTTAGCAAACTACAGCTTGCAGATCTACCTACCCCATGTGTTGTTTTTCTATTACCCTTGGGTACGATTTTTATGTACTTTTTTCTGCAGTAGGATATTCCTGCATGTACTTTTTTCTTAAATTTAGAGCTGGGGTCTTGTGTTATTGCCCAGGCTGATCTCAGACTCCTGTGTCTGAAGTGATCCTCCTGTGTCATCAACCTTCTGAAGTGCTGGGATTACAGGTGTGACCCACCTGCCCAGCTGGTTTTTACTTTTGTTTTGTTTGTTTGTTTGTTTCTTGTTTACATTTTTAAAGCTCTAAAAAAAAAAAGAAGAGCATGTAACAGACATTATGTGTGGGCCCCAAAGCCTATCTAGCTATTTACAGAGGAAATTTGGAAATTTCTTTTTTTTCTGGAGACAAAAGTCTCACCCAGTCACCAGGCTGTACTTCGGTGGCGTGATCCCAGCTCTTTGCAACCTCTGCCTCCGGGGTTCAAGTGATTCCCTGCCTCAGCCGCCCAAGTAGCTGGGACTACAGGGCATGCGCCATCCTGCCCAGCTAATTTTTATATTTTTAGTAGAGACAGGGTTTACCATGTTGGCCAGGATGGTCTCGATCTCTTGACCTTGTGATCCACCCGCCTAGACCTTCCAAAGTGTTGAGATTACAGGTGTGAGCCACCGCACCTGGCTGCTGGGAACACCTTTTCTAGAACATTTGTTGTTTTGTCTGTGACTGAGGCATGGGGGATGGGTTCCATCCCCGCCCCCCCCAAGTGGAGGTCTAATTATCCCAGTACTATTTATTGAAAGACCCATCTATGCTTCACTGCACATGTGCTTCACATGCTATATTTGTCCTGAGTCTAGAGTCCACTTAATGTCTGGGAATCCTTCTGCAGTCTGTTGTTCTTCAGATCATTTGCCTAACCTTGTGCTCATATCACATTGTTTACTTAATCTAGCTTTATAAGAAGTTTTGGCCGGGCACGGTGGCTCAAGCCTGTAATCCCAGCACTTTGGGAGGCCAAGGCGGGTGGATCACGAGGTCAAGAGATCGAGACCATCCTGGTCAACGTGGTGAAACCCCATCTCTACTAAAAATACAAAAAACTAGCTGAGCATAGTGGCACGTGCCTGTAGTCTCAGCTACTCAGGAGGCTGAAGCAGGAGAATTGCCTGAACCCAGGAGGCGGAGGTTGCAGTGAGCTGAGATTGCGCCATTGCACTCCAGCCTGGGTAACAAGAGCGAAACTCCGTCTCCAAAAGAAAAAAAAAAAGTTTTAATACTCATAGAGCAAATCCTCCTACCCTTTTCTTTTTTTGTTGAGATGGAGTCTCGATCTGTCGCCCAGGCTGGAGTGCAGTGGTGCAGTCCCAGCTCACTGCAACCTCTACCTCCCAAGGTCAAGCGATTCTCTTGCTTTGGCCTCCTGAGTAGCTAGGACTACAGGCGAGTACCACTATGCCCAGCAAATTTTTGTATTTTTAGTAGAGACCGGGTTTCACCATGTTGGCTAGGATGATCTTGAACTTTTGGCCTCAGTGATCCGCCCGCCTTGCCTCCTAAAGTGTTGATGTGAGCCATGGTGCCTCTCGTCCTCCTCCTTTGCTCTACTTTTTGAGTGCCTTGGCTATTCTTGGCCCTTTGTATTTCCATGTAAATTTTAGAGGAAAAGAAGTGGAAATTTGGGAAGAATTGACATCTTTTAATACTTTCTAATTAATGAATAAGGTTGTATGTCTTCAATTATTTAGGTTAAATTTTTGCAGTGTTTTAGTTTATTGTGGAGAGGTTTTGCCTATCGTCTTTGGTTAGTTTGTCATTTGAAACTATGTTAGTGAATATTTCTAAAAAATAAGAACTTAAAAATAACAATCATACCTAAAAACTTACCAATAATTCCTTCATATCAATCAATGTTCAAATTTTCAGTTATAACACCTTTTTTTAGCTTGTTTAAGATCCAGATTAGTCCACCCAAAGACATTGGTTGATACGTCTTTTTGAAATAGAATTCCCTTGTTTTCTTCCCTTACAATTTTTTTTTTTTTTTTTTTTGCTGAAAAAATTGAGTTAATTTTGTAGAGTTGATCATGGTCTAGATTTTGCTGATTGCATCCGCTTGATGGTATTTAGAATGTGTCTCTGTCCTCTGTGTTCTTCCTTTTTTTTCTTTTTCTTTTTTTAATAAAGATGGGGTTTCACCACGTTGGTCAGGCTGGTCTTGAACTCCCAACCTCAGGGGATCTACCCGCCTTGGCCTCCAAAGGGCTTGGATTACAGGCGTAAGCCACCAGGCCTGGCCCCCTATGTTTTTCCTATAAATTGATAGTTGGATCTACAGAATTGATTCAATTCAGGTTAAATTTTTATTACTTGTTTTTGGCAAAGCTGTTTTATAGTTGGGGATATGTTCCATCAGCAGCAGCAGCTACATGATATCTAGTTTCTTTTTCTGATAATTGCAGCTGTTTGTACTTAGTCATTAATTCTGTGAAGGAGGCAAAATGGTGATAATTTAATCATTTCATGTTAGCTGGAATGCTTCTCTAGAGAGAAAATTCTCTACTTCTATTTGGTTACTCATTAGTATAGTTTATTATTATTTTTTTTTTATTTTTGAGACAGAGTCTCACTCTGTCGCCAGGCACCAGGCTGGAGTGCAGTGGCACAATCTCGGCTCGTTGCAACCTCCGCCTCCTGGGTTCAAGCAATTCTCCTGTCTCAGCCTCCTGTCATTAGTATAGCTTATAAAGAAAAGGCAGAATAAATACTTAAATCTTCATCACTTTTCAAAATAATGAGTTTAATTCATTAGTGGGCCAGGTGTGGTGGCTCACACCTGTAATCCCAGCACTTCGGTAGGCCAAGGTGGGCAGATCACCTGAGGTCAAGAGTTCAAGATTAGCCTGGCCAACATGGCAAAACCCCATCTCTACTAAAAATACAAAAATTAGCTGGGTGTTGTGGCACAAGCCTGTAATCCCAGCTGCTCAGGAGGCTGAGGCAGGAGAATCGCTTGAACCAGGTGGGAAAGGATGAAGTGAGCCAAGATCACAACACTGCACTTCAGCCTGGACAACAGAGAGAGACTCCATCCCAAAAAAAAAAAAAACTGAACTAAACATATTAGCCATTCATTTGGGGTTGTAAAAACCTATTTTGAACAAAAAACTCAATAATGAAAAGATATAGAAAGAAATGTTAAAAAGGAAAAGGACACAAAAGTGGCTATTATTGCAAATGAAAAAAACAGTAACTCGACAGTGGAAAAGCATGAGATACCACCTCAACGAAGTGATGGAAGTTAGTATTGCCAGCAATGAGATTTATCAACATCGTGTGCCTCCCGATCTGACAGCCGGAGAAGAGCACAACATTACTTCTATGTTTCTCTTAACCAAAAATGCAAAACCTGAATTTGACTTACAAGGAAATATCAGAGAAACCCAAATGGAAGGACATTCTGCAAGGTAACTGGACAGTACTCTTTAAAAACATTTAGGCTGGGCTGGGCGCGGTGGCTCACGCCTGTAATCTCAGCACTTTGGGAGGCCGAGGCGGGTGGATCACGAGGTCAAGAGATCGAGATCATCATGGACAACATGGTGAAACCCCGTCTCTACTAAAAATACAAAAAATTCACTGGACATGGTGGCGCATGCCTGTAATCCCAGCTACTCAGGAGTCTGAGGCAGGAGAATTGCCTGAACCCAGGAGGCAGAGGTTGCGGTGAGCCAAGATTGCGCCATTGCACTCCAGCCTGGGTAACAGGAGCGAAACTCCGTCTCAAAAAAAAAAAAAAAACATTTAGGCCATGAAAGACAAAGAAGAATGAGGACCAATTTGTCCTAGACTGAAGGAAACTAAGAAGACATCACAACTGAATGTGATTTGTGATCCTAGATTGGATCCTGGAGCAGAAAACAGACATTTGTGGGAGAACTGGTATGATATGAATAAGGTCTAATTAGCTCTTAGTTTATACCAACATAAAACCCTGGTTTTGATCATTGTTCTGTATTTATGTAAGATGTTAACATTTGAGGAAGCTTGGTGAAGGTCATAGGAACTCAGATTTTTTAAAAGTCTGAAATTATTTCAAAATAAAAAGTTAATTCCTCCAAGGCAAACCGAACTCCACAGGATTCTTTATCACCTTACTCCATTCCATGCAACTCCCTTCTCCCATAACGAGGGAACTCTGCCTCCTAACAGCAGCTTTCTTACACATTAGCTCTGTTTTACAATACACAAAATCATTTCAGAACTATTACTACTAGGCCAGTTCTACAACTAACAACAAATTTCACGAATTTTGGCTGTTCTTGTTGCCTGCGCTGGAGTGCAATGGTGCAGTCTTGGCTCACTGCAACCTCCACCTCCTACGTTCAAGCAATTTTCCTGCTTCAGCCTCCCCAACAACTGGGATTACAGGCATGTGCCACCCCACCTGGCTAATTTTGTATTTTTAGTAGAGATGGAGTTTCACCATGTTGGCCAGGCTGGTCTCAAACTCCTGACCTCAGGTGATCCACCCACCTCAGCCTCCCAAAGTGCTAGGATTACAGGTATGAGCCACCGCGCCCAGCCAAGGCTACTATTTCTAAAAGTACTTGTATCACTGTATTTTTTTTCTTTTTTTGAGACGGAGTCTTGCTCTGTCTCCAGGCTGGAGTGCAGTGGTGCAATCTCGGCTCACTGCAGCCTCCACCTCCTGGGTTCAAGTGATTCTTCCACCTCAGCCTCCCGAGTAGCTGGGACCACAGGCGCGTGCCACCATGCCTGGCTAATATTTTTGTATTTTGAGTAGAGATGGGGTTTCATTGTGTTGTTGGCCAGGATGGTCTCGATCTCGACCTTGTGATCCGCCCACCTCGGCCTCGCAGAGTGCCAGGATTACAGGTGTGAGCCACTGCGCCCGACCTCAACTGCATTCTTAAGGGTTGCTTTTTAAAATACAACTTTGCTGATTTAATTGTTCAAAACTCATATATATGTAAAAAGTATACTCTAGCGCTATCAGTTCCATTTATTTATTTAGAGACAGGGTCTTGTTATGTTGCTTTGGCTGGAGTGCAGTGACTATTCACATGTGTTATCATACACACTACAGCCTCAAACTCCTGGGCTCAAGTGATCTTGCCTCAGCCTAATGCATAGCTGGGACCACAGAGGCACCGGCCACTGTTCCCAACTCTTTTTATTTATTTTATTATGTGTATGCATTCAGAATTGTCATTATCTTCTGTTAAACCACAATACTCCCTTCTTACCTCAAATAAAGCTTTCTGGGCCCGGCATGGTGGCTCATGCCTATAATCCCAGCACTTTGGGAGGCCGGGGTAGAAGTTTGAGACCAGCCTGGCCAACATGGCGAAACCCCATCTCTACTAAAGATACAAAAGTTGGCTGGGTGTGGTGGCAAGCCTCTATAATCCTAGCTTCTCCTGGAGCTGAGGCAGGAGAATTGTTTAAACTCAGGAGGCAAAATAAAGTTTGCAATGAGCAGAGATCGGCCACTGCACTCCAGCCTGGCTAACAGAGCAAGACTCTGTATCAAAAATAATAATAGAATGGGGTGGAGCACAGCCACGCTGGTACGTCGAGGGGAGAGGCAGCCGCTGCGATAGATGTGTTCCTTATGATCTGGCGCCACAAGACCACCATCTTTAGGGACACCAAGGAGTCCAGCACAGTGTTCAAGCTGAAGCACATTATTGAGAGCATCCTCAAACAGCCGCCCAACGAGCAGCGGCTGTACAAGGACGACCAATTCTTGGATGATGGCAAGACACTGAGCAAGTGTGGCTTCACCAGTCAAACAGCACGGACACAGGCCCCAACCACCATGGGGCTGGCCTTCTGGGCAGATGACACCTTTGAGGTCCTGTGTATCAAGCCATTCTCCAGCCTGCCCGAGCTGCCCAATAGGATGAAGCCCCAGGACTCGGGAAGCAGTGCCAATGAACAAGCAGTGCAGTGAGGACCCCTAAGAGGCCCATTCCCCCCAGTAAAAGAGATTTGGGAGTCAAAAAAAAATAGTAATAATAAAAATGCTTTCTGCTTTAATGTCTATTTAGTTTGATATTAACAGAGCTAAGTTTAAGTTTTCTTTTATATGGATATGCATGCTTATCTTTTACTTACATGGTTATCTTTTACTTGCATTCTAATCCTTGTTTAGGTGAATTACCCGCTAACAGCATATAGCATGCCCAGATTGGTCTTGTGAAATGCCATTTTCAACTAAAATAAAGCAAGGCTCCTTAGAAAACTGTAAGTTTATATACGGAATAGAAACAATATATATGATGAACTTGGAACATGCTGTCATAACAGACAGCCCCAGAGCCAGCTAGAAGAAGCTGACTACAATGGACTGAAACACAAGTATACCCAATCCATGCACTCATAGTTCTTTTTTTAAGCTTACTTATCTATTTACTGTTTCATCTTTCATTCAGTTTTGGCTATGAATGAATGAAGTTGCTATTGAACATTAATGTACAAATCCGAATGGACATACGTTCTATAGTCTCTTGGGTAAATAAAAACGGAGTTGGCATGTTTAACTTTATAAGAAGCTGCTAAACTTTCTCGAAGAAGTATACCATTTTATATTCCTACCAGCATTGTATGAGCATTCCACTTGATCCATTTCCTTGTCCAGTTTTTGTTTTGTTGGTGCTTTTTGTTGTTGTTTTATAGACGAGGTCTTGTCATATTGCTCAGGCTGGTCTCAAAGCAGTCCTCCCGCCTTGGCTTCCCAAAGTGCTGATGTTACAGGTGTAAGCTACTGTGCCCAGCATTGGTGTTTGTAATTTTGATGATTCAAACAGGTGTGTATAGTATGTCATTGTGGCTTTAATTTACATTTGTAGAATGGCTAACAATTGTTGAGCATATTTTTACAGATTTACTGGTAGTGTACATATCTCCTTCATGTATCTTTCCTCCATTTTTAGTTGGATCGTCTTCTTTTTACTTCTCATTTTTCAGTTCTTTTTATATTCTTGAGACAAGTTATTTATCAACTTTATGAATTGAAAATATTTACTCTTAATCAGTGGACTGCTTTTTAATTTTCCTAACAGCATCTTTCAAAGAGCAAAAGTTTTAATTCTGATGGCATCCAGTTTATCAGTGTGTTTTTTTTTATGGTTCATGCGTTTTTGTATCCTAAGAAACATTTACCTAACTAACCCACGGTCACAATTTTCTCCTCCTCCTTATTTCTTTTTTTTCTTCTTTTTCTTTTTTTTTTTTTTTTTTTTTGGGACAGAGTCTCGCTATGTCACCAGGCGCTAGGCTGGAGTGCAGTGGCACAATGTCAGCTCACTGCAACCTCCGCCTCCCGGATTCAAGTAATTCTCCTGCCTCAGCCTCCTGAGTAGCTGAGGGACTACAGACATGTGCCACCACGCCCAGCTAATTTTTGTATTTTAGTAGAGACGAGGTTTCACTATGTTGGCCAGGATGGTCTCGATCTCTTGACCTTGTGATCCGCCCGCCTTGGCCTCCCAAAGTTCTCCTCCTCCTTTTTTCTAAATTTTATAGTTTAATTTTTGTGTTTATGTTGATGACCATTTCAGTTTTATTTTTATATATGACATATGTAAGGATTAAGGGGTGTTTTGCTTTTTTAAATGTGGAAGTCAGGTGCAGTGTTTCATGCTTGTAATCTTAGCACTTTAGGAGCCCAAAACAGGAGGATCACTTGAGGCCAGGAGTTTGAGAACAGTCTGGCAACATAGCAAGACCTTGTCTCTACAGAAAAGTAAAAAAAAAATAGCTGAGCATGGACTACACACACCTGTAGTCCCAGTGACATGGGAGGCTGAGGAAGGAGGATTGCTTGAGCCCAAGTGTTCCAGGCTGCAGTGAGCTGTGATCATTGCCACTGCACTCCAGTCTGGGAGACAGAACAAGACCCAGTCTCTAAAAAATATAAAAACACTAAAAATAGGTGTTCAGATTGAGTGAACCTTCTTAAAAAACGTAGTTTTCTCATTGTCATTCAGTAACTTGGCACGTTCATCAGAATATCAGTGGACCTTGATTGCAGGTGTGTTTTTAGACACCGTGTTCTGTTTTCTTTATCTGTATAGCTGCCTTACACCAATACCATAGTCTCTTATCATTGCTTTATAAAAAATACTGAAATTGGGTAGTTTAAGCCTTCCAGTTTTGTTCTTTATAAAAAGAAATTTCTTTGTATTGTCATCAGTTTTAGAATCAATTGGTCAACATTTATAAACATGCCCGCTGGTATTTTTACTGGGATTGCCTTGACTCTAAAGATTAATTTGGGGAGAGCTGACATTTAACAGTATTGAGCCTTGGGCCTTGAACTTAGTACATTTCTTCATTTATTTAGGCTGTCTTCAGTTTCTCTAAGCAGTGGTTTGTATTTTTCAGAGTATTGGGTTAGATTTAGCAGTTGGTACTGAACTTTATTCCAGTGCTTTCTCTCTTTTCCTAGTCCCACTTAGTTTACAACCAGCTTTTCCTACTTGTTTCAAATGTATAGAAGTTTCAAAATTCTCATATGTACATGACATACAGTCATGTGTCACTTGATGGGGATATGTTCTCAGAAATGTATCAGGCAATTTCATTATCATGTTGATATTGTAAGAAGTAAAAGTGTACTTACTTCTAACAACCTAGGTGATGTAGCCTACCACACACCTAGGCTGCTAACGTGTACAGCATGTTACCGTACTGAATACTACAGATAATTGTAACATGGGGAAGTATTTGTGTATTTAAACATAGAAAAGATACAGTAAAAATATATTATAATCTTATGGGACCACTATTGTATATCTGGTCTGACCAAAACATCATTATATAGTGTATAACTACTTGGATCTGTTTCTGAATTTTCTTTAGGGGTTTTGAAAGTTGGAAACAAATGAGAGAATCTCAGTTAAAAACCAGAATAAACCTAAAGGAAAGAAAATTTATTTGCTACTTTTCAGTATTATGATTTTTATCTACTTTGGCCTTATAGCAGTTTTAAAGAAAACTTTATATTATATAATTGATATTTTTTAGTACTTTAAGATTTTGATTAGATTAGATTACCATTTTAAAGTATATGCAGAGTCCACTAGTGCTGTATATTTTTGAACTTAATACAAGGATTTAAGTTAATCTTATTTAAAATAATTCTGTTTGAGTTAGATAAATTCTGATTTCTTATTGTTTCATAGTTTATCTGGAAGAATGTGAACTGGCTAAACAACTTTATCCAAAGGAAAACGATTTGGTGTTTTTAGTTCCTGAGAGAATAATCGAAGAGAAGAAAGATACAGAGGGAAATGACATGCAAGATCTCCATGAATATCATTGTGGTTATGTTCATAAATTCCGCCGCACTTCAGTCAGTAAGTAAATAATGAGGCATGGACAAGAAAATGTCAGATACAAGCTCATCTTCTAATTTCCTTCTGAATTGTGTATATCAAGTATATTTGATGTACATTACCAAACATGTTTTTGCTATGTGATTACTTGCCATTCAGAGTCTCTTTTCTAGGTTTTCTAGACTTACCTGGAAAAGATCCCATATTTATTTTTGTAATGTTCTATCCTTTTGTTATATTTATCTGTCATTGTGTTTGCTATAAAGTGGACCATTTGCAAACCATCTTTTGTTTCTTAAATTACATTTCATCCTTGGTTTTGTGGCCAATCACTAATGAGATGACCAAACATAAAACTCACTGTAAGGCAGCTTGAAGAATCTGCTTACATCACTTCCATCCACTATATGTCTCTCCCTAGGTAGTATCATAACAAAAATGTTAACCTAAATTTAACAAATACCTGACGTATGCTAGACAATGAGACTTGTCCGTCTAATGTATACTTATAATCTTCCCCAGAGCCCTAAAGGGTAGTAGAAATGATTCCTTGCTCATCAAGAAACCATGGCTCAGGGATGTTAAGTAAGCTATTCAAGGCTGTCATCAGTATTAAGTGGTAAGGCCAGAATTGAAAACTACTTTTGTTTGACGTTCTTTTTCTTATGCCAAACTGCCTTTCTGGCATTGGTAACTTTCTTAGTCTTAGTTATATGAAGAGAATAACATTATTTCATTATTTCGTCTCCTTTTTACATATCTTAAAAGTAGCAATAAAGTGTGTCAGCATTATACTGCATTATAGCAGGTGTACCATGTTTATTTGTGTGATCAGGGCTTATTCTGTAAACATAGGATGCGTTTAGAAGAGTTGCAATGAGAATTGATGGTTTACTCTGTGCTTTTGGCTCTTGCCAAATTTATAGTTCTAAGGCAGTCTCCTTCCCTGAACTCCTCATAGATCAAAACCATCTCTCTTGGTATCTCCATTTGGAAAGTGTTCAACATTTCAATCCCGCTAGGCCAAAAGCTAACACCTGATTTTCTGCCTGACATCTGCTCTTGCTTCATTCTTTCCCATCTTGTTAATTGGGGCCTCCATTCGTTCAGTTACTTAGGCCAAAAACCTTGGAGTCATCCATGATCCTTCTCTCACACCTCACTTCTAATTTGTCAGCAGATCTGATTGACTTTTCCTTTGCAATATATCCGAAATCCAGTTCCCACCTCTACTATTACATCCTGGTCCAAGCTATCGTTAACTTTTACCTAAATTACTGGAGTAACCTTGTAAGTGGCTTTTTGTTTCTATACTTCTCTCATTGTAGTTATTATTTGTTCTGAGGTAAGTATGAGTGGTTCTTTTAGTTTGTGAGATAGAGCATGTTATTTTCCTACGCAGAGTGCCCTGTGACTTCCTGCCTGATCCTAAATAGCATTCAGAATCATTATTGTGATCTGCACAGCCCTATAAAATATAGCCCCATTTTACTCAGAGTCGCCAAGCATTCCTCTCCCTGTTTTTCCTGCTAGCCATATTAGCCTTCTCCTTATTTCTAAAATATTCCTGGCACGTCTCTATCTTAGGATCTTTGCAGTTGCTGATTTTCTGCATATAGCACTGTTTACCCCCTGCTAAGTGCATACTCCCTTACTTAAAGTCTCTGCTCAAATATTTCATCAGGAAGACTTTCGCGGACCAGCTTATCCACCTCCATCCACATCACTTCCTCCCTTTGTCTGCTTTCTTCATAGCACTTAGTACCACCTGACATGTTTATTTGGTTGTCTGCCTCCCTTTTCTAGAAAATAACCTGCTGGAGGACAGAACATTACTGGGTTCAGGAAGCAGTCTATAAATATTTATTGGGTAAATTTTGTAAATAATATCCCAAAATATGTTTAAAATACCTAATTCTGTATAATCTTTTAAACTGAAATTACTTTTTCTCTTTCTTGATGATAGTGCGTAATGGAAAATTTGAGTGTTACCTTTCCATCCAGACTCAAGAGAACTTTCCGGCCAATTTAAACGAACTTGTGAAGTGTATTGTAATCAGTTCTCTGGTGACTACACAGAGGAAGTTGAAAGCCATGTCTCTGTTGGGTAGTCGGAACCAACTGGCTAGAGCTGTTCTGAATCCAAACCCTATGGACTTCTGTACAAACGATTTACTAACTACAGCATCTGAGAGAATTGTGAGTGTTGATTATATGATAGTAGATAGTGTCATGTCAGGATGTTAATGTCATGTCAGTATGTTAAAGCATCATATTTTTTAGCTGCTATATATTCCTACATGTCTGCAACAAAGACATGTTCACGGTGAACACAATTTAGTGATCACTTTAAAATTGCGAAGTATGCGATTAGCTTACCGCAGAAAAAGATACAGTACAGGAAGAGTCAAAGGTGCGCTGGAAGAGCAACATTAAAATGTTAGGTCAGCAGCCTACTGCCTGCTTAATGTGCATTAGGTGAGAAGTCTCAGGTTTAGTGGTGTTAAAAATTTACATTTGAATGATTGATGGAGAATTGGCTGTTATTGTTGGAAATGCAAGGATGAAGTTGTCATCTGAACATGTGAAGTTGTGTATACACGCTAGGAAATTAACACAGAAATGCAAAAGGAAACTAATATTATTTGTATACTGTAGCTTTCATGTGCATTATCTCAGTCTATTCTCATCTTTTAAGAAATCCTAGATTTAATGAGTAACAGAGTCCAAGGCTTAGTAGGAGTGTAGTGACCTAGCTTGTAAGTGAAAGTGAAGCTTAGACCCAGATCTGACCCTGAAATCCATGCTTTTTCCACTATAACACATTGTGTTAGGAAATAAATAGTTTTGGAATGTTTTCACTAAGGAGAAAATTAAAGAAGGAATAAAGCGGAGTAAATAGAAGAAACGTTATAAATTAGTGAATGCAGTTTATTGTGATTATCTTTGTAAGAATCAGAAATAAAAATGCAGTTGTGGTATTTTTAAGTACTTGAAGCCTCAGACAGTAATTAGTAAGTAATTAGCTTTCTTTCCCATAGTGGATGTGTTTTTTTTAGGTTAAAGGTCACTTTGGTGTTTGTGTCTTGGCTGACCATAACCAAAGCTTTGACACATTAAATTTGAACAGGTCTTTTTCATGGTCTTCCTTTCATATTCCACTTTCAATCTATAAATGTGTTTTTTATATAGATTGCCTACTTAAGAGAGTTCAATGAAGACCAAAAGAAAGCAATAGAAACTGCATATGCTATGGTGAAACACTCACCGTCAGTTGCCAAAATCTGCCTGATTCATGGACCACCTGGAACAGGAAAATCAAAAACTATTGTTGGCCTCCTCTATCGTCTACTGACAGAGGTTGGTATGGGTGAAGGCACTGATGCTGTTAACTAGATGCATCATTTCACTTTACTTGAGAACTGACATGTAAATAAGTATTAACATGCCTTTTCCTCTTCACTTTGTGTATATTTTTTATGTTGTGTGTAACTGTGTTAGAGAAAGGGGTGGCAGAAGGAGGAAAGGTTATGAGAAACAGAGGAAGAAGACTATATCTTATGTGAAACAAATCGTAAGGAGTAGAATGATAGTCTTCAGGCTTCGTTATAGGTCACATCTACAGCTGTGAATGCTGGGCTACAATTTGGTTGGATTGCGGGGTTTTTTTTTTTGAGACAGGAGTCTTGCTGTCACCCAGGCTGGAGTACAGTGGCACAATCTCGGCTCACTGCAACCTGTGCCTCCCAGGTTCAAGCGATTCTTCTGCCTCTGCCCCCTGAATAGCTGGGATTACAGTTGTACACCACCACTCACAGCTAATTTTTGTATTTTTAGTAGAGACAGGGTTTTGCCATCTTGGCCAGGCTGGTCTTGAACTCCTGACCTCAGGTGATCCACCTGCCTTGGACTCCCTAAGTGCTAGGATTACAGGTGTGAGCCACTGTGCCTGACCTGGATTGAGTATTGATTAAATTAAGTGAATGATAAATTAAAGCTCAGAGCAGTTATGACAGAATTTTTATGCTGGAGTAATTTTAATACCAATGTAAGATGTAGATGCTTTTATTTATTTTTAACTTTATGAGAACTTTCAAAAATACATGGAAGTAAAGCCAAACTGTAAAGCTATGTAACAGAGCTCACCCATATTTTTTGTGTGTTTGTTTGGTATGTGTATGTGGCAAATTGTAGAACCAGAGGAAGGGGCATTCAGATGAAAATTCCAATGCCAAAATCAAACAAAACCGTGTCCTCGTGTGTGCACCTTCCAATGCGGCTGTTGATGAACTCATGAAAAAAATTATTCTTGAATTCAAAGAAAAATGTAAAGACAAGAAGAATCCTTTAGGTATGACACTTCTGTGGATTTTTAATTTGTTTTTGTTTTCAGTGTTAAGTGTGGGCAATTTTGAATGACAAAGGAAAGAGCAAGCCAGTCCTGGTAATAGCTTCTACTTGAATCTGTGGATTGTGAGTTCATTTAGCAAGTATTTCATTGAACATTTACCCTGTGCCAGGTACTGAGGTTTCAACAGTGAAGCCTTCAAGGAGACACACAGCCTAGTAAGGAAGTGGACAGGTCAGTACAGAGTGATAAGTTCCATAGTTGGGCTAAAATGTGGGGTGTTTCAGATGCCTCAGAGGGACCCCGAGTCAGTTGTGTGAGGGTTAGGAAGAAGCAGTTAGGAGTTAGCCACAGCCAGTAGAGGGATAGGGGATACTTAAGCAGAGATTGCCATCAAAAAAAAAAAAAGAATCAGGGCAAGAGAACCTCAGATGGTTCATGAGGTTCCTAGAGTATTAGGTGGTGGTGAAAGATGAGGGTTTGAGTAAGCACAGGTTTATTGAAACGGTAAAAATAATGATTGATTACAATTACTTAGTATTTATTATGTATCAGTAATTCTCAAAATAATCCCATGAATTTGGGAATAACCCTACTATTTGTATTTTATAGGTGGGGAGACTGAAGCTTAGAAATGTTAAATTCACTAGAGGGATAACTTTTTTCAGTAGAATTTACATAATAATGAAGAGCATTACAACAGATGATTCAGGGCACTAAAGTGAAGATGTGAAATTATTTCATTTTATTTAGGCTAACACTTGCTCTTCATATCACTCGTATTTAGTAGTATAGTTATGGCTTTGTATTTGACTACTTTGCCAAGCTCATATGTCTCATCTTCCCTACCAAATTTAATTTTCCTTAAGGATACCTAACAGTACCTTTTAACAAGATTTAATTTATCAGACTCCAAATACAGTGGCTTAAATGTAACAGAAGTTTACTTCTCTTTTTTTATTCAAGAGCCCAGAGATGGGCAGTTCAGGACTGGTACCAGAGTCACTGGTATGACGACTCTCCCTTAGAGAGTCCTTGGAGACCCAGGCTCCATCTGATTACTCCACCATGTGGGGCCTGCATGCTTTAGTGCACCTGTGATCAGAATGGCTGCTCCAGTTCCAGCAAGCATGAGGAAAAGATGAAGAAGGGGCAGAGGGAGCATACTAGCCATGTTATAAGGAAAGTTTCTAGGTCCTGCCAATAGCACCTCTGCTTATTTTCTTTTGGCCACACCAAGGCATAAGATAGGCTGGAACATGTCATCTTTATTCTGAGGGATCACACACATTTTTCCATATATTACATATGTATTACCTACATGTAAAATTCATTTGCTCTTAAAACATAACAGTAAGTTGTATGGTGGTGCATGCCACCATACCCAGCTGATTTTTGTATTTTTAGTAGAGATGGGATTTCTCCATATTGGTCAGGCTGGTCTCGAACTGCTGACCTCAGGTGGTCGCCTGCTTGGCCCTCCTAAAGTGCTGGGATGGCCTTGCTAGCTTTTATTAGGTAGAAGTGATAAGTACTTGCCTTATCGGGTTGTTAGGAAGAATATCTGAAATAATGTATGAGAAGTTTGTGGTGTAGTCCCTGGTGTCTAGTTAATTGGAAGTTCATATTAGCTTCCTTCTCTGATTATTAATATATTTACTTAGAAATAGAGACAGGATTTATCCGCGGTGTCCTTATTAGTCCTTAAATGTGATTCTTATCAACAGGAAACTGTGGAGATATCAATTTAGTACGACTGGGTCCAGAAAAGTCTATTAATAACGAGGTTCTAAAGTTCAGCTTGGACAGCCAAGTAAACCACAGAATGAGTAAGTACTGAATGTGGTCTATGCTAATGTTTCCTCTATTTGTTTTGTGGAAAATGACTTGGACACTAAAGGTAATTTGAAGACTTGAGAATTAGTCTGGCTTTGGCAACTGATTTTTTTTTTCTCATTGTGTTGTGTATGTGTGTTGGTTAGAATTAGAATAGAATATAATTTTTTATTTGTTATTTTTATTAGAAAAAGACTTACCTTCTCATGTTCAGGAGATGCATAGAAGAAAGGAATTTCTAGATTATCAGTTGGATGAGCTTTCCCGGCAGCGAGCTCTATGCCGAGGTGGACGGGAAATACAGGTATCTTTGCATTTCTTAAATAATAACTCAGGTAAACAAACTAGTTAACAATTTTGGTTTTTGTTTGGTTTGGGTTTTTTTGGAGACAGAATCTTGCTCTGTCTCCCATGCTGGAATGTAGTAGCACGATTCTGGCTCCCTGTAGCCTCAACTTCCTGGGTTCAAGCAATTCTCCTGCCTCAGCCTCCCAAGTAGCTGGGATTACTAGGATGTGCCACCACAGTGGCTAATTTTTTTGTATTTTTAGTGGAGATGGGGTCTCACCATGTTGGCCAGGCTAGTCTTAAACTCCTGGCCTCAAGTTGATCTGCCCAACTTGGCATCCGAAGTGCTAGGATTACAGATGTGAGCCACTGAGACCAACCTAATTAATGAGGATTAAATGCCCTTTATTGGGGAGTGGCATGATTCATGTATAAAATTGTGTACTAAGACACTAAAAATGTTTGTCAGGTTAACACATTTCTTTTTGCCTTTTTTTTGTCCTTTTGGTTTTAATTATTTTTTTTTTTTTCATTTTTTTCTTTCATTAAAATTTATTTTAAAAAACTTTTTTTAAAACTTTTTTGCAAAGGGCGAGATACTCTAGTAAAGATTTTAGGCTTTGCAAGCTGTATGGTTGGTCTCTGTTGCAGCTATTCAGCTCTGCTTTTGGTAGCACAAGGCAGCCATAGATGATATATAAACAAATGGATGTGGCTGTGTTCTAGTAAAACATTATTTACAAAAACAAATGCATTTTTGTTCGTTTTCAAGTTAGGGTCTCACTTTGTGGCCCAGGCTGGAGTGCAGTGGCACAATTGTGGTTCAGTGTAGCCTCAAGCTCTTGGTCTCAAAACAAGCTCTTTTCCTGCCTCAACCTCTTGAATGGGACAGGGTGCCATCATGCCTGGCTAATTTTTTTGTTTTCTATAGAAACTGGATCTTGCCATGTTGCCCAGGGTAGTCTGAACTTCTTGCCTCAAGCAGTCCTCTCACCTTAGCCTCCCAAAGTGCTAGGATTACAGGCATGAGTCTGCTCCAGGCCTTGCATTTGGCTTATAGGCTGTACTGCCTTGTATTGAAGGTATATTCAGTTTACTAATTATCTTTCAGTTCCAAGTTAAAGAAATGCAGTTCAAATTAGGTTAGACAAAAAGGGAATTAGCTTCAGTATGGGTAGATCTAGAAGCTCAAACAGTATCGTTTTTTCATGTCATGGTTTGTTTTTCTGTGTGTCAGCCATTTCTTCTTCGGGAGAAGGTGTCAGCATCTCAGGGTTTCTACCATCACAGCTTAGAAACTTCACAGAGAGAGACTCAGTCTTTCTCTTAGCATCCATGTATCCAAAGAAGGAGTTAGTTTAGTCCCTGGGTGAGCAAGCAGGTCTAATCCCTAAATTTAAGAAGATGGGTGCCATGATTGGCCAGGCCTGTATTAGATGCCCATCACTGTGGCCAGAGGAATGGTTAGGGTGTGATTAAACAGCCTCATTTGAATCACCTGGAAGGTAAAGGGTAGAGTGATGCTCTCAGGACTGGAATGCTAAGATAGCACACATACAGTTCACAGGACACAGCTTCTTCCACAGCAGCATACAGTGTGTGTCAGTACTTGTGAAGAGGAAATAAGCTGGGTAAATACATTTTTCATTGGGAAAATATAGGCTCTTTTAAGATTAGAGGCAGTCCATTGGAAGGCATTTAAAAATGCATAGTTTAATTTTAATAATGACATTTGAATTTTTTTCCAGAGGCAAGAATTAGATGAAAAAATTTCCAAAGTTTCTAAGGAAAGGCAGGAACTTGCTTCTAAAATTAAAGAGGTAAGTAGTTCGCACGTAGCATTTTCTTGATTTTATTTTATTTTAGAAATTTAAATATAAAACTGAACTGTCAGAGTGACTGTTCAGATAAGCCATGAGCTTTTATGTATTTTTTGTTTTGAAGATGGAGTCTCTCTCTGTTGCCCAGACTGAGGTGCAGTGGCATGATCTTGGCTCACTGCAACCTCAGCCTCCCATGTAGCTGGGATTGCAGGTGTGCACCAACACACCCAGCTAATTTTTGTTTTTTTTTTGTGTGTGTGTGTTTTTGAGACACAGAGTCTTGCTCTGTTGCCAGGCTGGAGTGCAGTGGTGCCATCTTGGCTCACTGCATCCTCTGCCTCCCAGGTTCAAGTGATTGTCCTGTCTCAGCTCCCTTGTAGCTGAGATTACAGACGTGCACTACCACACCCGGCTAATCTTGTATATTTAGTAGAGACAGGGTTTCTCCATGTTGGTCAGGCTGGTATCAAACTCCTGACCTCAGATAATCTGCCTGCCTCCGCCTCCCAGAGTGCTGGGATTACAGGCGTGAGCCACTGCACCCTGTCTTTTTTTGTATTTTTAATAGAAACAGAGTTTCACCATGTTGGCCAGGATGATCTGGGACTTCTGACCTCAAGTTATCTGCCCATCTCGGCCTCCCAAGTGTTGGCTTTATAGGCTTGAGCCACCGTGCCCGGCCAGCTATGGGCTTTTTTCAGTTACAGAAAAATTACAGACATCTGTGGAAGTGGAGACACTGGTGTAACAACATTTGCATTTTTTCCTTTAACCTAACAATGCATTCTTAACCACCATCTAAGATTTCTAAGAAACAGGTGATTATAAATTATCTTTTTTCTGTTTTAGGTCTATGTAAAGATTTAAATCCTTCTTACAAGGTGCTCTAGCTCTTCCTCCCACACTGCAAAAAACAATTATGATAATTACCATCCAGTAACAATTAATGAAAATAACTTTGTGGTGTTTTCCCTGTTAAAAAAAGAAAAGTCACCTGTGTGAGCTTTAGGTTGAGGGTGGCAACTGTGAGCCCTCCAGAGCTCACAATTGGTTACAAGTAGAGTGATGGTGGGCAGGATTGGCATAAGAAAGTACAGCACTTTGATTTTTGATTTTTTTGCATTTCTTGGCTCGGAGCATAAACTCTTTATACTTGTCTTAGATCATAAGACTCCTGTAATATTTTTGTAGCTTTTTCCCAGTTCTTTTTGGATGTACAAATATCAGGTAAGATTTAGACTAATTGAAGCTTGGCCGAGCCAGGTGTATAGCCTGACTGTCAGAATATAGCCCTAATCAAACCACATTGGTGTCAGGGAAGGAGGGTAATAGCAACTGATGACATTGAAGTTTTTCTCCTGAATGTATTATAACTTTTCTCTATGTGACTAAATATAGTTGAACTTAATGCTTATTTTCATTAGCAGTTTATTTAAACTAAAAGTTATGTGAAAACTTTTGATTAAAGTTTTAAACTAAACCTCAAATTAATCTTTCCTCAGTCAAGGATGAAGTCCATGTTCACAGATCTTTTTTGCTGCTCATCACGTGTTCTGTGGGCCATTGAACTAATTGTGCTCCGCAGGTTTTTATTATTTTTTTTTTATTTTGCAGATACAGTTTTCTCTGAATGTGCTCAGCAGTTTTACTCTCTAGATGGCTAAGGAGAGGTGTCTGACAATGCTTTACTGTGTGAGCCATGGAGGGCCACAGTGCCACCCTCTTCCTAAAGCTCACACACATGCCTTGAACTTCATAGTTGAATATATCATATATGCAGAGATGAATCACTACTGCCTCTTAGCAGCATAAAGAAGCTTGCTGAATCGCTGAGGAAAATGCTGATTTAGGCTGGGCACAGTGTCTCACACCTGTAATCCCAGCACTTTGGGAGGCTGTGGCGGGTGGATCATGAGGTCAGGAGATTGAGACCATCCTGGCTAACATGGTGAAACTCCATCTCTACTAAAAGACAAAAAATTAGCCAGGCGTGGTGGCACGCACCTATAGTCCCAGCTACTTGGGATGCTGAGGCAGGAGAATTGCTTGAACCGGGAGGCAGAGGTTGCAGCCAGCCAAGATTGCAACACTGCACTCCAGCATGGGTGAAACAGCAAGACTCCATCTGGGGGAAAAAAAAAAGAAAATGTTGATTTATTTGAGCACTACATGGTATGCATCATTCACATTATCTGGCTCCGTCACAGTACATTGCATTGTAGGAGACCAAACTTCTTTCTCTTACTGTGGAAATGGAGTATTTGTCAGGTTCATAGGCATTTTTGTTAGTTTAGCAAAAGTACATGAAAAAGGAAAGAGCAATATTATATACTTAAAAACTAACAGAAAATGTACATTCAAGCTTAATTCTAACCCTGGTTTTACTCAGATAATTCACAACTCAGTATTATTACATCTCTGCTTCAGATACCTGCTTACATACATCTGGCTACAGGAAGGATTGTAATCTACTTTGACCAAATCAAACTCTAGATAAAAATTTTTAATGTGCTTAATAATATTCTATGTTTTAACTGCAAAGCACACATTCTTTCTCCTGTTTGTGATTATCTTGTTTCTGCTATTTCCTAGATTTGAGGGTTCCCCCCTAACTTTTACTAAATATTTTTCTGTCACATAATAAATGGTAAGTGTTTTATAGTAAAAATAGGCCTGTCATAGTCAAGAATTGATCTACAGCTGACTGTTGATTTAACCTTTGTTCTTTTAGGTTCAAGGACGCCCACAGAAAACACAGAATAACATCATCTTAGAGTCCCATGTCATCTGCTGCACATTGAGCACAAGTGGTGGTTTACTGCTTGAATCTGCTTTTCGTGGGCAAGGGGGTGTCCCCTTCAGCTGTGTCATTGTTGATGAGGTCAGTGAATGGTCAGCCATACAACTTTGACTAGTACTATGAGGAGTAAGTCTCAGATGAATTGTGGCTGCTGAGATGTTGAGGAAATGTTTTTTTCTGCATCTGATTTTTACCTGTTACATATGTATTTCCTTATGTAGAAATCTGCTCCTTAGTCCAGGCACAGTGGCTCATGCCTGTAATCCCAGCACTTTGGGAGGCCAGGGTGGGTGGATCACGAGGTCAAGAGATCAGGAACATCCTGGCCAACATGGTGAAACCCCGCCTCTACTAAAAATACAAAGATTAGCTGGGTGTGGTGGTGTGCACCTGTAGTCCCAGCTACTCGGGATGCTGAGGCCGGAGAATCACTTGAACCGGGGAGGTGGAGGTTGCAGTGAGCTGAGATAGCACCACTGCACTACAGCCAAGGCAATAGGGTGAGACTCCATCTCAAAAAAAAGAAAGAAAGAAATATGCTTCTTAATGACCCACAATAGTGAAAGTAGATTTTCCAGTATTTGGGGGTTAGTCTTGAGGATGACTGATGGTTTCTAACAAAATCTCTGCTGAGTGACTGTCTCGCTCCTGCTTATAATATCTCTAATAATGTTTTGAAGTAGTTTTAATATAAATACTGAACAGTTTTGAGCCATAATATTTTCACCTAACATCCTTTATTCCTAGTTCACTCTTTGAGCAAACATTTATTCAGTACCTATTGTTTGTCAGATGACAAAAGAGGTGGAGCAGGAGATACCAGAGAATTGAGTAATCAGGAGACCCAAGATCCAGTTTTCACCAGAAGGAAAGGACAAAAAGCAGAAATCAGTAAATAGTTGAAGAAAATATCATTGAATTTAAGAGAAATTTGAGTCTTGTGATCAAAGAGGCATACATACAAGGAATATCATGCAAGGAAGAAAGATATGGGGAAGCACACTCACAGACGCTCCTGATGGGATTTCTGAACCTCAGAAACAAAGTTTTAAAAGCAGGCTGGGCATGGTGACTCACCTGTAATCCTGGGATTTTGGGAGACTGAGGGTGGATCAGTTGAGCCCAAGAATTTGAGAGCAATCTGGGCAACATGGTGAAGCCTTGTCTCTACGAAAAATACAAAATTTAGCCAGGTGTGATGCCATACGCTTAGAGTCCCAGCTACTCAGGAGGCTGAGGTGGGAGAATCGTTTGAGCCCAGGAGGGCTGCACTCTAGCCTGAGTGACCAATCGAGACTCTGTCTCAAAAAGTAAATAAATAAGATATATAAATAAATAATAAGATTAATATATTAATAAAATAAGTAAAATTTTTTAAATAAAGTTTTAAAAGGACTTTAGAGGAGAAACATTTTTTTCAGGCCCATGCCCTGCAGGAACAAAGAACACACACATCTAGGATGCACTCGGCCTTCTTAACTTACGGCTGGTTCCCAAGTGGTAGTGGCTTCCTTGGTGGCTGACTTCAAAATACATATTTGATTTTTTTTAAAACATTCGCTTGGAGAGTTTGTTATTTATTTATTTATTTTGAGACAGAGTCTTGCCCTGTCACCCAGGCTGTAGTGCAGTGATGTGATCTTGGTTCACTGCAACCTCTGCCTCCCGGGTTCAAGTGATTCTCCTGCCTCAGCCTCCCGAGTAGCTGGGATTACAGGCATGTGCCACCATGCCCAACTAATTTATTTGGTATTTTTAGTAGAGACAGGGTTTCGGCACATTGACCATGCTGGTCTCAAACTCCCAACCTCAGGTGATCTACCCGCCTAAGGCGGGTCTCAAAGTGCTGGGATTACATATGTGAGCCACTGCACCTAGCCTGAAGGGTTTATTTTGTTGTTTGTTTTCAGATAAAATGCTTATTTTTGATATTTCGTGCAGAAGTGTGGTACTTTTCTGAATGGTTAGAACTTTAATCAGATAAACTATATGGATAAATAGCAAAGATAGTTAAGACTGCCTCTCCCTTCTATGTCTTGCCAAGGCTGGACAGTCTTGTGAAATTGAGACTCTTACTCCACTCATTCATCGCTGCAACAAGCTTATCCTAGTAGGAGATCCTAAACAGCTCCCTCCCACAGTCATCTCTATGGTAAGTTTTTTTTTATGTTCAGATTGCTTTAAAATGGAAGGGGCTTTTTAAAATTTTTGTCTTAAAGAGGGAGGAACATCTCTCTTGGATTGGCCTCTCTTAATTTGGAGTGAAAAGTAAGCAGTAACTCAGAAAAGAGAAGCACTGATTTAGTCTCAATACGTTAAAAAAAAATCCTAAAAAGGCCCCTTTGTTCATAGTTGTGCTTCTGTGTATGTGTGGCAGAAGTCCTGTGTTCAGCCTAGATGGATGACGTGCCATGCAGACCAAGCTTTGGAAAAGTCAGTGTGCACATCTTTAAAGAGCTGAATCTGATTTATTTTAATCATGCAAGCACCGAAACAATAATAAAAAAAAAAACTTCAAAAGTAAGGAGAAGAATCCCACCCTCTTCATTTATATTTAAATATGTACAAATTGAGGAAAACATGAAGTTAAATTAATTTTGGAGTACATTTCCATTTTTATGATTTAGTATTCTAACATTAATACAAGAAAATGTCTGTGCCCCTCACATCATCTGAAAGTGAAGGTATGGGGGAAAAAAGACGAAATTATAGGCTCTGCCTGTGGGAAAAGAAGAACCAGATTGTAGTCTACTCTACTCTGTTGGTTTCTTTTTTAATCTCAATGAAAAATGTCTCCTAGAAATGCGCATCAGTATCAGGATTCAGTAGATGTTTTGAAGTAATCTGAAGAGGTTATACAATTTAATAAAATTTGTATTAGTGCTAATAACATAGATTATTTATACAAATAATTGAGCAGTGGCCTCATAATCCTAGAGAACAGATTGTTTTCAAAGCATTTCTGTGGAATTATGGAATGAATGCAGCTGCTTTTGTTAGTGGCTTTTGACTTCAGGATTATTCAGAATAGTAGTGCAGTTCCATGTATGACATTTGAGCACAGGTATGTGATCATGGTAGGGTGTGGCCCAGAAGCACTCCTGTTACCAGTGAAAACCTGTGTGTTTAGGGAGGAACTGCTACAGGCAACTTCGTTCATAGAGAATAAGGAAGAGCAAATTCTGTATCCCATTTCTTTAAATAATGCAGTATTTTATTGAAGTGAAAAGGGATTGTTCATGGACCTCAGCCTTACTGCCTAATTTAATGATTGATAAAAGCAACAAAAATTACAAAAAAAAATCCATTTATGGTTTTTAAGTTAATTGTACAAATAAAACAGGCTATTTTGAGAAAATAATTACAAAATTCATTTCCATGAGGTGCCTTTTTTGACCACATATTTCTAGTGATAATTACGGTGTAAGTGAGTAGTATCTTTAACAGATTTTGCTGGGCATTTGTGTGTTTATTCATCTTTTTCAGTATGTATATATTGAGTGCCAACATAATTCAGGTGCTGTTTAGGTATTGGGGTTATGACAGTGAAGAAAACAGACAAAATCCCTGCCTTCATGGTGTTTGCATTCTAGGGGATAACAGTAAGCCGGTTATTAAAATGTGGCATATGGCTTGTATACAAGTATATATTTACGTGCATATGTGTTTATGTATGTGAGATTGGTTTTTTTTAAAGATGGCAAAATTATTCTGTGCAGAATTGGCTTTTTTTAAAATCAGTAAATCAGGGACATTGTTCCATGTCTGAATATATATTAATAAATTTGTATCATTTGTTGAATAGACTGTGGTTTGACTGGAGGTTAGATGCATTACCTTATATAAGTTCTTTTTCTGTTCCCCCAAAGCAAAGATTAAAACTTAGATTTTTGAGCTAACTCAGATAAACTTTTGAGGATTTAGGCAAAATTGTCAAATGTCTATTAATTATTTTATACTTACACAAACCTGTTTAAAATCACACATATAAATAGGTTAAGAAGTAATGCCTTTTTCTCCACTCTCATAGTTTGTGAAACAAGTTTATTCAGGCTTTGCACATGTTCAGTGCCAGTATCTTTCACGTCACTTATGGAGATTCCATCATCTTAGTGAAGTTTTCAGCACATTTTTACTCCCAGGTTAAGATAGTACTTTTTGAAACTTTCTATGATACTGTCATTGGAAAGTATATACCAAGGCACAACTATGATAAGACAGTTTATCCCATTTGTCATTTAGGTCACTATCTTGCAGATCGCGGAACATAACCCATTATTTGGTTTGTGAAATCAGTCTAGCACAGGTTGGGCATTCCTAATTCAAAAATTTCACAGTGCTTCACAATCTGAAACTTCTCAAGTGCTGACATTATACTTAAAGTTCATGCTCAAAGGATAGGCTCATTGGAGGATTTTGGTATTTTAGATTAGGGATGGCCAACACATAAGTCGAGTTTGTTTCCTCCACTGGAATGTAAGTTCTGTGAGACTTGATCTTATTCACTGCAGCAGTCTCATCACTCCAAACTATAGATGCTTAGTACATATTAGATGGCTGGATGAAGAATGTTGTCTTCAAAACACTTGTTTACAATGTCATTCAATATGTCTGTTTGTGAGGATATACCACCAGAAATAATTGTTAAAATCTGTGTTACATTTATCTGCTTCCTTTATTATTATTATTTTTTAAGATACGGCAGTGATGTCTTGTATTATCAAAATAGCATCAGTTGTCATTCACAAGGTCGTATCACTTTCATAAGCAGTATGTGAGTAGAAAATGCCTCTACATATATTCAAGATTCATGGCATTTTGGTCAGGTGTGGTGCCAAATGCCTGTAATCCCAGCTACTCAGGAGGCAGAGACATGAGAATCGCTTGAACCTGTGAGGCGGAGGTTGCAGTGAGCTGAGATCGCACCACTGCACTCCAGCCTAGACAAGAGAGCCTAACTCTGTCTCCAAAAAAAAAGATTCAAGACATTTTGAGGATGAGAGTCAGAAACATCTTTTTTCTCGGAAGTTGTGGTTGGTAATCTTATACTACCTGAATGTTGCCATGTACATATTAGATGTCAGTAATTGTTTTTATAATAGTGGGAAAGATATAAAGGAATTCTTGGAAAATATTGCTTTATTTTCCCCCTCACAGAAAGCACAGGAGTATGGCTACGACCAATCAATGATGGCTCGCTTCTGCAAACTGCTGGAAGAGAATGTAGAATACAACATGATCAGCAGGCTGCCTATTTTACGGCTTACTATTCAGTACAGGATGCATCCAGACATATGTCTCTTCCCTTCCAATTATATTTATAACAGAAACTTAAAAACAAATAGGTGAGTTCCCTTTATTGCTTGTGAGCTTATTTTGTTTGTAGTTTAGCTGCTTATGAAGAATAGCCATTTTACTGTCTTCTTAGGTTTTATCATAAAAAGCATAAATCATGGAGGATTAATAATTTTCTCTAGTTATGAAAGCCATCATGTCGAGTACAGCAAATGCACATAAAAAAGAAAGAGGGAAAAAGTCACCTATATTTATACTACCTAGAAATAAAGAATCACTGGTAACATTTTGGCATATCCACTTTCAGAGTATGTGTGTGTGTGTGTGTGTGTGTGTGTTTTGGAGACTGTCTTCTCTTTCTTTTGCCTAGACAGAATGAGTACAGTGGCACAATCCTGGCTCACTGCAGCTTCGACCTTCTAGGCTCAATTGATTCACCCACCTCAGCCTCCTGAGTAGCACTCACCACCATGCCTGGCTAATTTTTGTGTTTTTCTTTTTATAGAAATGGGGTTTCGCTATGTTGCCCAGGCTGCTTTCAAACCTCCTGAGCTCAAACAATGCACCCGCCGTGGCCTCCCAAAGTGCCGAGATTACAGGCAAGAGCCACCGCGCCTGGCCAAGTTTCAGTCCTTTTACCATGCATATCTTTTTTTACTTTTTAAATTTTTTAAGAAAAAAGTGGGACCATATTTAACACAGTATTCTGTGGCTTACTAGAGTGACTATCCAGTCATATTTGTTATATTTTAATGACGTAGATACCTCTCCCAGCACCAGGAAAGAAATAGAATTTGTTTTGTACCTTTCACTGATACACATCTAGAAAAGAATATTGCTGTTATCCCTTTACTTGCCCCAGCCCACTTCACCACACAGAAAAAATAGTCGTAATACTAAAATATTTTCTTAAATCTCAACCTTGTTCTGAATGTTGACTACCTTTTACAGACAGACAGAAACCGTTCGGTGTTCCTCAGACTGGCCATTTCAACCATACCTTGTGTTTGATGTCGGAGATGGTTCAGAAAGACGGGATAATGAGTATGTTCTCCTCTTGCCTTAATCCTCTGTGATGGTCCCATAATTGTTACATTATTTGCATTCATATTTATATTAAGTACATTTCCTATACACGTCTCTTTGCCTAATGTCAGGGCACAGTCATTTTCATTTAAATTGATGCTTTTTTCTGTATAATGGGGATAATATCATCTAATGTCATAAGCAAGCACTTGAGTAGATATTTTTCGAGATCACAGCAGTGAGGGAAACAGATGTGCCCATTGCAAGATGATGATGTCATGGGACAACAGACCTTTACCTGGTAATCACTTAGGTAAGCAGTTACTCCAGTTGGGTTAAGAACTATGAAGGCGAAGTATAAATTCAGCTGAATGAAGGTGTGAAGGGGAGTAAGGAAGTAGCAACAGAGGCTGGATGGTATTGGGTTGTGAATAAGGGGATGTATTCAGGTGGTCTGTATATGACAGCAGAGAGGAGCAGTGGTGTTGCCACATAGCGGCAATGTCAGAGGAGCTGGGGATTCTTGTGAGAGAGTAGGGGAGGAATGGTCTAGAGGCAGCATTTGTTGGCACACATACAAGCACTGCTCTGTCATGAAGTAGGAGGAAACAAATCCCACTTGTACATCATGGGATGGCTGCAGAGCAGGTGGCATCCTCAGGTGAGAATCAGGTGTTAGGTAAGATAGGAGGTGGAAGTAGGGAACACATTGAAGAGGTAGGGAAACATACAGAGGAGGAGTTGGCCATGGAATTGTAGTGCTGGAGGGACTGCATCCTAAAGGTTTTCATGGGGCCTGTTGGAGGAGAGCAAAGAATTGAGAGTTAAGTCCCAGAGCATCATGAAGAAGGAAGGTTAGACTGGAATGTTGACCAGAGAGGCTTAATCTGGAAGAGGACCAAGGGAAATGAAGATTTCAGGGATGGAAGAGATGGCTAGCTGACTGGGTTGTCCATATAGTAAGTCTCAAAGTTACGATAATGGATATTTAAGGCTTGTAAAGCAAGGCGAATAAGGTAGCCTCAGGAATCAAGGGATAGGTGCGGTGCAGCCCCCGGTCTTGGTGCATTTCGCATCTGGTGTAGTCATGAGGGAGCATGTGGTTTCAGGATGAGTTGAGAGTGCAGGATATGAGGCTGGTGAGGACAACAAAGGGGACATGAACCTACTCTAGGGCCCCATTTTGTTCAGCTGAGGTCAGGTGGGACACATCATTTACGTTCGGTTTTTGTGGATGGCAGCTGCTCGGTTGTGTGGTGTGTGTTATATGCAGCCAGTGGTGGGGGACAAGGGAAATCATACATCTGAAGCATTTTCTCAGTGTTTGGGAGATAGTAAATTCTTAACTCCTGTTAGCTATCTATTATTCACATATTTGTTCTTATTAATACTGCTCTTCTTACTGCTGCTATTCCTGTTTTAACAGATGAAGAGGGTGGTTCTTAAACTTCAGTTGATTTCAAGCTCTTTTCTCTCTACAACTTCATGTTTCACTGGGCATTTCACATGTCTTCATATTTACCCTATTATTTTCGCATTTATTCATATATTACCATATTAATTAATGGTCATGATAACAGCCTCTTTGAGTCACTGACAGCTGAATAAAAGATGAAGCCTATCTGCCTGCCCTTTACTGTAATGGGAAAGGAACTCAATGGAATTTAAGGTAGCAATTAGCCTGCTATTAGTTTTGATAATGTTTTGTTTTCTTTTTCCCTCTTGCTTAGCTCATATGTAAATGTTCAAGAAATAAAACTGGTGATAGAACTAATTAAGCTAATTAAAGACAAAAGAAAGGATGTCAGTTTTCGAAACATTGGCATAATAACTCACTACAAGGCCCAGAAGACGATGATTCAGAAGGATTTGGACAAAGAGTTCGATAGAAAAGGGTGAGGTATTTTTATAAATACTTGTAGTTTTCTTGTTGCATTGGAGTGAGAGGATATAGAAGGGAAGAAGAAAAGGGAAACTCTAAGGAGTGGTCTTGGACTGTGCAGATTGGTGATAAGGCACAAGGAAACTGGGATGCTGCTGGCTTCCTTAGACTTGTGCTGTGTAGGTCCTGGGTGGAGAGGGTACCTCCTGCCAATTGTGATGTCAACAATCTACTTGGCAGTGAAATTGACTAAGAAGCTTTCCAGGTCTTTTCCCTTTAGTTCCATGACTTGTTCATCTGAATTCTTGTTCTAGCAAGACTAAAAGTGACATTTCACTTTAAATAAATTATTTACCAGTTGTATTGCCTTTATGTATAGAATGAAGGTTATGTTTTTGTTTCCTTCTTAACCTCAGCAGTAAAATTAAAGATTAAATATTGGAAATCCGTAATCTCAAAATCATCTTAACTTAGAAGCACACAGACTACCAAAATCGAATCTACGAATCTAGAAAACAATATAAAATCAGACCTATAGGCTGGGGACAGTGGCTCACACCTGTAATCCCAGCACTTCGGGAGACTGAGGTGGGCAGATCACCTAAGGTCAGGAGGTTGAGACCAGCCTGGCCAACATGGTAAAACCCTGTCTCTAAAAAAATACAAAAATTAGCCAGAATTGGTGGCTTTCACCTGTAGTCCCAGCTACTTAGGAGGCTGGGGTAGGTAAATAGCTTGAACCTGGGAGGCAGGCAGAGGTTGCAGTGAGCCGAGATTCCTCACTGCATCAGTCCAGCCTGGGTGACAGAGTAAGACTCTGTCTCAAAGAAAAAAAGAAAATCAGACCTATATAACAAATAATGAAACATTTTCCAATAATGAAAAGCCCAGGACCAAGCTAATCTGGTGAATTCTATCAAATATTAAAAGAAGAATGTACACTAGTCCTTCTTACATGCTTCTAATAAATAGAACACTTTCAAATTCATTTTATGAAGCCAGTGTTACACCACTATCAAAGCCAGGGGAAAATACCACAAGAAGACTATAGATCCAAATCTCTTATGACTACAGGTGCAAAAATCCTCAACAAAATAGTGACAAACCGAATTCAACAGTTTAATAAAAGGATTTATGCATCAAGACCAAGTGGGATTTATCCCAGGAATGCAAGATTGCTTCAACATATGAAAATCAGTATGACATACCATATTAGAAGAGTGGGGAGGGACCCACATAATCAGCTCAATAGATATTTTTTTTAAAAGTGCAGAACCCAAAACCCTTTGATGATTTAAAAAAAAAAAAAAATCAGTGGCTCACATCTGTAATCCCAGCACTTTGGGAGGCCCAGGTGGCAGATCACAAGGTCAGGAGATTGAGACCATCCTGGCCAAGATGGTGAAACCCCGTCTCAACTAAAAATAAAAAAATTAGCTGGGCATGGTGGTATGCACCTGTAGTCCCAGCTATTTGGGAGACTGAGGCAGGAAAAATGCTTGAACCCAAGAGACAGAGGTAACAGTGACCCAAGATCACACCACTACACTTTAGACTGGGTGACAGAGCGAGACTCTCTCAAAAAAAAATCAAACTAGAAATACAAAGGAACTTTTTTTAATTAATAAAACTTTTTTTAAATTAATAAACATTTTAATTAATACAACTTTTTTAATGAATAAAAATTTATTAAAAACTCATAGCTAACATTATACTTGATGGTAAGAATGAAAGCTTTTCCTCTAAGATCATTAAAGATGTTTGAAACTCATACTACTTTTCAACATTGTACTAGAGGTTTTAGAGCAGTTAAGCAAGGAAAAGAAATAAAAAGCATCTTTATTGGAAGGAAAAAAGTAAGAGTCTTTTCCTAGGTGGCATGATCTTATTTCTAGAAACCCTAACAAATCCATTCAAAGACGCTATTAGAATAAGCTTAGCAGGATACAAGAGTAATGTATAAAAGTTGATTATTTTGATGTAACGAGCAATGAACAATCTGAAAAGGAAGTTAAAACAATTTGATTTACAATAGCATCAAAAAGAATAAAACACTTAGGAATAAATAGAAGCAAGGAAGTATAAGACTTATAGGCTAAAACCTGCAAAACGTTGAAAGGACTTGAACACCTAAATGGGCCGGTGCAGTGGCTCATGCCTGTAATTCCAGCACTTTGGGAGGCTGAGGTGGGTGGATCACCTGAGGTCAGGAGTTCAGGATCAGCCTGGCCAACGGTAAAATCCTGTTTCTACTAATAATACAGGTGGGGCACACCTGTAACCCCATCTACTCCAGAGGCTGAGGCTGAAGAATAGCTTGAACCTGGGAGGCAGAGGTTGCAGTGAGCCAATATCGCTCCATTGCACTCCAGCCTGGGCAACAAGGGAAACACTGTCTCAAAAAACACCTAAATAAATGTAAAGACATCCTGTTTTCGTCGACTGAAAGACTTAGTGTTTGTTTTTTGTATTTTTTGTGTTTTTTCATTTTTAGTAGAGATGAGGTCTTGTTAAGTTGCCCAGGGTGTTATTATCAAACTCTTGAGTTCACACAATCTTCCCTAAGTGCTTAGATTACAGACATGAGCTACCACACCCAGCCAAAGACTTGATGTTATCAGCTTGACCATTTCTGTAAAAAAGATGGTTGTAATAATACATCTGCCATCTTAATCCTAAATTTTAGTAAATAACTTGTACTATGTGGTACAATGAAATATTAGTGAAAAAAAGGGATGAACTTCTGTTACATGCTACATGGATGAACTTTGGAAATGTTATGCTAAGGGAAAACAGTCATAAATCACATTTTATAGTTCCATTTATATGAAACTCATAAGAAAATCTGTAGAGACAGAAAGTAGATCAGTGGTTGCTAGCGAATGGAGAGAGGAGGAGATTCAGGCTAACCTCCAAGAAAATACTTGTAAAATTTCTTAACAGCCAGGCTTGGTGGTGCGTGCATCTCCTTGGGAGGCTGAGGCAAGGAGGATTGCTTGAGCCCCAGAAGTTTGAGTCCAGCCTGGGCAGCATAGTGAGACTACATCTCTTTCTTTTTTCTTTCTTTTTTTTTTTTAAGTTTCTTAAAAAATAACACTGTAAGGACCTGGCTCAGTGGCTCATGCATGTAAGCCCGCTGCTTTTGAGAGGCCAAGAAGGGCAAATCATGAGGTCAGGAGTTTGAGACCAGCCTGACCAACTTGGTGAAACCCTGTCTCTACTAAAAATACAAAAAATTAGCGGGGCATAGTGGCAGACAACTGTAATCCCAGCTACTTGGGAGGCGGAGGCAGGAGAATTGCTTGAACCCAGGAGGCGGGGAGGTTGCAGTGAGCTGAGATTGCACCACTGTACTCCAGCCTGGGTGACAGAGCGAGACTCTGTCTCCAAAAAAAAAAAATTGTAAGGCCAGACATAGTGGCTCACATCTATAATCCTAACATTTTGGGAGGGTGAAGTAGAAGGATTGCTTGAGGCCAGGGGTTTGAGACCAGCCTCAGTAACATAGCAAGGCCCCATCTCTACAAAACATAGAAAAATTAGGGTGGCGGTCCATGCATGTAGTCCTAGCTACTTAGGAGGCTGAGACGGCGCTCAGGGCTTCAGGGTTACAGTGAGCTGTGAATATGCTGCTGCACTCCAGCTTGGACAAGAGTGAGGCTAGACTGTCTCTAAAAAACCAAAAAGCTAGTTTACAAATATGTATATTTAATAATTATCTTTTTCCAGTAAATATGTTTCTCTTTTGTGAATAGACCAGCAGAAGTAGATACTGTGGATGCATTCCAGGGTCGACAGAAGGATTGCGTGATTGTTACATGTGTCAGAGCAAATACCATGCAAGGTTCAATTGGGTAAGTTACTGTCATTGTTGCTTTTTTATACTTTTACACATTATCGCTTGTTTATAATTCAGGATTAGGTTCAGTTCATTATCTATCACTGTTAGAAAACCACCATCATTTGCTTTCTTAATTTTCTTTTGTAAATTTCTTGTGTAATAATATGAAAGTTTCTCTTTAAATTGTGAAATCAACCCACTGTTAGATCTTGGTCCAATCTCAGCTCACTGCAACCTCCACCTCCCAGGCTCAAGCAATTCTCCTGCCTCAGCCTCCCAAGTAGCTGGGACCACAGGCATGTACCACCATACCCAGCTAATTTTTGTATTTTTTTGTAGAGACAGGGTTTCCTTGTGTTGCCCAGGCTGTTCTCAAACTCCTGAGCTCAAATGATCCGCCCACTTTGGCCTCCGAAAATGCTGGGATTACAGGTGTGAGCCACCAAGGCCAGCCTTGGTGGCTTTTATGTTAACCCATTTCATAGTGTTCTTTTATTTAATAAGATTTTGTATTAGTAAGATTCAAGTAAATAATTAAGTGTATTTTGCAGAGGCATGTTATTCTCCGTGGTATGTGTTATATAAAGTATCATTTTTTTCTCTTCTCTGTTTTCCTGTTTTGGCTAAATTTGTTAACCTTAACTACTGTCAGTTTATTTAAGATGCTAAGGATACCTGTATGTGTGACAGCAAATTCCCCTGAGCTTGAGACTCTTACATGATGCTTTGTTACTTGTCATGAGAAGCAGATAGAATTTACAGGTTATAAATTAGTTTTTCTTTCTTTTTTTTTGAGATGGAGTCGCACTCTGTCACCACGCTAGAGGGCTAGAGTGCAGTGGCATGATCTGGGTTCACTTCAATCTCCGCCTCCCGGGTTCAGGCAATTTTCCTGCCTCAGCCTCCTGAGTAGCTGGGACTTCAGGCATACGCCACCACACCCGGCTGATTTTTATGTTTTTTAGTAGAAACGGGGTTTCACCATGTTGGCAGGATGGTCTCAAAGTTCTGGGATTACAGGCGTGATCTACCGCACCTGGCCAAATTAGTTTGTTTTGAAAGAAAATAGTAATCAAAGTAACCTCCCTGTGTTGGGCTGCATATACAGAGACTGGTAATATCTCAGGGTCATTTTATGAACAGTCCATTCTTTCCCAGCTAATTTTCACTTTTATCATAATCAATTCTATTTCTGAGCTCTTTTTCTGATCTGTTGAAATATTTGTGTTGTATTTATGTATTTCTGCACTAGTTTTACACTATTTTAACAACCTAGATATATTTCAATGCAAGAATAAAGTGATTGGGCTGCTGTCACATTTTTAGGATATTTTTAAGGCTTCAGGATTGCACTGTTAAAATTTTCAATATCTCATCCAGGTTAAAAATAGGAAATTGATAGATACATCACTTTGAAGGAAGCCCTGAGGTTTTGGTTTGTTTACTGTTTTTAATAGGAATTCTTCTGTGCCCAGTACCCTGTATTGGGACAGAGAGTAAGAAAGCACTGTGACTTCTAGAGAAGTGGAGGAGTCCTGGAAAAGCTGTCTGCAGTCCACCAGTGTCTCACATGGGCACGCTAAGTCACTCTAGAGTCCACCTGTGTCTCACATGGGCACGCGAAGCACTGAGTCATTCTAGAGTCCACCTGTGTCTCACATGGGCACGCTAAGCACTGAGTCACTGCAGAGTCCACCTGTGTTTCATGTGGACACACGAAGCACTATGTCACTCTAGGGTCCACCAGTGTCTCACGTGAGCACGCTAAGCACTGAGTCACTCTATAGTCCACCTGTGTCTCACATGGGCACACTAAGCACTGAGTCACTCTAGAGTCCACCTGTCTCTCACATGGGCATGCAAGCACTGAGACACTCTAGAGTCCACCTGTGTCTCACATGGACACGCGAAGCGCTGAGTCACTCTAGAGTCCACCTGTGTCTCACATGGGCACACTAAGCGCTGAGTCACTCTAGAGTCCACCTGTGTCTCACATGGACACACGAAGTACTGAGTCACTCGAGAGTCTACCTGTGTCTCACATGGGCACACCAAGCGCTGAGTCACTCTAGAGTCCACCTGTCTCACATGGGCACGCTAAGCGCTGAGTCACTCTAGAGTCCACCTGTGTCTCACGTGGGCATGCTAAGCGTCGAGTCACTCTAGAGTCCACCTGTGTGTCACTCAAAGTCACTCTAAAGTCTACCTGTATCTCACATGGGCATGCTATTATTCTAGAGTTCACTTGTGTCTCATATGTACATGCTAAGTCACTCTAGAGTCCACCAGTGTCTCACATGAGCATGCTAAGTTATTCTAGAGTTCACCTCTGTCTCATATGGGCATGTTAAGTCATTCTAGACAAAGAAGGAAGTCTTTTTTTGTTGCGTAGATTCCTGGCAAGTTTGCAGAGATTGAATGTCACCATCACACGAGCCAAGTACAGCCTCTTCATCCTCGGACATTTGAGGACCCTGATGGTAGGTACTAAAGAGCTCAGAAGTTTGACCATTGTTATTGTTATTGGATTGAGTTTTTACTATTTTCCATCAAAGTGTAAATGATTTCTGGATTACAAAATAATGGTTGTTATGTTTTACAGCAACTTCCTAGGAGCTTTTGTGTACACGTGAACTATTCGCCTTTTTTCAGCCCAGAACCCAAGTATCTACACTGGGCTCTCAAGGTGATCATTTTAAAACAAATTATCCACATCATAGGATTATTGTTAAGAAGGCATATTAAACCCACAAATATAAAGTGCCAGAGCAGTGCTTGGCACTTAGTAAACACTCAGTAAATGTGGCTGTTACTGGCCCAGCTTAATGCCAGAGAGAGTTTGCAGGCACATGCTCTGCTCTGCTTTTATGCTGGCGCCGGGAGGTGTGCTGCTCACACTGTTTCTTCAGCACTTGGTGCCTCTAGGGTTCCTCTGCCAAGATAGGCGCACCTCTGAAAGAGGTGTACAAATTTCCAACTTTAGTAGACAAATTGTGCAACTTAATTCACTGATATCACAGCTAGAGGCATCATGTATTTGCTCTTTGTCTCATTAGGAGTAATAATTTTGTCGTTTTTCTCGTTTCTCTTTTTTATAAAGTCATTCATCTAAGAAGAGCCAACTTGGTGGATGTTTCACCTGCTTTTGGTTCTTGCCACCAGGTGGCGCCCAGATACATCTTCTTTCTCATTTCACTCTTCTCTTCTGTAGCTCTATCCCCTCTAGCCTTTGTCGTTTGTGTGCTCACTCTAGAGGAAGTTGTAAAGGGTGCCCATTCTGGAGGAAGTTTTAAAAGCTGTGTACCACTTATTTTTATCTACCTCCCATTTTTGAGTTGATATAAAAAATCTTTACAAGTTTAAATATTACTGAAGATTGTGTTTCTGCTGTGTTATCAATACTGACATTTTAAAATACAGCGATTAAAACTAATTATATCAGTCTTAAATATATCCAGTGGAATAGAAAAATAGCGATATTATTTTATTTTTTTTCTTTCCTTAAATTGTACTTCCATTCCTACTTGTTTAGGATAAAATTCACTGGGGTAATCTCTTTTTACCTTTCTCTTAATCTCACTGATTACACCTCTCACAAAAATCTTTGTGTAATTTGAAACTTTAAAAAGTTGTTTTCTTTTTTTTTTTTTTTTTTTTTTTTGAGGCAGGGTCTTGCTCTATCACCTTGGCTGGAGTGCAGTGGCACAATCCTAGTTCACTGCAGCCTCTGCCTCCTGGGTTTAAGCTGTTCTCCCATCCAGCCTCCTGAGTAGCTGAGACTATAGGCTTATGTACCACCACACTCAGCTAATTTTTGTACTTTTAGTAGAGACAGAGTCTTACCATGGTGTCCAGCTGGTTTCAAACTCCTGGGCTCAAGTAATCCCACCTCGGCCTAAAAAGCTGTTTTTTATAACTATTTGGAGAACCCACGTGAAGGGTGCATGCAACCTCTCAGTACTTTCTTTGCAACTTCCTGTAATTCTATAGTTAGCTCAAAATATATAGGTTTGAATTTTTAAAAGTCCTTTTTTGAGACCATAAGGATCTTAGTGTTAAAACATGATCTCTTGTCAGTTGAATAGCCTGTTAACACAATAAATATCTTTGTATTAAATATTTGTAATATTTAATACAAAGATATTTATTGAATATTTTAGATTTTGATAATGTTTAAACCTGAAAAGTAAATGAAATGTTATTAGAGATACGTCTTTTAGTAAAGCCTCGATTAAAGGAGCCTTCATGGCACTACTGCTTTTAATCCTCCCTTTATATAGCGTCTCAGAGTTTTTATGTGTCTTGGCAATGCACTCATGATTGTGAGGATGGGATGCAGGAGGCAGGACAGTCCAAGGTCTGGGGTTTGGAAGCTTATTCCGTAACCCTTCTCACATTCCCTTTAGACAGTGTTTGGGAGCCCCTGGGTCACACTTCCACAACTGTGCAGGCCATTAACCCAGCAAATGGCACCAACATAGTCTTCACTCTAGGAAGGCAGTGCTACAAAGAGAGATGGGCAGACCTGAATCTAAACATTCCCGGTTTGACAGCTGGGCTCCCTAACTTTTTTTGTCCTTGGGCTTTTTCTTTATTGTTTTGGGGATTTGCTTGTTTTTAATTCTTTAGCCTAGTTTCCCTTATGGAAATGGAATCATCATTAAAGCATTTGGTTTCCTCTGAGAAACCAAAGCTAATAGTGCCTGCTCAGAACTGTTTTTGTGATCTTAGGAATGGATTAAACACCAAGTTTAGGTATAGTAAACTTAGCAGAAATAGCAAGGCCATCTGCTTCACATATGTGTTTGAGCCACAGGCTAAGAATCTCTAGAGATCTGAGTGAGAAGGATAACTGAGCCACAGAGCCTGGTGCTGCTTCCACAGACCTGTCTGGAATATGCCAGTCACCGTGCCAAACATTTTCTTCTAGTCACATGACTTTTCCAAACTTGAAAAAATCCTGTGAAGTCAGCTTATTACCATGGTTTATCAAATTCAAGAAACTATTAATTGTAATATACATCACTATTTATTTATTACTATTAGATTATAAACTTTATTTTCACTTAGAACTTCACTGAAAGGACTCTTTTAAGATTTTAGACAGATTTGGGAGCCGGGTGCGGTGGCTCACGCCTGTAATCCCAGCACTTTGGGAGGCCGAAACGGGTGGATCACGAGGTCAAGAGATTGAGACCGTCCTGGTCAACATGGTGAAACCCCATCTCTACTAAAAATACAAAAAATTAGCAGTGACGCGTGCCTGTAATCCCAACTACTCAGGAGGCTGAGGGAGGAGAATTGCCTGAACCCAGGAGGCGGAGGTTGCCGTGAGCTGTGATTGCGCCATTGCACTCCAGCCTGGGTAAACAAGAGCGAAACTGTCTCAAAAAAAAAAAAAAAAGATTTTAGACAGATTTTTATCATATTCTTATGTATACATAAAAGAGAAAATACAAGTAACATAATAGGTTAAGATATTCCTAAAAATATTCCACGTTGAGAATCTAGCACTAATTAATCATTTCCCAGTCCATAGTCATCAGTGTTATCCTTCATCCCTGGTGCGACAATGAGGCTGGCAATCTAGCATTTGCTAAGAGCTTCACCATTGCTTCCAGGGTTTTCTTAGAACCCTTGATCTCCAGTATAAGGTTTTTTGGGTTGTTTTTTTTCTTTTCCTGAGACAGAGTCTTACTCTATCGCCCAGGCTAGAGTTCAGTAGTGCAATCTCAGCTCACTGCAACCTCCACCTCCTGGGTTCAAGCCATTCTCATGCCTCAGCCTCTCAAGTAGCTGGGATTACAGGTGTGTGCCACCACACCCGGCTAATTTTTGTATTTTTAGTAGAGATGGGGTTTCACCATGTTGCCCAGACTGGTCTCGAACTCCTGACCTCAGGTGATCCACCCACCTCAGCCTCCCAAAACGTTAGGATTTCAGGCGTGAGCCACTGTGCCCACCCAGTGCATAAGTTTTAATGCTGATGTTTTCTTGTCTTACCAGAAAATGTCTGTAGAAGGTTTTAAGGAAAGATCTTTAAATGGTTTATTGACTAAAAGTCAAAGGGTTATAATTGCTTCATCACCAAATTCCCAAGGATAGGTCTGTGGCCAAGAGGCTCCCCAAGCTCAGAAATGGGTAAAATGTGAAAGCAATGTGCACTTTAGAATCCATTAAATAAAATATTACTCCTATTTTACAGATGAGGAAACAGGCTCAGAGAGGTCAAATGACTTGACCAAGGTCGCACAGCAAGTAAATACTGTGTAGCCCCACTGCTTCCCTAACTTACCTTTATGAATAGTACAGGAGCCCCCTTGAGTGGGTAGCTCTCCTTTTTCTACTGTTTATTCTCTTTCTTCTTTCTAAAGAGACCCAAGTTCTATTGGTTTTAAAGCAGCAGTCTCCTGTTAAAGAAACTCTGTAGGGAAGAGAGGAGAATGCATGTGTTTGCAACTTTTCCGAGATGTGATTTTATGTCTTACGCTCCTCCAGAAAACAGGTAGAAAGTGGGATAATATATCTGAAATCTCAGTAGATTAAGATGTTTTAGCCATTTGGGGTTTGGGAGGCCTTTGGAAATCCAGCGAAAGCCGTGGGCCTTTTTCTAGGCCCTCAGAAGTTTGCTTTCTGAAACCAGCCCTTCCTGTTTGAGAATGTTAGACCTGCCAAGAGGTGTAGGCAGTGCGCTAGATCACCAGTATCCAAAGGATGGTTCTTTGATAATGGAAATGTTTGTGTCTGCACTGCTCAGTACAGTAGCCATTAGTCATGTGTGACTGCTGTGTACTTGAAATGTGGCTGATGCAATTCAGGAACTGAATTTTTAATTTCATTTCATTTTAATTAATTGAAATGTAAATAGTGACATGACGCTCCTAGTGGCCAGTGCAGACCTGCATTGCAGCTGACTGCACTCATGAAAATGGCTGAAGTTCTTTCTTACAGGCTGTGACCAGGTCTTTTTTTTTTTTTTTTTTTTTTTAAAGAAATGGGACTTTATAATTTTGTAATCAAATTTATTTTTTCCTTTGATCTTGTCTGACGAGTAATAGATCTTGAGAATCTGTTCATACAATAATATTATTTGTTCAGAAATGAAAGCTGAAATTCTATGCCTCCCAAGCAATGTTTCTTTGGGGTGTAATTATTTCTCCCTTCTCATTGTTTCAAGGAAAACCAGCATTGGAATCAGCTGATTCAGGATGCTCAGAAGCGTGGTGCCATTATTAAGACCTGTGACAAAAACTATAGACACGATGTAACAAAGATTCTAAAACTCAAGCCTGTGCTACAGAGAAGTCTCACTCACCCTCCTGCCATAGCCCCAGAGGTGTCCAGGCCCCAGGGTGGCTTACCCAGCCCCAAGCTAGACAGTGGATTTGCTACGACATCTTTTGCTGCCTCTCTATATCACACACCCTCTGACTCCAAGGAAGCTTCTCTCTCTGTTATTTCAAAGGACCCTGAAAGACCTCCTGTTCAAGACCAACTTCGGGACCCACGACTGCTGAAGAGGATGGGCACTGAGGTCAAAGGAGGAATATTCCTATGGGATCCACAACCCTCGAGCCCCCAGCATCCTGGAGTAACACCGCCTGCAGGAGAGCCGGGCTTCCCCGGCATTCACCAGGACCTGGGTAATATACTACAGCCCACTGCTCTAGTGGCTGCTTTAAGCAGCCTCAGACCTCCCGTGCAGGGTGAACCTCCAGCTGCCAGCACTGAGGCTTCCACGTGTCAGAGCAAATGTGATGACCTGGAAGGGGAGCTCTGTCACAGGAGAGACGCTAGGGCTTTCAGTGAAGGGGAGCAGGAGAACTGTGATTCTGAGACCCATTATACCAAGAGGAACTCTCGCTGGGACAAGAGGAGACTGGAGAAGGAGGAAAGCAGTTCCAAGAAAAGAAAGCTTTTATAGGAAAGCCAGATGACATGGACTAGCAGCCACAGCATACTGTCAACTGAAGATGACCAGTGAGGGAGGCCATCTAGATAAGCCTATTTGTTTTTCTTAAGGAGTTTGTGTGCTGTTGGAAAATATGGAGAATGCATCCTTAACACCAGACCCTCTGGTCATCTTCAGTACTTCCTGTCATTTGCAAAAGCTTTCAGAGGGCATTGTCCTTGAAGTCAGACTGGAAATGTTGATCCCTTGCTCTTCTGAAGACAAGGAGGTCAACCTGGAGTAGTAAATGTTGTAAAGGTTGAAGTGTATATTTGTATAGCAAATAGCAAAATTCTTTTAAAATTTAATCTAGTAGACCGCTCTCCTTTCCCCTGTTTAAAATGTTAAGACATTTTTCAACAGAACAAACTTTATATTAAAAACATGGGAGGAGGGCGGGTCCTTTCAACCATTGTTATGGCAAGACAGGTGTATTTAACAGCCTAGTTTGGAATAAGCTGAGTTATCGCTGGTGGGTCAGAAGTCTCTAGTTCTATTTACAACAACAACATTGGAGTCTGCTGGGGGACACTTTGGGCAGCACAGTTAGTTAGCTAAAGTCCTGCTGACATGGTGCATTTTTAGATGCAGTACGTTGGCTCCAGGGTATTATATTTCTGTGATGAGTTCCTTTACCTGTTTTAGTGTGCACATAGTTCCCTAGCTGAAACTCCTAATCTTGAAAGAGAAGAATATGGAATGAAAGAATAATTCTTGAACTATCATTCAGACGCTCCTAGCATATTGTGAGCTTTGGCTGGTGAGGTACAGACACGGTTGCCAAATGCTAGATGAGCGCTGGGTCAGCTGTGGAAGAATCTCCTCAGCTTGCAGATTGTCAGACAGATCTAAGTAGTTTCCCAGAAAGCCTGGAGAGCTGTGTGTTCAACATTTCCAAGGGATTCTGGTCACCAGGCAGCTTGAGAACCTCTGGGGCAGGCCAACTAGAATATTTCAGGTGGGAAAGAAGCTCCCGGTTTAAAATGAAGGGTAACAAAGAAGAGTTCTGAACTGGGTAGAGAGTTGGTGACTTCCTGTGATCTTAAGAAATCATCTACCTGATGAAAATACATGCTGTTTAGAGTATCTGATGGGTGTTTTCAGCTACTATTAGAAGTAATAGTGCTTTTGGTGGTGATGGGGAGGGGGATTGGCCATGGTGAATCGAGATTGAGGAGGCTCGGGACAAGTGAGGGGCTGCCTGATTTTGTCCAGTTTTCTAAACATCCACACTGAATTTTGGAGTATCCTAAACATGAGACTGTATAGTTGATAGTTGTAATAACTAGGGGTCTGCAGTGAATGCTCTGCAGCCCCCTACCTCATTTGGGGGTAGGCAAATAGCTGAAGATTCATGTGTACTATTGGACATTTTCCTTATCATCTGCTTTTTAAGCAAAAAAGGATTTTGTGTTAGAAATTCTACTTGAGCAGATTATAAAGACCTTTTGGTTGTCAAAAGTTTGAACATTCTATTTCATTACCTGTGTCCCTCTTGCTGGTGTCTGGACATCTGACTAATGTCAGCTGAACACTTCTGAAACCCAAGGAGCAGATGACTGCTTAGAGTCCGCACAGTCAGCCTCTGCTTCCTGTTTGGCAGTGGGGAGTTTGTCTTTGGCTATGCAGTGTGCGAAAGTTCAGGACGGGTAGGGATAGCCCCACTCTGGGTCTGGGGCTCTATCAGCCCCTTCCATGTGCCTTTGGAAAGAAATCTCGTTACTTTATTTTTCTGTTATCTTGGTGAAGTGCCCGTTTTAGCAGAACACTTGTAGTGGTGACCACTTAGGGAATGTGCAAACTCCTAAGCTAAAGGGAGGCATGGCTCAGGATGTCTCCACACTGCTCATGCTAATATTATTAACATGTGATTTGAGAAATAAGTTTTTTCTAAAATGCATATTTTGCTGCCACACACTGAACAATACTATTTCCAGTTGTGTTTGATGCCTGTTCTTATGTTGTGCTCACTTCTTGGTTCCCCACTCACGGCATCTGATTATACAAGGATTAGTAGAACAACTTCATCCTTTCAAAAAACGAGCCTCTGTCCTGTGATGGCCTCTCACAGAGGAATGCAGTTGTACCTAACATTACTTTTGAAACTTCACTTGTTCCAGTTGGCACAAGTATTTGTCGAAATTATCTCATATGTTTGCTGTGGTCCCTCTCGATGTGGCTGTCAGCCCAGCATTGTTGAACAGTGTTATTCTTTTTACAAGGTACAAAGTGTGGTTCTTGGCTTTGTCTTTGCCATGGCATTAGAAGAAAGTGCCCTTTCTTTTTTCAGTATTTGTTATTTCAACATGAATATATGCTACTTAAAAACTTGTTTTCCTTGTATATAATTTGCCTTGGATTTATTGTGCACTTTGTTGAGTTATATGTTTTTGTGAATTATCAGGAGTAAATTTGACAAGTACATGTGAATAACCTGTAAAGGAATTTTATAACAAAAATGTACTGAACTATTTTTTGAAGTTGTGCAGATTAGCAATTTGTTGCTATAGCTTTGACTCTTTCTATGCTGTGAATTCATAGCTGGGATTTGGCCAACAGTGGCCCTGTTGTCTTTGTTAAACCCTAAATTTTAAGAGGAAATGGCAGAATTAAAAGCAGAAACGAAGATGGACATGGATTAGAAATTATGTATTACTGAAGTAAACTCCAAGGTACTAACATAATTCATTTAGTCTGCCATTTGGTTTGCTTTATGGTGAAATTGCTTGGTGTGGGGATTTGTGTAATTCAGATATAAAAAGTTTTAGTATCCAGCCCGGCCCTCCTCCTCCCCAGCTCCTTTTGGAATCTTCTCCATACAGTAATGAGGTGCATTGAGGCAGCTGTAGTGTCAGGTGCAGACTGAAGTTTGGTCCAACAGAAGTACGTGCTCACCATTACGCTGGAATTGGTAAGGAGGTGAAATAGGAGAACAGATGAACAATGATCCATGAAAGGAGCTCCCAGAGGCACTGTTGGAGGGGCAGGGTATAATTGCCCTCCCAGAGGCACTGTTGGAGGGGCAGGGTATAATTGCCCTGGTCAGGGGTAATTGCTGATGGTTATAGAAGTGGAACACACTTTATAAAAGCAATAACTTGAGGAAATGCAGTCAGCTTCCCCACACTTGTTCCTGTTAAAAGGCACTTGACCTCAGCCTCCATGTCTCATTCTGTACCCAGAAGCGCATGCACACAGCCCACTTGGCCTGCTTGGCTCGTTCAGTATGCATACACAAATTACCAGGGAGGGTGAAATGGTGTGTTTGGGAGTTACGGGAAATAATAAATTTGCCAAATGACCAGGCAAGAAATGAGTGCTGCATGGTGGTCATTTGTGGGATTTGTTACTGCAGCAGCCTTCGCAATGGTTTTTGAAGTAACCAGACATCTCTCTCATGATACATCCACCACCCAAACTTCTGGGTTTCACCATTCATTGTATAAGGAATAAATAATTCAGGGAGGAAACTAAAATTTAGCCTCAGCTGAAACAGAATTGATAAATGTTGTACCGCACCACATGGCAGTTTCTGTACACAAGGGATCCCTCCGCGACTCAGACCTGAGTTATCGTCACCCTTTCCTACTGTACAGAAGGAGTTTGCCAAGTCAAGTGGTAGAGATGGCATTTGTAGTTTGGGTGTTTGGAACCGCAGGAGAAGGAACTCTGTGTTGCTGTCCTGTCAGCTCAGCAGACACAGTTGCCTTTGTTTTCAAGCAGCATCGCCACAGAATTGTCAGGTTGGGAGTTTTCAACCTTAGGGATGCACAATATGCTCACCTAGGGAGCTTTTTAAAAAGTCTGATTGCCCGGGTCCATCCTAGCATTTGCTGATTTAGTGGTTTTGGGATACAGCCCTTGGTATTTTTGTGGTTTTTGTTGTTGTTTTAATTTTTGTGAGATGGAGTTTTGCTCTGTCACCCGGGCTGGAGTGTAGTGGCGCAATCTTGGCTCACTGCAACCTGTGCCTCCTGGGTTCAAGCAATTCTGCCTCAGCCTCCCGAGTAGCTGGGAACGCAGGCGCCCACCACCACCCCAGCTAATTTTTGTATTTTTAGTAGAGGTAGGGTTTTGCCATGTTGTCCAGGCTGGTCTCAAACTCCTGACGTCAGGTGATCCACCTGCCTTAGCCTCCCAAAGTACTGAGATCACAGACACGAGCCATTGTGCTAGACCAAGCCCTTGGTGTTTTTTAACCTTTTTTTTAATTTTTAGGCCAGGCATGGTGGCTCACACCTGTAATCCCAGCACTTTGGGAAGCTGAGGTAGGTGGATCACCCCCTCAGGTCAGGAGTTTGAGACCATCCTGACCAACAAGGTGAAACCCCGTCTCTACTAAAAATGCAAAAATTAGCCGGGTGTGGTGGCGGGCGCCTGTAGGAAGGCTGAGACAGGAGAATTGCTTGAACCCTGGAGGCAGAGGTTACAGTGACCAGAGGTTGCACCACTGCACTCCAGCCTGGGCATGAAGCAAGACTCTGTGCCCCCAAAAACAATTTTTTTTCTCATCTGATTGCAATTGCTTTTTTTTTTTTTAACTTGGGTTTTAAAAAAATGTACTCCCAGGTCATTCCATTGAGCAGCCAGCATGGGAGCCTGGCTCTTTTAAGGTCAGGAGGAAAGAGAAGTCCCAGGAGCCCAGAAGGGGTCACGTGTTCCTTCTTCAGCACCTCGTCTCCAGGTGCCCTGGACGAGGTGTTCAGAAGGGAGGTTTCCAAGAGCAGCAGAGCAGGGCTAAGAGAAGGCAAATAAAACAGCTCCAGTGACCCCTGACACCATTGGAAGGGAGAAGGAAGAAGGCTCCTCAAGCCTAGGAAGAGCTGGCATGATCAATCAGTGTGGCTGATGAGGTCTCAGGCCCCCAGCAATGAGATGCCAGAATAGCTGCTTCCTAAGCAAGAAAATGCAGTGCCAGCACTCTGAGTTCAAGGAACCCATGGTGCACAGAGTGAATGCTTGTCTGCAAGGCATCTGCTCCCCCTGTGCCTCATCTCTTGAGTTCTCCCACAAAGCCCATGATGTACACACTCATTCCCATTGCACAGATTTTAAAACAGGGTTACATCAGTGAAATGGTTTGCTGAGGATGATATAGCTAAGAACTAGCAAAGCTGCAGTTCCTAACTCAGTTCTTGTTACCTAAAAACCCTTATAATTGTTGCAGTAAGTACCCAAGCACGACAGAATGCAGAGCTGGCCATGCTGCTACATAAACAGGCCTTCAGGGAGTGGGGAGATGGGGTTACCTGGAAAGGAAGCTGGAGATTGCCTTAGTGCCAACACTGGCATTGGCTATGGGCCATTCATGGCCTCCGCAGGTTGCCCTTTCTTTGCCTGAGAATAGTCGTTGGGGTTTGAGTTCTCTTCTGATATTTTTTCACCATTAACTTCCAAAATTCCAGGCCTCCTCTGAGGTTCTGGAAAGGAAGGGACAAGAGTGTGGTGGGTTTATAATTTGTCAACCTCAGCAGGATCCATTGCTAGAACTCCTATATTTTCCTTTAGAGTGGGCCACAGGAGACAGAGATTTGGAAACCAGAAATGCAGCAGCCCTATTCTCATGCTCAGCAAGTTGCCACAGGGACACCAGGCACTACTGTTGCAGCTCCTGGCTATTGTCACGTATCTGCAGGCCTGTTAGCATGGGGCAGCAGCCAGGCCCGCGGCTAGCGCTCCTTCCTGCCAAAGGGGTGTCTGACTCTCCTTGCTCTCCCCACCTTACACCCATTTTCTTTTCCCAATTGCCCGCCCACAGCCTCCCAGCTTCAGCATCAGACTTGTCCCATTGCCCTCCCTTTTTGATTTGATGGTCATCACATACATTTTTAAATTCATAATATATAAACATAATTTTTGTGCTCAACAGTCATACAAATTTTAAGGATTTTTAAAGGAAAAAAATATATATTTACCCAGCTATTTAACATGTCTGTAGATTTTCTGTTATTCCTGGTGTTCCCAGTTGCCTTCTGGAATCATTTCCCGTCAGCCAGAAGTATGTATTTTAGAGGGAGTCTGTTATCAATGAATCCTTTTAGTTTTCCTTCATTTGAGAATGTTCTTTATGCCCCCTTGTCCAAAATATTCCTTAAGGAATATTTTGCTGGACATACATTTCTGGGTTGACAGTGCTTTTCTCTCAGTACTTTAAAGGTGTTGCCCCTGTCTTCAGTTCCCACCATTCCTGATGAGAAATCCAGTCAATCAAATCATTATTCCCCTGTGCTGTGGACTGAGTGTTTGCATTTGCCCCAAATTCCTATGTTCAAAGTTAATCCCCAATGCAATAATAATGAGAGGTGGGACTCAGCATATTCTGCCTGTTTTAAACCAGCTCCTACAACTGCATTAAGTCCCCAGTGGAGACTCTGTAGAGGGGCTGCAATCACTCATTTCCCCTCCACTCTGCCCTAGTAGAGGTTATTTGTGGGAGCTCTGCCCCTGTAGCAGGCTTCTGCCTGGACACCCAGGCTTTTCCATACATCCTCTGAAATCTAGGTGAAGACCTCCTAACTCTTGCACTCTATATGTCTACATGCTTAATTAACATCACATGGAAGGCTTCTAGGCTTACTGTGGCTTGTCTGACTTGTGCTTTTCAGAGTGGTGGCATGAGGCCAGGCATGGTGGCTTGCACCTGTAATCCCAGCACTTTGGGAGACTGAGGCAAGTGGATCACTTGAGGTCAGGAGTTTGAGACCAGCTTGGCCAACATAGCAAAACCCTGTCTTTACCAAAAATACAAAAATTAGCTGGGCATGGTGGCACAGGCCTGTAATTCCAGCTACTTGGGAGGCTTAGGCATGAGAATTGCTTGAACCCAGGAGGTGAAGATTACAGTAGGCCAAGATTGCACCACTGCACTTCAGCCTGGGTGGCAGAGCAAGACTCTGTCTTAAAAAAAAAAGAAAAAAGTGGTGGCATGAGAAGTATCTGGGGCCCTTAGAGCTGAGGCTGTAGCCAGAGCAGCCAGAATACGGGGAGTAGAGTCCTGAGGCTGTGCAGAGCAGTAGAGCCCTGGCCCTTGTCCATGAAACCATTCTTTCTTCCTAAGTCTCTGGTCCTGTGATGAGAAGGGCTGCCAGGAAGGTCTCTGAAATGCCTTCAAGGCCTTTTTTGCACTGGCTTGGCTAATGGCACTTGGCTCCCTTTTAGTTATGCCAATTTCTCTAGTAAATGGTTGCTTCACAGCATGCTTGAATTCCTCTCCCAAAAGAGCTTTTTCTTTCTCTGGCACATGGCCAGGCCACAAATTTTCCAAACTTTTACACCAAGCTTTCTGTTTAAATATAAATTTCAACTTTAAGTCATTTCTTTGTCCCCACATTGAAGCATGGGCTGTTAGAAGCAGCCAAGCCACATCTCAAATGCTTTGCTGCTTAGAAATTTTCTCTGCCAGATACCCTAAGTCATCATTCTCAAGGTCAAACTTCCCCAGAGACCTTGGGCATGGACAGAATACAGACAACCTCCTTGCTAAGGCATAGCATGTGTGACCTTTGCTCCAGTTCCCAGTAAATTCCTTATTTCCATCTGAGACCTTGGCAGCCTGGACTTCACTGCCTATAACACTATCAGCACTTTGGTTACAACCATTTAACTGGTCTCTATAAAGTTCCAAACTTTCCCTCATCTTCCTGTCTTCTGAGCACTCCAGACTCTTCCAACTCTGCATGTTACC